CGAGATACATACATATAAATGTATGGATGAAGAAGCTCTGGTGGACCATGGATAAATGTTTATGTTTTGGAGTTCTCTCCCCTACAATTTGATGAAGGCTAGACTGCAATTAGGCATCCTGATCCAGAATGTGTTTGATTTTTCGTTCTGCAATATGTTTATAATGGCTAGTGGATCTTAATAATAGCCCTCCACTAACATTAAACCAATTAAAGACACGATCTACATATGTTCTTAAGCTTCCATTACACCCAACAAACAAGCCAATCAACAACAAAAAAAATTTTTTCCATCTCTTTCTCTTCTTACAGACCATGCATAAGGAAAAAGTTATAAGTACACAGAAAACAAACAGCAAAGATCATAAGTTAAATGGAGCCAAAAATGAAAATAGTAATAAAAAAGGTCAGTAAACTCCACAAAAACCACATCAATCACAAGAATCACATCCATTATTAACAAATTAGAAACCTTTAAGGCTGTACAATACCATCCATACAATCCTTCCGTGTAATGATTGCTTGTAGAGATTTCTGAATATTTAGGTGGATCTTAATTAGATTTTTTATCGTAATTGATCGATTATCTCTATCAATCATATCTAATAACCCCGCATAGCCTTATACATATGTATGTACATACATATGTAGATATGTATTCTACCGTGAACTCGCAGCGTAATGTAGGTTTATGTATGTAGTCTGTGAATGTAGAAGCTTGAGTAGGAGACTGCCCCAAATGATTACAGATTTTTGATCCAGACCAGGATCAATCAGTCAAGCACCGATTAAGCCATTTCCATTTGGCAACCTGGGACACAGTGGCATCGGGCGCACTCGATTGATTCTGTAAGCAGATCCATTTTTGAGTATGTACACCATTATCACATTGCGACGTTATAAACTTGTGTTTCTGAAAGATCCAAGAATACCTGTATATGGCTGGTGATATACAAATTTAAGGAACTTGAAATATTTTAAACATTACGTTATTTAATCAAAAAAAAATTAACATACAAAATTTGTTACCGGAAAGTTGATATTTGTGCAAAAATTAGTTTAGTACAGTAAATATTCGTTTTTTTTTTTTGTAGTTCGAATGAAAGACCTCCCAAGTCATGAGCAATCACTGTATTTTGATTTATGGCAGCGGCAGCATTGACGAGGCCAGATAACGAAAGTCGAGAAAGGGTGAAGCGACAGTTCGAGAGCGTAAACGGAGGCAAAGCAAAGATTACGTTAGTTTAGCTTTAAGAGAGAATTGATAGCACTGGTCAACACGATTTTTCCTCAAGGAACAAAACGAACTTTTTATTAAAGATTTGGGGCTTAGAAATGGTTTGATAATATTTTTATTTTTTTCTATGACAGAACTTTTTTTTTGAAAACTGGTATTTTTTTTAAGCTTTTTTCAGAGGTAGCGATAGTTTTTTTCACATAACTTTAGTATCTTACGTCTGGTTGTAAAGAACTTTGCTATTTTGAAAAGGTAATTAAAACAGCTAGAAGTTAAGCCCAAATACTTCGTGATTTCAGCTTACCGTCTGGGAAATATAAAGCACTGAAATGCAAAAATGATGATTTTTGTGCGGTATTTTTTACGACATTTTGACTTTAAAAACTCAGGAAAAGTCGAAAAAAAATTATATCCTGTGTTCTCTATTTTGTTGTGTATAGGTGCGTTAATTTGGCGTCGTTTAAGGTATCGCTCATTAATATCTATGGAGAGACTTTGGAGCTAAAATTCTTTAACCAAACCTAAAATATGGAAAAAATGAACAAAAAATACCTTTTGTAAGGTTGCGAGCCCAACTGCCCATTGGGAACAAAGGAACGCGATCAGGTACCAAATGTACAACCCTTGTTCGACAATTTTTTTTCGACTTTTCCTGAGTTTTTAAAGTAAAAATTTCGTAAAAAATACCGCACAAAAATCATCATTTTTGCATTTCAATGCTTTATATTTCCCAGACGGTAAGCTGAAATCACAAAGTATTTGGGCTTTACTTCTAGCTGTATTAATTACCTTTTCAAAATAGCAAAGTTCTTAACAACCAGATGAAAGATACTAGAGTTATGTGAAAAAAACAAGCGCTACCTCTGAAAAAAGCTTAAAAAAAAAATACCAGACTTCAAAAATTCTTAAAAAAAAAGTTCTGCCATAGAAAAAAAACCATAATTCTTTAAAAAAATTTAAAGCCCCATATCTATCAGAAAAAGTCGGTTTGGATCCTTGAGGAAAAAAAAAGTTCGGTTTTGTCGAGTAGTGTAGTCAGAGGATGGTTAAAAGAGACAGTTTTCTAAGGGGATGTAACTGATCGATTTTGTTTTATTGCACTTGAGCTTGAGTAGAGTTAAGTAGAGACAACGTCAATCCGTTTTGAGTAATCCATTAACTCTCTCTTCTATTGCCCCACAGTTAGCTTACTCAACAAGAAAGATGACAGCGAAGAGTACGATCTGGTGCCGCCCGACGGTGGCTGGGGTTGGCTAGTACTGTTTGGTTCCTGCTTAACCAACATACTCATTCCTGGCACAATCAAGAGTTTCGGGGTACTCTTCGTTGAGTTTGTTGAGGAGTTTAATGCGACGACGACAAAGGCCTCATGGATCCCGGCAATATGCTACTTCCTCTACAGTTCGTTGGGTGAGCTTCAATCTGTCCCTTGTAACTTTTCAGTTTTCACTGATTGTTCATGCTAGGTCCTGTATCCAGTATTCTGTCTGTGAAGTATTCATATCGGACCGTCACCTTGCTGGGAGGCGCCTCAGCGTCGCTGGGCATGATACTGTCCTTCTGGGCATCGTCAATAGAGTATTTGTATATCAGGTGAGACCGCCGAATTACATTTAATTTCCAAAATTTATGCATTTCTTGTCGTTTAGCTATGGAGTTCTGGTGGGTATTGGCGCTGGCCTATCCTTTCCGCCCACAGTGTATATTGTGACGTCGTACTTTGTAAAACTGCGCGGACTGGCCAACGGTCTGTGCATCTCGGGCAGTGCATTGGGCAGCATTATACTGCCGCCTCTACTGCGCTGGCTGCTGGAGACTTACGGCTACCATGGCTCCTGCTTAATAATGGGCGGCATCACACTGAACGTTTTTGTGGCTGCCCTGTTCTACGAGCCAGTGGAACAGCACATGGTTCGAGTGCCCCGTGCTCGCCAGGCACTAGACGACATACCCGAGGAGGAAGACATCGGAATAGTGATGAAGTTCGAGAATGTCGATGAAACAGCAATCAACCACGAGCAGTCTGACAAGCAGCTGCTGCCCTACAATTCGCCACCATCGCCGCTCTATCTGCCCGACGATGATAAGCAGCAGTTCGTGAGAAGTGCCTCGGAGGCGGTTGTCCAGAGCTACGCAAAGCCCGGTGATGAGTTCCAGCCGCGCACGAGAAAGATCAGCACGCCGGTGAGGCTGCCCCAAAGAAATCAGACATTTACGCCGGGCCAACTGAATTCGCAGTCATCGCTGTACGCCGTGCCCGAGGGTCGCTCCAGTTCCAAGCTCACTCTGAGGAATTTGTCAAGGTCGCGACTGTCGAAGCGTTCCCCTTCGACCAGCAGCTTCTTGTACATCAGCACACCGTATCACGGCAGCACGTTGTCCTTTCAGCCAAAGGAGTTCTCATCGCATTTGTCACTGCGCTCGGCAGGCAGCAGTGGATCAGCAGGTGCCACAACTGGCCAAGACAGAGCCCAGGCTACTAACGACACTCAGGGAAAGACGCAGTCCTCGCAGCGGTCCAAGTTCTTCGACCTCAGCCTGCTCAAAGATCCTATGTACTTGGTCATACTAATCTCCAATTCGACGAATGCCATCAGCTACACAAACTTCATAATTTTGCTGCCCAGTTTTGGCGCTGCCAGGGGCTTCAATAAATCGTTGGCGGCCTACCTTCTCTCTGTTGTATCCGCCACTGACCTAATTGGCCGTATTGGCGGCTCAGCTCTTTCGGACATGGGATTCATTCCCAAGACCTGGTACTTTGTGGGCGGCTTGTCCATATCGGGTCTTTCCCTCACGCTACTGCCATTTGCCTCCTCCTACGGGACGGTTTGCTTTTGGTGTGCTCTCTTTGGCCTCGCCTCCGGAATTTATGTGGGAATCACCGCAGTCATTATGGCAGACATGCTTGGCACAGAACGCCTGACATCGTCCTACGGAATCAGTCTATTTGTCAACGGGCTTCTTCAGTTGGTAGGCCCGCCATTGTGTACCTACTGGTCCGAGGCCGTTAAAGATTTCAATCCACTCTTCCACGCCCTGGGACTAACGCTACTCGCAGGGGCCAGCCTGTGGAGTTTCATGCCATTGATAGAGCGACGCAAGGCCAAAGCTGAGGAGAAACTCGAGGCACAAATCGACGAGGAAGCTGTTGAAGGTTACTGAAAGGGGGGAACGTACAATTAGATGTTAAGCTTTCAAGAGCGTACAAACAGTGATGGAGGAGGAGTTTAGCCAATCAGGAAAATCAGGTCAGGAGTTGAAGAGAGCATTGAACACATTTGAAACTGTTAATTTGGTTCTTCCAGCATCTTTTTCGTCTAACTGATAAGTCTTAATTTAATATTGTATAACTATTACAATTATTGTTTACTTAATACCAATATATTTATAGTCTAGGCAGAATAAACCCGGACGGATTGGATGGATTGCAAGTGTGTAGCGGAGAAAGCTAGAGTTTTGTAACTATTTTTTCTACAAATATGTCAAACAAAAGAAACACTAAAAAAATGAGCAAAAAATATAATTGAAAAAAAGGAAATACATATCTACTCGAATTATTTGTATTGTCTTTTATGGCGAAGAAGCCCAGATTGAAATTTGTATTTCAAGTTCTTAGACATTACAAGGGTATTTTTAATTCATTAAAATGTCTGTAGCAGTCCGACGATCAACTTGACAGGAATTCCTTTGAATACTTGTTGTGCAATTATCTGACGGTTCACTAAAACTATTGTAAGAGTTTTGAATGGAAAGTTGCTTGGTTTTTCTTTATTTTATTTATTTATTCTGCGAATAAAGATCACATTGCATGCAGGGACAAGATAAAAATCATGGTATGTTGATAACGAGGATATATGTATTAATGTAGTTTTCGAATGCACTAGGTGCTATTAGATTTTGACTTCAGGAATCCCTTTGACCGCAGAAAGCGGACAATAAATGGTGTGGCGCCCAACGTAATACTTATTCTGGCAGGAGCAAACACTTTGTGAACGGCATAGGCCACCACAAAGGTGCTGCCAGTGGCTACCTTTTCCGCAATCGCTGTTGATGTTATGCCGAGGAGTTCCAGAACAGGCACCAAATTTATTCCACTGAAAGAAAGGAAAACCACATTAGTTGGTGCATTTTTAGAGCCTTTGAGAATAACTTAGAGGCAGGCAAATGCAGATGAGTGCGTAGTTACCGCCTTACCTGGACACCACTAAATAGAAGCCTCCAAGCGAAATCAACGAGATGCCTACATGGAATGTTATTATGGTAGTGCCATACTCCTTGAATGCCTGCTTAAGTTTCTCTTTTTTACTTAATTTAGCTTTTATTGGGGCATCTATTGTTGCTGGTCTCGCCGGCGGTGGACTCGTTTCGGAAGAGGGTGGCGCAGAATGTGTGCTATAGTTACGCCGGGTCGAAATCAGCCAGCCTACAGAACAAGAGCCACGCATGCGAGCGAGTGTGTTGTATGAACATATAAGCATCATTAGAGATGTCCCAAATGAAATATCAAATATGTACAACTAGTATGTTAGTAAGGTTAGTAAGAGCCGGCTGGCATGCAACAAGTCATTCCAATGTAACAACTGTTTGATGGATGCTCACCTCTGCTGGTGCCAAGGGTTGCATTCTGATCGTAAGTCCCCCAATCCGCACGAGCGCTATCACGAAGAGCGCTGTAATGTGAGCTGTGGAGGTTCTGCGATGTAAACTTATATTCCTGCGACCATTGCCCCCCAGGCATGTTGAGATGCGAGAACTTGTGCATTCCACCAAAGGGTGTGGGAACATTGCTCTGCATCACCGAATTGAGGCTGATGGAGCCGAAGCAGTCATACGACTGGACGTGGGGGTCCTGGTAGACTGAACCGGCCAAGCTGGCACTATAACTGTTATCTGTGGTAATGTCGATGGTCGAGATGGGTGCCTGTGCCATCATTACAGTGCAAGAGATGTCCCGGGAGCGCTGTGGTGAGAAGCGTGTTATCTCAGCGGCGTCCACATTGATCGGGAGAGGAATAGCAGCAGCTGCGGCATAATTTTTCATTGTAGAGCTCGTATGAAAAGTTTGAACGGCTATATAAGCAGAAATGATCGTTATTTCTCTAAAATATTTATATTTCAGGAGCACTGCGCAGTTTGGCAGACCAAGGGTACAAAGTTCAACTCAATATACGCCGCATGTATACATAATATTTATATACATATGTATGTTTGTATCAATCTATAGCATCTGTGGGGTCTGATTCTATTATCATTTGGCATGATTGTCCCAATGGACCGTACGGTACGTGTGTGTGTGCGTAATGATTTTAAACTTTGTGACCTCTGGACAGCAGTCCAGTGCTGCGATTGCTCACCTGTGTATCTCTTTAAATTGTGCATGCCCCTGCCGGGAAGGCGTACGGCATACACCAAAGAAGCTTTGCCAGTAATTATAAACATTTTAAGCGATTGACTGAATGAATTAAATGTACAAACGAAATTGTCAAACTGGCACTAGGCTAGGAAAAAAAAACGTAAACAATGGCAGCCGTTCGCCAGAGTTGTCAACTAATAAAGTGGTCCTAGAGAGGAGCGATCCTTGAGTATTGTATGACCTTAGACTTTGCTAACTGACTAGCTGGAAAAATAGAGATGGGAATGACTGCAGTCAGAGCGGGAGAACTATATGCATCAATCTGGCTTCGCAGTTGAGCTGGGACTGTATACTGTATACAGTATACTGTATGGTTAGTGGCTGGGAGCAGCGCTGCGCCAGAATTGATCCATTGATTTACTTTGCGGATACATGTTTGCTGGCTTGGTGGCTGTGTTTAGCTTGAAAACTTTATTTTGTATCAAATAGTGCCTCTGTTGTTGGACAGAAAGTCATTAGACGTGTCTACAGATGGCTACGTACAACAATGTTGCATTTTGGGAGACAAACCCTTCTCTTCGCAGCTAAACTATGCACTGTTACTTTGGTTTTAATATGATTAAGTAATTTATAACAGACAACACAGACAGCACACATATTCTGTAATCGCAGCAATGTATCGAATCCGCAAATATCGATAGCCGCTCCTCTGTCTTTAAACCAACTCAACCCTGTCATATGTCATGAAAATGCGAATTTATTTACAAATTTGGCGATACGTAAGAAAGAAAGACGCGTAATAAAATAATTCATTCAAATTTAAATTATCACCCCGTCGTAGCAGATAATTATGTAAATTGGAGGAGTGCGGTAGTACACGGGTGTCGACTCACCTTTTCCGAAGAAGTGGTGCAATGCTAAAATACAAAATAAAAAGTGCAAACATTGCCGCGGCGGTTGGTTTGTGGTCGTGGTCAAGATATGTTTTGGAGATGGCGACATTGCGACCAAACCAATAAATTAGCAACGAATAAGAGATTCTAATTTTAGCTTGTGTAGCAACAATAAGAACAATTACCAAATCACACAGAAGGGAAGCCAATCTACAACTAAACGTTCAGCTGCAGCAGCTGTCTGCATGTGTGAGTGTCTAGCGCGTCCGTGTGTGTGTGTAGAAAGTGTGCACGTCAGGCGTTGGCTAGCCATGTCCAGAATTACATTGACCACGTTAACACACGCAGGCAGAGGTATCAACAACAGCAGCAGCGATAACAGAAACAACGATACCCGCACAGGCACTCTCACACATCTTATGGAAGAGCACCAATCGAGAGCGGGAGCAGGAGGAGCGACAACGCCTGCGGGCGGACTGATATCGGATGGTGCGGAACGACTACGACGTCAGGGCAGTCGATTGCAAACCTCGCGCTTTGCCTGCCTACGATGTTGCGGCAACTTTCTCACATATCTGGTGCGCTTGCGCAGCACGCCCGAGGAGCTGGAGCAGCGCTACAAATCCAAAGAGATTGATAAGTTTTTGGAGAAGGAGAAACATACGTTTCGGCGGCAGGTAATCTCCACTGGGACTTGCAACCGACCACCTGAACCCCAACAAAGCCCTGAACCTCTATGGTCACATCCCTCTAAGGTTTGATCTTTTAATTAGCTTGCATATGCGTATACCCAAACACATATTCGGCTAAGCTCCCTTCAGCGGCTGATCTCTCTGGCAGCAGGCAAAACAAAAAAACAAAAATAATTCGTCAACCAAGTTTTCACTTTCCGTTGTTGTGAGGCGCGGGGATTGACTTTTACGCTGACTGCAGCCTCTGGCTTTTGTTATTGCATCATTTGATGCAGTCATCAACAAAGTTATACTCATAAAAAAGCGATTCAATTGACTTAATCGTCTGGTGGCTTTTCTTGGTGTCTGGATTAAATTATTGTCATATGTGGTTCCATTGTCGCCCGTAGTTCATGGATATGGTAGTGATAAGTAGTCTTATTCCAGGTAAAACTGCTGCTATTGGGTGCTGGGGAGTCGGGAAAGTCAACGTTCCTCAAGCAAATGCGGATCATACACGGAGTCAATTTTGATTCCGAACTGCTGCGCGAATACCAACATGTGATATACCAAAACGTTATAAGAGGTGCGGAACTATCTGTGGATAAGTATACATATGTATGTATGTCCAATCCAGTTCACCAATGCAATAAACATATTTTTCAGGAATGCAAGTACTGTTGGACGCTCGGGAAAAACTTGACATCTCGTGGGGCAACGATGGCCGCGAACAGGATGCCAACGATGCCAAATTAATGGAATGCAATGCAATAGAGGCACTAAGATTCATGGAATTTGCACCGCTAATACGCCGCCTGTGGCAGGATCGCGGCATAAGGAGAGCTTACGAAAGACGGCGTGAATTCCAAATTGTAAGCTTTTAGCGTAACTGTCATTGTTTTATCTAAGAGTTATATTTTTTATCCGGCTTATGCATTTTTCAGAGCGATTCCGTTAGCTATTTCCTAGACGAAATCGAACGGCTGGCCAAACCGGATTATGTGCCCACGAACAAAGATATATTGCACTGTCGCAAGGCAACCAAGGGTGTCTACGAGTTTTGTGTTAAAGTACAGGTGAGACTCTGTGAGCCAAGCATTTAGTTAATACGTAAACGTAAATACGATGTGAATTGCAGAACATTCCATTTGTGTTTGTCGATGTGGGCGGGCAGCGGACGCAGCGCCAGAAATGGACTAAATGCTTCGATACATCCGTCACATCAATTATATTCCTTGTATCTAGCTCAGAGTTTGATCAGGTGCTTGCCGAAGACAGGTACATACCAACTCAAATAAGTGTTAATCGAACAGCAGATAAAAGCTACAAATTATTTTATATTCCATTCTATAGAAAAACCAATCGCCTTGAGGAGTCTAAGAACATATTCGATACCATTGTCAACAATAACACCTTCAAGGGCATTTCAATTATATTATTTCTGAATAAAACGGATTTGCTCGAACATAAAGTACGCAATCCAGAGACTGATATACGCTGGTACTATCCGCAATTTAATGGTAATCCGCACTCCCTTCTGGACGTCCAAAACTTCATACTGCAAATGTTCATGAGCGTACGCCGCAGCAGCAGCACCAGTCGAATCTACCATCACTTCACTACTGCCATAGATACGCGCAACATCAATGTTGTGTTTAATTCGGTCAAAGATACGATATTGCAGCGTAATTTAAATGCTCTGATGCTGCAGTAGCACTAATCCCAATTTGATCAATTTATTTCGGTGCAGTCCTGAACCAGAACTAGAACCAGATCTAGGGTTTTTCGTGCCAGACTGACAATCTTTTTATAGTTATATGTACTCATATATAAATATGATATGTCGTGTATGCATTTACATATGTACTGGACATATCCATATAACGAACGCAAGTGCCAGCTGTCAGGAATCTATAATTTTGTAAAGGGCCACCCCAAATTGTTGTTAACTTTTTAAAATGGTTTAATTATTCATTAATTTTGTATTAAAGGAAATTTTATTATTATTTTATTAGCATTTACATTTAGTATATGTTTATGTACTCTATTTATGCAAAACTGTATATAAATTATTTTGTATGTGTTCGTAATCGCTTCCAGATCCTGCTATCAAACAGACTTCAACGCCATATGCATATATAAACTAACCAAAAACTGATAATACATGCCCCCATTTTTTTTATTATGTATTTAGTTAAATTCCTCTATGCCTTTTGCTACAATAACTTTATACAAGCGTACATATAACATAGAAAATATACATATGTTTTTATACCTACATATGTACATATATACATAATTAGTCGGAAATCGAATATATTACAATACATAAAAAGTGAGAGAACGAGCCTAATGTTAAGAAGAGTGCTTTCTCATAGAGTAAAGTCAGCAACCAATAAATGTACCAATCAAATGAAAACGATCAATATTTAATAAATGGAACCAATCGAATTCAAAAATAATTTAAATAAAGATAAATATATACCTACTTTTATTTTTAGAGTCGCAATGTTTACATAAATGCAATTTAAATTTCAATTTAAACACTTGCATAAGGACGTATTTGGTGATACTTTGATGTACCGAACGTTTCTATAGGATTTTTTGTAGTTGGTAATATTAACTCGTTTTAACGGCGAGGAGCAAGGGAGATTTGATTATTATTCCTGCGGGCATCTATCATCGTTTTACGTTGGAGTCTAGTGGAAAACGTAAACCTATTATTATACCCGTGCTCGAAGAGTTAAGGGGTGTATTCGATTATTTGATTTACGTTGGACGTTGATATGCAATGACTGCACCATCAAGTGGCCCATGCGACACCAAGCCGAAGCCTGTTACGCGCGGAACCCAGGCAGAAACGCAGCCCTCCTCCCGCCCAACCGACCGAGAGGCGCTGCCGCATGACGCGCGACGCGTGTTACCGAACCGATCGCGAGCATGCAGGAAAGATAGGTGTTAGACTAAAATTCGAGGAAAATTAGAGCTAAACACAACTCTAAGCGCTAAACATGCAAAGATAGCTAAAAAATATAACTAATTACGGGAAAACTGGATGTGTGAAACACACTCAGATTGCTGAATCTGGTTCAGATCGGATTATTATTATAGCCAGAATGAATAAATTAGTTTGCAGTTGCTAGCCCACCTTCCAGTGCTGCAGCGCTACTCGTTCTTTTAACAGATAAAATATTTAAAAATTGATATGGTATGGGTATGGTTTAAATTTTGTTGTTTTCAGGTGGTAGACGCACAAGTATCGCAAGTAATTCTATTATAAAAAACATTATCCGATTCACTTAAAATTCTAGAAAAGGAGGACAGCGGGAGAAGTTTTGAGCTATGAACTAGCGTCGTTGTCACTACAGCAAAGTCGATATTGCGTCGGGTGGCCTTGAAATATTAAGAATGGTTGAAGTTTAAGTGTTGGACATAATTCGGAAGCTGGGTGGGAACCTGCTCTACTGATAGAGAAGAACTCAAAACTGACGAAATAAGATCCGGGCTCAACTAATAAAAACATAAGTGATTATTATTTTGAGAACAAAATGTATGTCATAAAAATACTGGCATCAGATTAATCCAGAATATCCAGATTTTCACACGGTTGTAGTAAACACATATATTTACATACATATATGTTTTATAAACAAGTTATATAAACTCAAAAATAATTTTCATAAATATCTTATCTAATCGTGCATTTGATGTGTGTGGTGGGGAAAGTGGGGCATGATTATTCGGCCCTTTTAGTTTGCAAAATTAATAACTTGTGAACGAATTATGATAACTTCATGAAATAAACTGCGTTTGAAACTAAGATCTTCCAAACTGAAGTCTGCACGAGAAAAATGTCTAGAAGCTTATAGCCTTTTTACACTGGGCGCGTCTGCTATCGATATCGGAATAGACGCAATGAAGCAGAAAAGGCGTTTACATTGGAAGACGCGCGTCTTGAATTTTGTTTTGGGTGCTTGATGACAAGGAAAGTAAACAAATTTTGAGAAATCAACAGAATTATGCAAGACGACAAGAAAATGGACGAAAGAGAATTGATTCTTATATTAATTTATTATTTTCAGACATTTTCTTGTAGAGCTTGTGGGAGTTCTTCTTAAAATTATGAAAACCATCGAAGTTCGTCTCCAGCAGTGTCATAATGGCATCAGGGGATCACAAAATTGTCGTATGATAATAATACAATCAGTTTCAAGTATTTTATTTCATGATTTTATGTATATTTTCACCTTTTTGCACAACCATTCATTTTAGCGCCAAAATTTGATTTTTTAACTACAAGTTTTTGTTGTTCTTAGAGGTGATAGTTGCGCTGATAGGCAGAAAAGTGCAAAAATGTGCAGTTAAGCGCAAAAGCAATCGAATATATCGAATAGACGCACATGAATCAGAGACCGACGCAACTTTTTGCCACCACTAGGGCCCTATTCTTAACCTATGTAAAAAAAACTGAGTCTTCGCCAAGACGCAAAGAAGCATGACGCAGCCCCAAGGTAAACGGCCTATTAAAATACATTCAGGCTCATGTGCGTCTATTCGATATATTCGATTGCTTTTGCTCATTTTTCGGATTTTCTGCCTATCAGCGCAACTATCACCACTAATAACAACAAAAAATTGTAGATCAAAAATCATATTTTGGCGCTAAAAATGTATGATTGTGCAAAAAGGTGAAAATATACATAAAGTCATTAAATAAAATACTTGAAACTGATTGTATTATTATCATATGAAATTTTTCTGACCCCCTGATGCCATTAAGACACTGCTGGAGACGAACTTCGGTGGTTTTCATAATTTGAAGAAGAACTCCCACAAACTCTACAATGAAATGTCTGAAAATAATATTTAAATATGAGAATCAATTCTTTTTCGTCCATTTTCCTGACGTCTTGCTTAATTCTGTTGATTTTCAAAAATTTGTGTATCTTTCAAACACCCAAATCCAAATTCAAGACGCACGTCTTCCAATGTAAACGCCTTTTCTGCTTCATTGCGTCTATGCCGATATCGATAGCATACGCGCCCAGTGTAAAAAGGCTATCAGATTCCATTGCAATCCCACGTGCACCGACCTGCCAAAATTTCGGACAACTAAGGATTTCCGGTTTTAACCAGGTCTCGCTAAACACAATAACGTGGAACGATAAGCTGAGACTCTCAAGAAAAAGAGTGCTGAGCTTACTACGCAAGCCTCTAGCATTCTGGTAGGTAACTAAAAGAGAGGAAGTTAGTCTTTTGGATGGGTAGAAGTAGAGGTGGAGATGGAGCAATGGCCTGACTACTAGGAAGAGTTATATGGGCCTATTCTTTTTCTTAGCCGGAAACTCTTTAACCACCAAATGCTCTGGCCAAAACATGGCGGAACAAGTGGTATCAAATTGAGTCGGGGAGACGCTTATCTTGAAGGAAGATATCTTCCAAGCGTAAGAAAAGTACAATTTTTACACATTTAAGGTCAGGGGCAAGCCTTGATACAAAAACTTGCCGCTTTTGGTGGGACTCCCACCAGTGGTTTTGGCAGCACAGGTCTGGTACCTGTGATTGCAATATCCGGTGGTCCGGGATGTTCATTAGCTGGTGGGAGCGAAACTAATGGGATATTTAAGGAGTTGGGTGCGGATTCGACGGAAACGGGCGCTACAGACATTTCTAACTGCATACTCTCCGAAGAGACGCATTCGGCTCCCGAATCTGCATCACCAGCAGCGATCGTTACCTTTGGAGTAGCAAACGTAATCAACTGCTGCAGTAAGTAGTAAGTTTTTCAGATGCCGGCGGACATGAGGCAGTCGGCACTTGCAAGTCCCGCGGAGTAGACTTCTTGCGCCTCGGAGACTTAGCCAGCAGCTGTAAATTGCTGAAATGAGTGTCCATGGCCAAGAGCCGATCATATTGATGTTTAAAGCCCACGATTGAAGCCACTCTGCGCCTTCCTCATAAACGAACGCGTGTTGTTTTCCACAACACGGAATTCCTCACAACTAAACTGCAGGCCCTTGTTTTGAGAAATGGCATATCGTAAGATCCCTACACATTTTGCGTGCACTAAGCTTTCGCAAAGCCAGCAAGGGATATTGGGCTTGTCATGGGTGATCTGGGTTGTTTGCAGGTTTTTTTTTGGCACATAAGACAGGAAAATCTATAATAATAAGTCTTTTAATTTTTTTTTCGAGAAAAAAATTTCAAAGCAAATATCAATCAGACCAACGTCCAGAGCAAACGCTTAAAGCGAAATCGAAATGAGAGTGAGAGCGTTACTGCTCAGAAAGTTACGAGAGTGAGAGAGAAAGAACAGTTATAGAGATTTAGGTGATAGAGAGAGAGAGAGAGTTGGAGGACAATAGCTACGATAAAGAGCGGCTTAATGTAATGAGAGGGCGTACTTACGAACGGCAACAATACAATCACACGACTAACCGACGATCAAAATTAATTAAATAAGTTGTGTTTTTACACAATTATTAGGCATGCACCAAGGCGCTCCGACATTCGCTAAAGTGTGATTTATTTATTCCTGTAGTGTCAAGCGCAAAACTTATTGCTTTTACACCCATCCAGCCATCCATTTCCGGGATGGTTCCTAAGGTTCCTAAGGAAATTTAACCAGTTATTCCACCATCCTTCCTAATCCGCACGTTTCTATGCGATATTTGTTCGATAATTTTCAAATGCAACCATAAATAGTCGACATTCCCAACGAAAAAGTGAAATTTTCTGAAAAAATGTAAACAATGACAGAAATATGAGAGAAAAAAACAAAGCAAACACACATCTAAATTCTCTCTCACCATCCCGGGGGAACGGTGGGTATTTTTGACAGATTTGAAACACCGATTCATCCACCATGAAAAACCAGCTCATGCATAAAATTTGGTGTGGCGGAAAATTTGTAAATTTTGGCTGGCTGGGACAGCCTATTTCGATATGCTATCGACTAATATAACGATAATATCAATGTATGTAAAAAGAGTGACCGAACACTGTTTAATGCAGAAATACCAAAAACTAATCGGCCTTATAGACAATACTCTGCCAGGGCTGGGCTGCGCTCTCAAAAGATATGAAATGCTTCTGATTTTTTAATCCATTTTCTTTGAAGGAAATCACCTAGTTAGTAGTGGTACACATACCTAAGATTTTTTGTGCGATACATTTTCAATTTGTACCCTGTTTAGGTTACACACCTTGCACATTTTTAAGTATTTTTTTAGCATTTTCTAATATTTTTTAGTAGTTTGTTTTTAGTATTTTTGAAGACGCGTTATGCACTCTACTCAAGTCCAATTCACATGTAGCAAATGTGTAGTTACCATGTACATAATTAATTTTTTTTTTGTATTATTTTTTATGTTTGATGACCTTTTATAATTAAACCCTATGTTTTGAGAATTAATCAAATGAAAATGAATACTTAAAATTAGCAAATCTCTTAGAAAATTGATTCATCAGTCGGATAAAATTAAATGTTAATTGCTGAGAGTCCTAGGTAGTGTATAATGCTAAACCGAATATCAAAATTGAGGAATATGTTAATGTTAATTATAGCGATGATGCTTACATCATGATAAAAAGAAAAGGTTGTTTATTCGCTCTCTTCGGGGTCTTATTCATTTTACACACTTCCAATCACAACAACGAATTTGCTGTTGTGCTGGGCAAAAATACATCGTTGTGGCAATACACCACCTTGCATGGGGCACACTAGTCAAAAATGTAAAAGGGGATTTATTTGTGAAAAATTCGAGTGCATAAATATGCAAAATACTAATTAAAAATTGGAGTAGGCAAGCATTGCCCCATCAAAACATAAGCATTGTCAGCAACGGCGTGGGCAAATAAATAGCAGGTTTGACTCGGAGCACGGAAAATTCCGAACTTTGTACCCACACACAACCCAGCAGCCGGCTATACATATAGTGAAGGTCATTTTTAATTAATTGCTAGGACATTTAAAAAAGAAAATACCTCTGGTCGGAAATTGTGAACATTTAGTGCTGATCTGAAAACGCTCACATTTTGTGAGCTTTGGCGTCCCGCTTTTTGACAGACATAGTTAGTTGCTTGGTTGCGTGGCTGACAGCCGCCACAGTTCGTTCCAGGCCGACGAGTCAATATTTTGAGACCATCGACCAGGTAAGACATGCTGCTACAGCATCTTGCAAAATTCATCAATCAGCTCTTCACATTCACCTTGATGGCGTAACAAATGCCATGACGTCTCGGTTTTATCTGATCGGTTTAGTCTTTATCGCAAGCGTAGAGTGGACCCTAGATTAGCCCCCAATCCAATAATCGGAAGAGTGCAAACTCCAACAGTAGATGGGAAAAAAATATGCTTTGTACACGACACGATTTAAACTCAAACTATGTTTCAGAAACAAATCTTTTCGAATTACAATGGCAAGCGTCGAAAAAGTGTCCACGGAGCGAAAGGCGAATCCGGCCAAATCTTTTATCACTGGCGGCTTCGGTGGGATTTGTAATGTTCTTTCTGGACATCCGTTAGATACCATAAAGGTGAGCTTTTTTAACTAATGTGAATAAAAACTGATTTGGAACATTTTTTGCATTGCAGGTGCGCTTGCAGACAATGCCGCGACCGGCGCCAGGTGAGCAACCACTTTACAAAGGCACCTTTGACTGTGCTGCGAAAACCATAAAGAATGAAGGTGTCCGTGGCCTCTACAAGGGCATGTCAGCTCCACTAACTGGTGTTGCACCTATTTTTGCCATGTGCTTTGCGGGCTATGCGTTGGGCAAACGTTTACAGCAACGAGGGGAGGACGCGAGGCTCACCTACTCACAAATATTTGTGGCCGGTTCGTTTTCGGGCCTGTTCTCCACGCTGATTATGGCACCAGGAGAGCGAATCAAAGTCCTCCTACAAACACAACAAGGGCAGGGTGGTCAGCGTAAATATAATGGAATGATCGATTGCGCTGCGAAGCTTTACAAGGAGGGAGGACTGCGCAGTGTCTTCAAGGGAAGTTGCGCCACTATGCTCAGGGGTAAGTCGAGCTCATTTTAGTGATTTGCACTATTGGCTATGTGGTTACATTATCATTACATATATATTCAAGTTCGAAGTAATCATAAAGCTAACTTAGAGTACTAGTTAAGTGGTTAAATCTCATTGGACATCTCCAACACGAGTGGATCCGAGTGGGGCTGATGATTCTGTTGCCTTAGCACAAACTGCAGCGTGTTGCGTTGCTTTGTAGGCCTGTGTGCTATTTTCCTTGGCCGTGCTTTTTTTGACTGCTGGTTCTGGTCCTGCAGCTCGACCTTCCGCCAGTGGGGCAGCGGAAGCCCCCTTGTTCCGATCCGTATGGGACTTAGCGGCTGAAGAATTTTTATGTCGCCACAATGAAGTTGCTTGCGGAGCACGTAATAGACACTGCGTCCATTATAGTTGGAGCAGCGGGGGACCACACTCTTGTCCGTCTCATAAGGGGCCTCATATCTGCATGAGAGGGGATCGCCATTTATGTCTTTTACACACCTCTTCACACTAGGTCCCCGCACTACATTTGTGAAGTATGGTTTCCAGTATCGCATCTGGCAGCTGCATTGCCACGGATTCTGATCAAGACGAATTACCCGAACAAGTGGCAAGCGGGAAAAACTCGTGGGCAAGGTTTTCAACTGATTTCCTTGCAGCTGGACTTCCTCAAGCCTCTGCTGATCATCCAGCAACCCATGAGGCATATTTGTAAGATTGTTATGGCTCAAGTTGAGAAACTTCAGTCGCTTCACGCCCATGAAGGCATCCATGGACAGTTCCGAAACGCCACACTGACTAATGTCCAGTTCCCTGAGTTGTTCCATGCCTGCAAAGACATCAAACTGTATGCTATGGATTTGTCCCCGCAGCTTTAGGACCTCCAACCTATAAAGACCCTGTAAATGGTTGGTTATGGTTGGAGTTAATGATGTTTTAAAGCTGTTTTGAAGAGGACTTGCTTACCTTAAACACGCCCTGTTCTAGTGTTTCAGTGGAAACATTGCCAAGGATTAATGTGCGTAGTTCGTTAAGGGAATCAAATTGTCCATAAATAAACCAAGTGCGGAGATCCAAAGCCGCCTGATCGCTGCCCATTTGAAGTTCCCTCGTATCGTTCATTACCCAAAACGTTCCAGGAAGGATGTATTTAACAGGATTGCTGCGCAGATCTGCCGTCTGCAACTTTGGCAAGGGCGGAAAACTTAATTCACTTAAGCGTCCTAGTTGATTATCGGCTAAGTTGAGTGTCTCCAGTTGGAGCAGGCCAGCGAGACCCAGATAATGTAATCGACTTAAGGCGTTGTGGGCTAAAGAGAGACTCTTCAGGTTCAGAGCACCCGAGAAAGCGAATGGGGGCAACTCCTCAATGCTATTCCTCTCCAGGTTGAGGTCCCTCAGTTGGGTTAGCCCGTCGAACATTTGCCAGTGCAGTTTATCCAGCTTACAGCTCAGTATGCGGAGCACCTCCAGTCTGCCCCATCCAAAAAAGCTGGGCATCCTGGTCTGCTTCAGTCGTTGTATGTGCTGCTCATAGGTGACAATGTCAGAGGCGGCATCCTCGAATTGCAATGGGTACTTTGTAGAATATTCGCCGTGTGGAAGGAGCTCACTCGGCGGCTTGTACTCATAGTCGTCACTGGGAAGTTTCGAGAACTTTGGACGTTGCAGCCGATCGCTGGCCTGCAATCTGATCTGCTCAAAGTTGGCATGCTGCAAAAACTCCAGGGGATCATCGATGATCAGAGTGGCGCCGATTCCACGAATTTCCAGAGTTCTTAGCTGATTAAGTCGCCGTAGACTGCTGGTGTTCACTGCGAAATTAATTATATATTACTCGTTTACCAATCGGAATACCAGGTGGTTACCAACCCGCCAGTTGATTCTCTACGTTGCCGGTGTAGAGCAATATCAGAGCCTGCAAATCCATTGGCAAGTAATCCCGAAGTTCCTGCCACTCATTTTGGGACTGAATCAGGCAAGTGGCTAGTTTTGTGTGTGTGGTTAGCAGCAAGCTATCATCCACATGCTTCCTGGCCATGTGATTAACCCAACGAGCAATGGGCAGCTCGTTGAATGCCTCCAACTGACAGACGCATTTGACTGGGCAAGTGCGAGCTTCCAGCTCCGGTTCAGGCATAGGCCGTAGAACATAGCCCAGCGCAGATCCATGTATCGACTATGGTTAAGCATAGACACGAGTATTTATCAATATACTGCTCGGAGCTAGTAGCTTACCTTCGTCAGCATTAGCAAGATCAGCAGCGTCTTTGAGCCCTGTACGATCCCCTTCATCTTCATTCTGGCGTAACGCTTTATTCGACGAATGCCATTCATAAACTAAAACGAAAACGCAGCGCAACTGCCACATGCCTGAACAATTACTGAGAGATGAAGGCGGTTCCCATTTGAACTCGTAGTATTGTTTTTATATTATTCGTCTCTGCTTTAAAGGAAGTCGTCGATAAGAACATCCTCTGCTTGGATAAGAAAAGAAATAAGAAAAACATAAATTGTATAACGTGTGCATGTGTTGTGCCTGTATATTGAGATATTCGTATATATGTATGTAAAATGTACATATGTATATTCATTGATGGTATTAGCATTTAGTCGAGAAGTTTGGCCCATCAAAGTCCATTGGGCACAAGGTCGTGCTCCGTAGAAGATTTCAAGGAATCTCCTCCATCTCCTCTCTGTATTTATTTGTAATATCATTAGTAAATGTTCTAGTATAAAATATATAAATACGATATACCATATATTATTATATTTATTATATAATATTTATGTATATAAGGTTAAGCCAAAAAAATGCCTACAAATTTTAACTGGGCACCCCTTAATATTTTTATCTTGTGTTAGATAGTAATATAAATGTTTTTATTTTTATTAAAAAAAAAATTTTTAGAGCTTGCTAAAATTTTGTAATAAGAAAATTAAAACAAAATTTTGTTTGGGCAATGAGTTGGATAATGCGGTGAAATCTATTGCATACGTATATACAATACAATGTATGTATCAATACCATTAATCGTCATGAGCCAATTGCACTACCCGACACCATTTCGGCTTACATTTGGTGAACTTTGCCATTCTGAAAAGCTAAGAAATGCAATAAATAAGACCCATACATTTTGTGATTTTATCTTACCGTTTGGGAAATATTAAGCTTTCAAATGCAAAAATTATGATTTTTGTCCGGTATTTTTATACCCGTACTAAAAAAAAAGTTAAGGGGTATATTAGATTTGTGGTAAAAGTGGATGTGTGTAACGCAGAGAAAGAAACGTTTCCGACCCCATAAAGTATATATATTCTTGATCAGCATCAATAGCCGAGTCGATATAGCCATGTCTGTCTGTCCGTCTGTCTGTCTTGTTGAGCGCCTAGATCTCAGAGACTATAAGAGCTAAGGCAACCAAATTTGGTTTCCAGACTCATGTGATATCCCACTGCTACAAGTGTATTTCAAAATTTCGCCCCGCCCCTTCCGCCCCCACAAAGAACGAAAATCTGTGGCAGGCACATTTTTAAAGATACGATAAAACTAAAAACGCAGTATCGTAGAGAATGCCCAGACTGCTGAATCTGAATCAGATCGGATCATAATTATAGCCAGAATGACGAAATTAATTTTCAGTTGCTTCCCCTGCCCCCTCCAGCCAACGACAACACAACTCATTTTCCTTCTCGCTCGCACACTCTGCCGCGTTCAGTGCGCGAGCAACCCCTAGCGGAGGAGATGTAGAATCTAAATGGTACATGTATAATCTACATGTTAGATGTATAATATACATAATATATGTAGATGTAGATAACAGATGTAGCAAAAAAATGTAAAATGTAAAATTTTTTTTTTTAATGCTAAAATTCAAAAAAATCATATGTTCAAAAACGTAAATACTGACTGAGTACGGGTATAAGTAGAGTCGCGTTTTTAGAAGCGACTCACACGTTCCTTCTCGTTGGTTATTGCTTAAGGTTTAACCATGGGCAGTTAAACTAATAAATGAAAATTACATGAATACGAATCAAACTGGGACTGATTTATTGGCTCAAGTAGCCGCTATGGCCCAACTCACAGCCAAGTTAAAGTCAGAGAAGTCAGAGAAAGTCAGAGCCGATAGCCTATGAAATCAAGAATAAATTAAATTAAATTATTGATTAACAAAGATTTGAACTTCAAAGTACAAGTATCGAAGGAAAATAAATGGAAATGTAGTTACGGCAAAGGCTACGGAAAGATTCATGGTCAGAGAAATAAGTAAGACATAGTTGAAGATGAAGAGGAAAGCAATGGCTAGTCGGACGGGATGGGACAGCGATGTTAATAATGCTACTGATGGCAAATCCTACTGCTTTCTAGAGAGTGGATGTTAATGAGACGCAACCTTCTCCTATAAGCAAGAAGTTGTATAGAAGTTACACTGAAGTACACTGAAGGCATAGATCAGGCGTAGAGGCGTTCTAAGGAAATGTCAGCCTTATCTTATCGACTACTCTATCCATAGTAGTCGATAAGATAAGGCTAACTACGATGGAATGTCATGCCGGTACGTTTGAAAATGTTAGGAGGAAGAATGTTTATTAAGCACCAATTGTTGAGGGCGTCAAGATCGGGTTGGAGAAATAACGGGAGCACGGGATCACTATAGGAAAAACATAACTTGACATCATCAGCATACATTAGGACTCGAGAATGAATATGAATATGGGGAATATCTTTAATGAAAAAATTAAACAAGAGGTGGCCAGGATGGCTCTTCTGAGATTCCTCAGTTAAAGATAAGTTAGATAAGTTCAAAATACCACAGTTATTAGAAACATCCGATTTAGATAAAATGGGAATAATATACGATTCTTTCCAGAAAGTGGGAAAATCACCGAGAGATAGGTGCACGCAAAGTTTTAGAACAGCACTGGGAACCATATCCGAGCAAGTAGAAAAAGAAAATTACATGACTGTAAATTAGTGAAGAGGCCATTATAATCAATGAAATCAATGATTGGAATGAAAGATGATGAGGTGAGAATAGAAGGAAGACTAGTGGAGGGAACAGAGTAGCAAAGTTGAAAAAATGAAGCGAAAAGATCAGCAATATTTCGATCTTTATTAGGCAGTATCGTTTTACATAAGAGAGACATTTTCGATCAATTAAAGACAAAGAAATTCTGGGAATCACGATTAAGGGGGAGTACTGAACGTATGTACTTCTTGGACAATTGCAACAATTCATTTTATTATTTATATTGATATTACTTATGTGCATGTTATTCATTTATAATAAGTATTGACACGAGATCATTGCTAGAGGAATCCAAGAATTGGGAATTCGAGACATTGATCAAAATACTTAGAAACATTTACCAAGGACAAGAGAAAGTTTACAATATTCGTATTATTGTGTAAGTACATAAATTCAAGAGTTGATTCGATTTTAAAAATTAGCATGTTTAATGTACTCAATAATTGTTTTGTTTGGTTTTTAGATTTGCCCGCTAACGGACTATACTTCCTGGTATATGAATATATACAGGATGTGGTGAAGGCAAAATCGGAAACAGGCCAGATTAATACTGCCTCAACCATTTTTGCTGGCGGCGCTGCTGGTATGGCGTACTGGATCTTGGGCATGCCCGCTGATGTCCTAAAGAGTCGACTGCAGTCCGGTAAGTACTTTTAACTAAAAATTGCTTTCCATTACGAGCAGTAGCTAAGTATGCATATTCTTATATTACAGCCCCTGAGGGAACTTACAAACACGGCGTTCGAAGTGTATTCAAGGACCTAATTGTAAAGGATGGGCCACTAGCTTTGTATCGCGGCGTTACGCCTATTATGATTCGCGCATTCCCAGCCAATGCGGCATGTTTCTTTGGGATTGAGTTGGCGAACAATTTTTTTAATGTTGTGGCACCACAGTTCTAATTGCATATAGTGTTTGGTTTCTTTCTTGTTCAGTTAAGTCATAAAGTTATGTTAAATAAATATATTTTTTGATATGATGAACATGTTTAAATACAAATGATCTGAGTTTGAACTTTGATGAAATGCAATTGCGTTCAATTTTAAATATAAAAAGTTAATTTAGATAAATAATATGTATTACATACATATGTACATATACGTCGCATTGAGTTTTGAAATGGATCAGAAGGCACCAGGTGGCGGATAGCGAACGGCCTTCCTCGGTAGGTAGCTCAGCTGCGAATAGCTAGGTATCACAAAAAATTCAACCTAGTTGTCTTTGAGGAAGAGTTCCGAAAATAAGCAGTCTCGGACAGCCACCGGGTGTTCGCGAAGCAGCAACACTGACGATACGATATGCCTTATCCGAGAAACGTGAATCTCTGCCCGGACGGACCTACCCCTTCTTTCCAAATCGTCGGAACAGAATGGACAGAATGGTAAACAAAAACAACACAAAACGAGTCTGGCACTCCCCAACTGCAAACAGGGAGCAATCCCATATAGGGAAAGGCAGGAAAAGGCAGACCCAAAGGTCTGGCCTAACCCGCTACACAGCAGGGACATAATGTGCGGCGAACCCAAAGGGGTCCGGACCTGGGGTGGGTGGTGAATCGGCTCCCAATACCGATACCCAAAGCGCTCCAGAGTCCTGTGCAACATATCATTCGCGCAAATTTCCAGGAAACGACATAGACTTCCTAATGGGCTGCGATGCCAACGCTCACCACACCAAATAAGGGAGCTCGGATACAAATGTGAGGGGGTGAGTCACTTTTCAGCTTCATCCTTAACTCTAACTTGGTAATTTGTAATCGCGGTAACGACCCCACTTTTATCATAAAAACCGTCAGGAGGTTATTGACCTCACCTTAGTGTCTCACAAACTATCAGACATCAAAAGTCAAGAGTTTGAAAGTCCTAAACAACTTCCACTTCCTTCCACTCCTCTTCTGACCATAGGTATATCGAGAAAATTCTATCTCTCGAGAGCTAAAACCTACTGACTACATTAACCCAGGAAATCCAACTGGGAAACATCTAGTACAACCATGGATGAACTACTCCCGCCCATATCACTCCAGACGATCTAAATCGTTTAGGGGACAGATTCACGGAAACATGCAACAAGCCCTTCACGGCAGCAAACCAAGGGGGAAAAAGACACCCCCCCTGGTTTTCAAAACAAATAGATATCCTACGTAGGAGCTGCAGGACTCTCTTCAACAGAGCCACAAGCGCCAACGAGGAGAAACACTCTGGCCCTATACAAACAAGATCGAGGACTTTGCTGCAAAGTAGTGGCATACCCTCTGCGTACAGAGGCATACCCTCAAACCCTCTGCAGTTTAATGACCGCGAAGTTCGCGCGACTGTCAAAATGGTCTGGGAGTTTATCCTTCAAAAAAGGAATTTTTTTTATTCTCAAATATATACAAAAATCCGCATCTCAACCCTCCAATACCAAACGAATGCAGGCTCTCCTTCAGCGACAGTGCTTACTTAGGTACTTAGGGTTGAGAATTAACAAGAAGCTTAATTGGAACCTGAATATCAAAGAAAGAGTAAAGAAGGCCTCGATACCCCTCTTAACTCTAAACGCTCTAAATACGGCATGATCCCAATCATAGTCCAATGGATATATCTAGCAGTAGCTAGACCAATAATACTCTATGTAGTTACAATATGGTGGCCAGCCCTTTCATCACCAACCAATTGGCCAAATTTCAACGAACTGCAGCTCGATGCTTCAGTGGAGTTCGCCGCACCACCCCAAATGATGCGCTAAAAACTATCTAATGCCATCTGAGCCTTGACCAGGCAAAAATGGCAGCAATTCGTTTGAAAGACTAAACTATGGGTATCACAGCACATCGGTCACTCATCCATTTTAAATGGAAACAATATCGTCCATACAAAAACGGGCTTCTGCGTTTCGAGTGAGTACACCGATACCCCTTTTGAAATAATTATCCCTCACAGAGACAACTGGCTCTAAGGGGCCACCGATCTCAGACGGGGACATACGAATGTTCAGGAAAACCTGTTCGGCTTCTGCCCGGCTGTCAGTAGAAGAAGGCTACAACACTTGGGCTCGCCCTTCATAACTGACATTTCAGAAATGTCTACAATCTATCCCAGAAGGATAGAACACTTTATAAGCGCATCCGCAACGGGCCGAAACCTACCTACGTGTAACGGGCTCATAGCGCCTGACAGCCGCCCTGACCTAACCTTACCTAACATACATACATACAGCGAGAGGCAAAAGAGAGTACACACTCATAACCACTGACTTTCGTCGCAAATAACAGCTAAACGAATAAAGCAAACCAAAACAATTTTTTTAATATATCAATCATTTCATTTTTAACAAATAAGCAATAATAACAAAATCAAATAAAAATTTTTTAGAGCGAAAAATAAACGAAAAGGTACTTGTGAGTCGCTTCTTTGGACGCTCAGTGAGTATACAAATTTGTGAGCTTATAAAAAAAATATAAAATATTTTAAAATTCTACATATATCATAAGATCACAAAATTTATATACTGACTGAGTACGGGTATGAAGGTAGAGTCGCGTCCACAGAAGCGACTTACACGTTCCTTCTCGTTTCAACTACTACGTCTCGTCATCCAGTCAACAGATCAAAATTTCATTAAAAATCAAACTAACCGGGACGGAATGGGTTAACTATACTCGACTTCTATTATATGAATTTTCATCCTAAAATTATTTTTTATGTAAGCAGCGGTTATTACACTATTATTGCGCCATTCTTGTCATTCTAATTAATTGATTCGGTTGACTTCGAACATTACATATGTACACCATTCCATGTAACTCAGGTTTTCAAAAACTGTTCTATTAAATGTTAGATTAGATAACCATAGCGCCTTGTATTGATGTAACAAAGCGGCAATTAATACTATTTATGAGGTGGTTTTGATTGTCGTACGATAGTTGTTGTGTGAAATATTTAAGTGTTCTTTACAGATCTACCTGCTAATGGGCTATATTTTCTCAGCTACGAGATATTGACGTCTGAGTACAAGCGACGCTATGATAGACCCAATGTGGATCTGTTTCCGGCCATCATAGCCGGTGGAATGGCGGGTATTTTCTATTGGATTGGGGGAATGCCTGCCGATGTTCTTAAGAGTCGATTGCAGTCAGGTAAGTAAACTCAATTTCGAGTGCTATCCAAATCTTACCCACAACCTTAACTGAAGCTCCTGAGGGGACATACAAGCATGGCATACGAAGCGTTTTTGTGGATCTCATGAAAAATGACGGCCTACTGGCGCTATACAGAGGAATTACCCCGGTTATGTTGCGCGCTTTTCCCGCGAATGCTGCCACCTTCTTCGGTATCGAGCTAGCCAATGCTTTTTTTCGAATTGTGGCCCCAGACTTTTAGGACAGTAACTTTAGGCCAACCAGTATTATAAAATAGATAGATTTAGAATGCAGTTTAATAAAGTATACAAAACAAATGAAAAAATTAATAATTATAATTAATGTTCATAACAGCTAATACAAAATATCTGTTTTAATTAACGATTTATAAAAAAAGTTTTAATTGAAGCGCTTAAAATAAAAAGCGACAGCAAATATCCGAAGCATTTGGTTGGGATTCTAATAACGTTGGCTCTCCTGGAGTCCGTCCTACTTGATCCCCCCTCTCGCTCTAGATGTCTTTCTTTTCTGATTTACAATGTTAAATGCCACAGTGTTAAATGTTGACAGAAGGCGCTTAAATTAAAAAATATTTATCTTTATGAAAAGGACAGAAACTTGGTGCTTCCGCCTTATTAAGCTATTTTACGGTCATGATTATCGAAATTAAATAGCTGTCGCTTCATGTTCTCATTTTTAGATATGGTATATGGGGACAGCAGCATGGGCAACACATTCAGCGACTTTAGCTCGGGAAGACGAATATTGAGTACATTTTGATTGGGCTGTTTCTGTTCCGATTGATTGCTCCAAATGGGATCGATCCAATAAGGTAATTTCTATATTGTCAAGAGTATATTAAAATTAAAAATAGCCAATGCCACATTTAATGTAGAATGTCTCACCTCTGCGGGGTGCGTATCAGGATTTGCTGACTCAAAGATGGAGCCTATCGGCGCGACAGTATAACTAACTAAATCATATAGATCCCCAGATGCATTCACTGAGTGCTGCATAACGGAAGGTTGAAGTGGAGGCTGCATCTGCTGTGGATAGAAACTAGCCTGACGGCGATGCCATAATTTGCCCGACGAGTGCGCATGAAGAGTGCCTGGCATTATGGTGCTGGATGTAATGTTGGTCAAGTCTCCGGCTCCAAGGCTGACGTTTAGGTCGCCAGATGAGTTGAACGAACTGTTAAATAGCTGCAGGGAGGAGTTTAGGGAGTTCTCCTTGTTGCAGCAGCTGTTGTACAAGCTAAGGTTTCCCGCGCTCGATCCAAAACTATTCAGCAACGACGAGTTCGCACTCGGTGGAGAGCATTTTGTGGTTGTTGTATACTGCTCCTGGTAGTTCTGGAAGCTGTTTACCTGTGGCTTGAAGGACGCGTTGGATGTACTGGACACACTGTTCGCATATTCATTGGCAATCGCTCGTGTTTTGTGTGGCGGTGGTGCCTGAGCAGGTGGTGGACGATTGTGTTCGCCCAGAGGAGTACGGTAGGTGCGCTGCGCCTTGTGCTTGGCATAGGGCAACTTCAGGGAGCCGAACAAATGCTGATGACTGACTCCTGAACTGAGACGCACTATAGAGGGAATAAGGGGGGAGGGATAGCGTAGTTTGTCTTTTCCACTAATATATCTTACTTACATGCGCAGTTCACATTGAGTGACACATCGCTCCTTTCCTGAGTGGGTCCCTTGTTAATCGTAAAGAGATCCTCATGCGCAGCCACCACCGAATATAAGTTGGGAAATCCAAACTCAAAAGTTGTGCTCAGACCACAGTCCAGTCCGCTCTTGATTTCGTACAGATACATGCTGGGACGCTGTTCCAGCATTCGGACGATCGACATCAGAAACCTCATGAAGCTGGTAGGGCGAACGCACTGCTGATCATTCTCATCGTAGATCTGGGAAGACACCGAGGTCAATGCGCTAAAAGGTCTAACTACGGGATGTAGATGAAGAACTCACTCACCTCGATGGTATGTCGCATGGCATGCAAAGCAGTCTCTGTAAGCTGGATCGTGTGCTTTGCGTTGAATTCGCTTATGAATTGAGCTTTAGGCAAGGGCTCCAGGGCTGGCGATGCTGATGAGGAGACAGACTCAACGGCTCCTTTCGGGATACTTGTAGCTGATGGAGCTGCAGACTCTCGCTGCAGAATATGCTTACAAGCCCGATAACACAGCTGACGGAATTCCAGATCATCATTGTGGCAAATCAGCCAAGTGTCCTGATCCTTGTGTTGTACCTCTACATAGGGTAACTGCTCAATGGCCGTGGTTATATCCGAGACCCCTAACGTCTGCGGCTGCATCTGGTAGCCATACTTCTTCTTGTGCAACTTTAGCACCTGCTCCAGTTTCATGCAGTTCGTGGAGTTACCAGTGACATTCCGTATGAGGTCCTCGCACTGCTCAGCAAACACACGCCTGGCCACCTTTGGCGAGAGTAGGATCTTCTTGTCCTCATCACCGGTCAACTCCATTTCAACTACACCATTAATGGCGTCCATGAGGTCGGCCAGCTTCAGGAAACCGTAATCGCTGAGACGACACTGGTATGCAAAGTGATAGTGATACGAACGTACGAACTTCTGAAACAGTATTGTGTACTGGAGGGAATTCTGGAAGAGCTCCACCATTTCCCCCGCAAAAACGCATGTTTTTTCGAGCTCACTATTCGTCTGCTTGCGCTTCGGCATTGAAATGAGAATGTCCTTTCCCTGCTGCACGGAGCTCAAGACCACAATATTGGAGTTGACTAGGCCATCCAGAATGTCCACAATGTCGCACACTCCATAGTCAGTTACATCGAAATTCCGACTCTGGGTCTGAGCAAAAATGCCCGGCAATTGGGACAGCAGAACCGAATTATTACCATGAGCTCGTAGGATCCGCAACAGGTCGGACGTGAATCTGCGTATCTGAGTGCGATGAGTAAGAGTTATCTGGCGATTCTCTCCGTCGCCCATGATCTGGACTACGGAGGACAGTGCCTCAAAGAGCTCAATGAGCTTTGTGTAGCCATAGTCCGCCACACGACATTGCTTGCCAAAATGATTGTGATATGCCGGGATAAAGCGATTGAACTTCATCGTCGACTTTGGTGACATCTTTACGAGTTCGATAACCTCGCGCGAAATCTGATAAAGCGGATCAGCGACAGAGTTCTTAAAGTAGCTTCCGCCCGAGACATTCGAACGGTCGCTGCCGTTTAAGCTACTCAAATTCGAGCTGCACGAGATGGCTCCAATCGATGATGCCATCTCCTTGTTCAGCTCCAACCAGCCTAGAATCTTAATGCCGAAGTTATTCACCTGTATCTGTATGCCCTGAACACAGCAGACTAAGTGCTCCAGGTTGACGCCGCTTTCGTTAGCCATAATCGACACCTTCAGCTGGTCCTCAATGCAATGCAGAAGGGTGGCCACGGGTATGTCACCTGGATGATGCTTGAGAAGCGGATAAATGAGCTTCTGGATCTCTGAAATAGTCATAAATACGTTGGGCAGCGGCTCAATATCTTGCTCTGCCCATCCCTTGTGCTGCTCCTTCTTGAAGTGAACGGTGCAATAAGGGACACTGTGCTGCAGTCCCTCCATTAGAGGTGAGCTCTCCAAGGTGTTTACGAGCTCTGGCTGAAGACTAATAAACTTATCCTCATTGTTATCCGAGTTGATGGTACAGATGTCCTGCATTTTGTACAAATCCAGAACACTGATTGAGGTTTTAAAGCGCGACTGGAAAAGCTCTCGGAACTTATACATCGGCAGTGTATAGTACGGAACATCCTGGGAAAGAGCACAAAAGGGTGGGACACAAAGGAAAACTTAAATGGATAAGTGCAAATCCAAGTTTCTCATACCTTCAACAGTCCAGCGACTTGGCAACGCAACGTGTTGACCTCGGTCAGAGAAGAGTCGCGAGTGTAGCTGACCAGCATACGCTTGTGCCCAATCTTCTTACGATGCAAATTGGACACGACCTGCTTGGCAAACTTTGGAAAAGGAAGTTCAAAAATAAATCGGGCATGGCATGCGGTGGGGCGCTCACGTAAAGATCCGGCACAGTGACCTTGGCATAGGAGCTGCCCTCAAAGATCAGCGACACCACCGGCGTAATGGGCTTCAGTTGGTTCATAAGGAAGTTACGCAGACTTGACTCATCCAGTGAGTAGTCCAGATTGGTAATTTGCAGAGTGACTGCATCGCTGGGATCGGTAATTGTGGCGTAGGTCTGACCAGACCCTTCCCCATTGCTGCTACTGCCACTTGGGGCCACTGTGGAAGCTAAGGCCCTAGAACGGGGACCCACCATGCTGGGCGCCATTGTATCGATCAGACTGCTGGCGTAGCCAAAATCAGTGCCTGAGATACTGTTTGCGACCACGCTGGTGTGGTCCGTGGCACTGCTGGCGGAGGCGCTGATAGGGGGCGGAGCTGCCGACGAGGCCATGGGCAGGGAGAGAGGGCACATGCTGTTCGTCTGATAGATGGAGTCATATGGCTGATACGTCTGTTGCTGCTGCTGATGATTATGCAGCAACGGATGGCCGGGTACGGCAGCAACAGCCGCTGCAGCCGCGCAGGAGCGATTGTGATTGTACGGCATATAGCGACTTCGGTTGAAGCAGGAAGCGCTGCCATTGATATGAGCATGCTGGCACACCTCCAACTGGGTAGGAATACTGGCGTACTTCCCAGGCAGCATTCCTGGTGGCTGCATATACCCAGCCAATCCGTTACTGTTGTAATAGCGCAATCCCCCAGCTAGACCCACGCCGGAATTGCTGAAATCCGCACAAAGTACGCCCGATGGCAAAGATACAGCTTGTTGCTGGTAAATTTGTGGCTGTGACTGAGTCTGCGCCGGCGCATAGTAAGCGGTCGGTAGTTTTCCAGCCCTGTCACACGGCCAACTATTCCGTTGGAAAAGAAAATAATCACTAAATAAATATATGAATAATAAGCATGTATATACATACATATATTTGTTTCGGGTGTTTTTCTTAGAATTAAATCGAAATGTAATCGGAATTCGAAATATTGCTACCAAGTGCTCTAAAATATATTACATACATATGTACATACCTATACAAACGTTCGCCCATGTCGGTGGAAGAAAATGCGCTGCCGGTTAGTTTTATGCTGACTTCACGTGTTAATATCGGTGCTTGGCACGCCTCTGGTAAGCCGGGTACGTTTGCGGTTTATCTGGAATGCATACAATTAGAGAAAAACCCACAAACGGAATATTTTGAGATTCATGTAAAATTATTGTAAGCATTATTCTGACGATTGCCCGGCGTATTGATTTAAAAATCACATGGAATAACAACATTTAAATAATCATTTGTGTGTTGACTTCGCGCGGGAGGAGGTCTAATAAAACTGTTAACATGAAATGATTTGCATTCGCATATAAATTAAATAAATGGAATTAAAATGAAAAATAGGCTGCTGGTCATGTCAGCACGCCAGCGTAGAGGGTGATAAAGAGAGAGATACAGATAAAGAATGAGAATAAGGGAAGAGAGACGACACACCATAGCAATAGCTTCCCACGCAAAACATTTCAAGGTATTATTGAGTGGAACCTGGGCCGATTTTCGTTACGTTATTGTTTTTCTTACCCAACTGTTTATTGGACAGTTAGTGGAACAGTGGAGTTAAATCGCTGTGAATGGATGATTTTTAAGGGTACAGAATAACTGGCGGCTATAATTTGTATATAAGCTCTTTTATCCAATTACATATGTATGTAATTATTACTAAGCAAAGGTTATCTGTTTTAAAATAGTTTATTTTAATTAACAATGTTTTCATTACCGACGAGTTTCTTGTCGAGTAATTCGCTACACCGTTTCTTTCTAAGCCATGCATCAGTGAATTTATTATTTTTACCCACTTCTCCCAACAATAAAATAATAATACAATCGCGTACCCTTTGTACCCTTTCCAAAAGACTCACGTGTGCCACTGAAATGGTCGAAATATGTATAGACGATCCTCCGCTTGAAATCAATAATGATGATATCCTTTTAAATAAATGTAGGTGTTATCTTTGAGCCCCGCAACAATGGCAGTTAATAGCCGATAAAAAAGTATTAATAACAAAATCAATTTAACAGTATTGTAGATGAGAAAATTAACTAATTGACAAATACAAATAAAAAGGTCTCATTAAATTGAATCGGTTGTTTAATGAGAAACTCGTTAAATTTAAATAAAAGAAAATATACTCGAATAAAAAAGGCAATAAAGAAAACAAAAAATGTGCTAAGTATAAACCGCGTGTTCTTTCGCCGGGCACCATACAAATTCAATTAAAACACAGAGGGACAAACAAGTATTCGCTTGCGATCACTTGGACAACAACTGAGGTGACTGGAAATGTTTTGGCGCGGCTTTGGCGCCATGATCGATAAGTGGATGAGTATGAGTGGATTGGAGGAGCGGCATCACGTGTGCAGAACGAGTGAGAGAGAGAGAGGCTGGAGGCTGGAAGGTGTCAAGCCGCCTAGAGTTGCCAGACAGGGCGTGCGTACCCTGGCGTTGATGGAAAGCCTTGGACTGATCATTGCTTCACACGATTGCTGCCTTCAACAGGAGCATATCTGATCGCTGATCTGTGAAGCACAAGACTGATTTTTTTTGGCCTGGTCAGTGACGTTAAAGGGAAGCTGTACAAGAAACATAAGTGCGGAAGTTGAGCATCGAATTCCCTTCACTTTGTCTTTCGACGATCTAGATTTGCGTCATACACGGTTGAAATATGTATCTTCAATGCACTTTCATTACAGAACACGGTCACAACGCATTCGACTTGCATTAATGGTGGATAATGGACAAGGCTTAACAACCACAACCGCAACCGCAGCAGTATGTTCCCTTGTGGTAACCTCACCACTGATACAGAGCAGCACGGAAGATATTTGTAGTAATGTTTGGGATTTGCTTAAATTTGAATAAATATAGTAAACTAGAAATTAAAAAAGTTAAATGAGTCCAAAGGCAATTTGAATACATGCTAATGGATTAGCTAGCCAATAATTAAATGCAATAAAATCTGAAAAATTTATTGTGGGCGTTTCAATACACAAAGTGTTAAAGATAAGTTCAACCACATACCATACATACATGTGTATGTATATTTCTAATATTTGTGCTCATATTCAGCTATTTTATTTACATACATACGTATGTATGTACATACATACATATGTGCGTATATGGATTCGTAACTACTATCCTCTCTATTTGCAATGGCAAAGAAGGAAAAGCTAAGGGACTTCGAGTCAAGATTGAACATATTTACATACATATATATCTACAGTACATATGTATGTATATATGTACAAAAATTTACATTCTGTTCGATCGGTTTAAGTAGGGCATTAACATACCCATGTTAGTCGTTTACCCATGTTTATTTTCGTTCCAAGCTTCGTATCACAAAACTAGAGTTTTCCAAGTGGAAGACATGTACAGTTAGTTGATATGCTTCTTGCTTAGTGAGAGGAGGAGAGGAAATGAAGTACACAGAACGAGAGAAAGAGCAAAGTCTCTCCTTCAGTCTCTCATTTCGGACTTCTGCTATCGTGCTTTTGCCTTTAGATTTCCTTTTGTTTCTGCGTCGCCGTTTTTGTCTTCGTTCAACGACTTCTCTGGCTCCGGCAGTGGCTGGGATACTTTACTATTTTGATTAAACATTTTCTTTGAAGTCTTTTCTTTTCGTGAAGTCTGCCAGTTAGTCGGTTTTGTTGCGTGCCTGTCTGGCTGCCTGTGTGTGAATAAAAATAATGAAATAAATAAGGAAATAAATGAAGAAAATGAGTTCAGGGATTTGGGTAATTGGGCCTACGACATTTCATGGTGTGACAACAGCAAAAATAAACCGACTTCAATAGTGCACATGCTGATTAACCATTTAAATAGAAGCGGTCCGATCCACTTGTGTGTGTTTTTCTACATACATACATACATACATACATACATACATACATATACATACATACATACATACTCGTAGTATGTATGCATGTATTTTTCCCAAAAGAGAGGTTCACGATCAGGAGTTAACCGACTCCTGAGTCCGGACAGCTGTTTGGGCAATTCCAAAACTTGGACTTACATACATTTGTACATATGTACATATGTATGTACATATAACTTGGAAATACCCTCGTTCCTGTTACTTCCATTGTCATTGTCTGTTCCTCAGCCTGATTCTTGGCTGCTGTAGAGCTTCTGATAAGCTCGTTCGTTCGGCATCGTTCGAAAAAGCTCTGCTCGAACCGAGCGAATGTACTAAATTATAATACATTTGTGTGTATGTAAATTCCGATGTCGGACATTAAATAACGAAATTTAATAAAAACATTTCAATCACTCAAGATGTTCAGGAAATCGGATTCATTTAATTGCTAGCAGTCACCAGCCCATCTTGTAATTGCGCGGCGCGGATAATCTGAAATACCGGCTCCCATTTCCGAGAAGTTACTACGAGTTACCCTTCTCCTTCAGAGAGCTTACCGTCGTCGGTGTGTGTATGAAGTACCATAATCCAATTAACAATTAACAAACGCGAAACCCAAATAAAAGCAACAACAATGTTAGTGATGCAAAAGAGTAAGTTACGATATACTACTGCAGAAATAGATGTAGAAAATGAAAATACTATTTGGGGAGACAACCATCAACCAAAAAACAAAAACCAATTTCCAAACAAATGGATTAGCAAACGCTGATTATACTGATAAATTATGTTATGTACGTTATGTACATATGTATGTACATACAACACACTAAATGCATTTAACTAATATTATATATTAATATGAATTGAGATCGCGATCTTTACATTTTGAGATTCTTTCTATATAAATGTGTACTTTTAGACAGTTTTCTAGATTATTTTAATTAATTTATATATTTTAGCTGGGGGGTCACTTCGGTCATCATCATTGATTGGCAGTTATACAACACCAAATGGCGGGCGAGCTTTTTCAGATTGTCCAGAGATCAATGTACCCGCTACCGAGTATCAGATATCACAATAATCAGGGATTGAAATTCTCAAAAGGGTAGATTAGAGGCTAAGGGAATAGCCATGAAAATAACTTGGCACAAGATACCATTTTTAGTTCTTTGATCTTCACTTACTTTTAGACACTACACTTATTAGATCCAAACGAAATAGATAATAAATACATTTTGTACAGATAGCCCATTTGTCACACACTACGTCCCTCCCCATGGCGATAATTAAATTCTCACACAATTTGCTTCAATATTTTTTTCAAAATTAATGTCCCCAACCATAATCCATATAATTAGAGCATTGTTTATGGATATTTTTATGACCATCAGCAGCCTCTAAATGTCTTCATTATGCTCGGACATTTAAGCTCTACTTGGGAATTACAAGTAAGCTTTTTTGTTTAATTATTATACTCGACTGCGCTGCGCTTATGGGTATTAATGGGCTTTTAAATGCTTGTAAGCTGTATACCTGACATAAAACAATTTGATTGTCGCTTAAATTGATTACATACATACACATGTACGTAAGCTGTTGCCTGGATGGTCACTGAGTCGTACTTGAGATGCGTGAACTTGAACTTGGCTCGACTCGCAGCACTGATAATACCCAATCCAGCCGATCAATCAGAGGTATACATATGCTACATACACATGTACATATGTACATAAATACTCGTAGTTAGCAATGTGTTGTACGCTACTTGCGATGGAAAAACTGTTACAAGGCCATGACCAATCCACAGACATCGATCGCCCGGCTCGCCACGCGAACGAACGTAATGCTTAATTCTGTGCTACTGTAATTTTGAATATACATACTCTTACATATGTACATATGTATGTACATCGTTATTATTATGCCTTTTTCCAAAAACCGAAGCACTCCCTGATACGTTTAATTTTCGACGCATAACAAATTAATTTTTGTATTTAAATTCTAAAACACAACCAGTAGGTGGTTTGAAATTCTTCACAGCATTTTTGTGAATAAATTGTTGATTCACCAATAATTTTTTTGCAAATTCATGATTAGCCAACTGAAATACGCAAAACATGGACAAAACAAACCAAAATAAAATCACACGCTCCTGCTGTGCTCCCGAAGGGGTACTTACAAATTATTGTAAGGCTTGGCAGGCTTAGCGACAGAATATAATCTGAACAAATTCAGAAAAGCGCGACGAATTTCATATGTATACTTTGTAGATCGCCGACGGCCATTAAAAGTATACTTTGAAATATATGGCGTTGAAAATCACACGTAAAGTGAGCAATATGGCGTCAAAATATCCGTAAATCTTTTCAGCGGTTTTGGCTCTGCCTCTATGAATTTTCATATTCCCATATGACAATATACGCCTCCAGCTTCAGACAATAACAAATTAAACACTCTCCTACCGCTTTCGCTTGAGTAAGTGAAGAGTCCAGCAAAAAGTTATTTTTTATCCTAGTCTATATACATATATATAGTCCAATCCGGCCGACTTGTAAAAATGATTCTATATGAACTATGTGTGTAGAGGAAAATGTCGTTGAGATATGTAGCTACTAGCTATCGAACTCAGGGTTTTATTAGTTTTTTTACATATCGTACGTGGAAGCCGACTGAAAAAAAGCCAGACGGATAGCCGGACAACGATAGATATACTCGGTTTGTCATTCTATGACTAATATTATAAATATCTCTATTCCTTTTGATTTGGATATTTTATTATATTTTTTCCGCTAGCAAAAATCTTTAATAGTATGCATTTTTACTCTATTTATCTGGTTCTGGTCAATTCTATTCTGTTTCCAGAGCATTCAATCAACGTTTTGCGAACCGAAGTTCTTTTCGATTCACTACATATATATAAACATATAATATTTCGTCCACATAGCAATTTGTTATGCCAATAAGACAAAGTTCTTTTCACAAGCTTCTTAAAAAGTAGAAGATGAAAAAGAGATAAAACATCATCAGCAAGCAGCTCTTCAGCACATCAAAGAAAAGTGCTGACTCAAAATATATACATACATATGTACATACATATGGGTATTCTCGTAAATAACGTGCATACTATCATACATACAGATATACATATGTACATACTATGACGACGCGACCTGTTCTTCGATCGAGTTGTTGCCTGTATCATGAAATTGTTTCGGCAAAACGCCTGCCTTTTATTTTTGTGTTGAATATTCTTAGCTCATTGCGTATGTTTTGGTTAAGATTGCTTAATTTTTTTGTCTGACAGGGGAAGTTCCTTGCCTGCATCAGCCTGACACAGCAGAAAAAGCAGACACACATCGCACATGGGGGATATGGATAACGATATCAGATTGAACTTGGCTGTAACCTGTGAAGCGATGACTTAATTAAAGGCAATTAATAGGCTGATGGTTTCGAGGATTTAGCGTAGCTCAATAGCTACGAGCTACGTGTCAACATCCCGTTGACTAGTTGCCAGGTCGTATTACAGTTACATGTGTATTGTGTATGGATTGGAGTACTAGTACTCCAACAAAAAGCTACAACCGGAACAAGTCAAACACCCATTCCAAGCACATTATTAAACTCTAACGTACGTATTACTGTCGATCCAGAGCCGTAACCGGAGCAGCTTTAATTACCGCCGTGTTTGCACTTGAAGAAATCAAGAATCGATTCAGAAACAATGTTAATTGATAATTGCGGGATAATTGCAGTAGCATTAGCAGCATGTGTTGATCCGGACAAGTGCAAAGTTCGCTTTGCCCAGTGAAGTACGAGTTGTTAACCACAGACACAAATTTGGCGTCCGTTGGTAAAAATTTGCATGCCTGCTATGGCTAGTTTACAAAGTCTTCCGATTTATGGCATTGCTCGAAGTTCGTTTGTACTTTTTTTCCACTCTCCTCTGGCACTTATTGCATTGCATTTTTCTAGATATTGTTTGCTGATATTACTGATTAGATATCTCATCAGTGGTTAATGGGTGTGGGGGATGGATGGGGGCTTCGCCTACACTCGTATCATATCATTAATCAAGCACTGAGCAAAGCGGAGGGAAACAAGTTCTCTAATATAGCAAAAGCCTTTTTGACTGATTGCCTCTCAGAAACGAGTAAAAATGATAGGGAGAGCTAATGATCGACAAATGATTTAACTAGGGAAACTAACAAATCGGCTGTCGTCCATCTATTTCAATTGATTGCAAGTACAGTTGTGCCACATCAATATTGCATACCTGGAGAGAACCTACTCATTACAAACAACTCATCATCATACTCCCAACATAAACTCAAGCTCCAGCTATGATAAATTACATTTGTCGACCTTTCTGGGAGTATTCATGCTAATGGTTGATCGTTTTCAAGTACTTTTGCTTACATTAATTTCATCAATTGGCTACTAATCGAAATATCAAATTGCACTTGAATAGGGTCATAGATGTCTAGTACGGAAGAATCAGAATATAGACAGCCTTGAGCGACTCCCAACTGCGGAATACCCTTTTTATAACATTAATTTTGTGTACTAAAATCTCATTAATTTACATCCGTAGCCAATAGTTACATAAACGTACATATTTATTTAACTATGCCGCATGGGATGCTATAAAAACAGACAAAGAATGATCTTATCCCTTTTAAACTGGAATGTGACATGTTTTCAAAACCAAATGTAAATCTTAGGCGCATGCAGTTCTGACATTCCACACCTTTTCGCAGTGCAATAAAATATTATACAAAATGTTCACATTAGCTAAATGTATTTTCCGTATACTTTTTCATTTTGAATTGCATGCAAATGTGTCATAGAACTATGCGATACCATGCATTTTCCAACAGATAATTAAATTGATTATTAAAATTTGTCTGTTTTTGCTGGCTTATTGTTACTAAATTTGTATTTCTTATTTAAATAATTTCCGCATTGACGTTTCATTTGCCGTTAATCTCTGATTCATTAATAAAGAATATACATATATATATGTATAAGACCAGCATCACAACAACCATAACAACAACAACCCACATCAACGTTCAAATGTTTAGTTTCCAATAAAGAGGAGAGCCTGAGGAGATATCAATCTATTTCATTGTTAAAGCCAGGCCGTGGCCTTGCCAAAGACGTTTGAACTCGCATTTTTGATCATATAAAAATAAAAACACAATACACAAATAAAAAAAATTATCAAAAATTTAAAAACTAATTGTATAAAAATATAGTATAGGATTGTATGTCTTGAGAGCGTGGGATGTCGGGGTGACCGGTGTAGGCCAGGCGTTTCTTTGTGAGAATCAAAATAATTGAATGAATTTGTACAACACATACATATGTACCATGCAGATGTGATGGTTTGACATGCATACATACATATGTATATTTTTACATATGTGCAATGTGATGTTTTCATTATAATAATTGTTGCTGCTGCTTTGATTATTTTTTTTCTACTACATTTCCCAGAATTAGTTAACAAATTGGAATTGCAATTAGCCAGTTGTATGCCTTCATAGCTTGCTAGCCACATATGCAATTATTAAAAGCTAAAAGCGAAATACTGGGCATTTTTGAGCGCATTTGGGCATTTTTTTCCTGTAGAGTGAATAACCGTGTAACCCAGATGATTGACAATCTAAGACAATCTTTGCTCTAATCTATATACTTTTTTAATGGCGAGGGAAGCGGAGGCTATGTCTTGAACTGGATGCAACCCAAATCGTATTGTCAATAGTTCAATCGTTCAATTTTTAAAATGAAGGGAAGGGACAAAGGAGCCTACTCTGCATATAAGGTAGCCTCACCGTTCAATCGGCGAACAGGGTATCACAATGAAATGTGTTATTGATATAAGTTGGCGTTAATTGGCCATTTTCCAATTCATTGTACGGATCATTCCCATTGCATCGCATTCCGTTCTGATTCCTTTCGGTCCGTGGGTCCATTTGGCGGATCCATCTCCAATTAGCGCGTTTGGTTGGCTAATGCTAACTCGCCCTTATTAATGGTAGTGTCAGTCCAGTCGCCGTTTCGATTTTATTAAATATTACTCGTAATTGCGACTGACTTTCGAAACAACTACATCAACAGTCACAGGGTTCACAAGGGTCAGGAGTTATTAGCAATCTCCGGCACTATCATTAGTATTGATAGCACTGACGTCGCGCCGTTGCGCCCTAGAATGGGTAGCCATAGCCCACCTGAATTGCGAGCAGGTTCTCGCTTCTTGGCTCATGTATATTTAATTTCCAACGGAATCACAATAGTTGCAGGTTCCCTACCCTCTCCGAGCAGACTTGAGCGCAACCAAAAACCAAATACAAATCCAAATACAACAAATTAAAATAATTTACATTAGATTTGGGAACAGAAATAGACTAGAGTTCAATTGATAATGTTAATCAGGCAAGTGCAATTTAAATTGGGGCATGGAGAAGCCAAATACAAATCAAATAAATAAAAACAAACAAAGGAAGAGTTGCGTCCAATACTTTTGCTTTTCGGGTACCGGAACGTCAGAACGTTCAGAACCGCCCCCTTAATTTTTTTGGTGAGGGCAGTAATTGCTTAGAACCGAAATACAGCTCTGTGCAAACACTTGTCTAAGTTTAAAACTAAAGGACATTCGACTGTTGATGCTAATGAAGAATATGCTCGTACTAAGTAAGAAAGGTACCCAATGTGGTCGGAGTCAGCACAGAAATTCATTCAACTGCATAACACCCACTTCTAGGGTACAAAAATTTCAAAACGCAACGGAAAATAGCTTTCAAATAAGCAGTGCACCCAATACTTAAAGTTGAGAAATCCGTTCAATCGACATCAGTCAGCACTCTTCAGCACTCTGCAGCACTGATGATGGCAGCTCCCAAATACGAGATCGATTTTCTAGGAGTATTACTCTCCCCACCTGTCAGAGCCAATCGAATGAACACCATATCAAGCCACTTAAGTGTTAGCAAACGCGTCGGTATGGCGAGGGGCGTGTTCCAAAACCGTTCAAAAGTAAATCCATAGTTCCATTGTCCACTCCACCCAGTAGACAAGCCACAACAGACAAGTTCCAGCTCTCCGCCGCCCTATCATTAGCCTTTAGGCCCCTGTTAGTTCGTGAAATTTCTAAACCAAACAAGCCGAATTCGACGCTGATTCAAAATCCCAGAGACTCAGTCCAGAGACGTGGAATGTAATTTGTCTTTTATTAAATGACAACAAAAAATAAAAAAAATAAAAACCGCTGGACAAGACTTTTTAGAAATACGAGTATTTCGGCGCAGACACATAAACGGCGACTTTGTTTACGGACGGAAAAATAATAAACATTATTTGAACTGCGTATTTTGACGGACATCGAGACGGACTGGAGCTCGATTGAATCTTGTTAAATTTAAATACCAAAAAGTTTTCCATTCTGGCCAACCACGCGTCGTATGAGTAATGTGGCGTCCAAGACACGGACGAGTCAGCCGGCAAGGCATGGTATTTCCCAGACATGGCATGGTCGAGGCCCAGACCGGGCCGGCTATAGCATCCCAGCCTAGATCCAAACAGGTTTGGACTTAAGCTCCTTCTAGCTCTGGCAGTGGCTCTGACTGTGGCTTCTGCTTTTGCTTCTGGTTTAGATCGATCAGAAGACCGGCTCAAAATAAAGCAACAGCTGAGCTAACTGCGAGCTGCGAGTTGTTGCCAGCTACGTAGCGTCGGCGTGTCAACGTAACGTAGGCCATCGCCGCGAGGAGAGACACGACAGAGACCCTAGGACGGGTTCGCTCGCGCTCCCCTCTCGCACTAGCACTAGCACTCGCATTCGCACTCTCACTCTCTCGCTGGCCTTTGGCAGCTCTCCCTCTCTAGATGATCTTACTAAACTAAAGCCGTACGTTACCTGGTCGATCGCATCACGTCCGTGTTTTCATTCATAAGCGAGCATTGCTAGCGAACGGACGCCAACGCGCTTAGGCCCAAGTCCAGCTACAAGATACAAATAAGATAAGATACAAAGGGAATTCTGAATTCATGATCCAGGAGCTGCAGCAGCAAAGGCCAACACTAGTTTTTAAGTGCCGCGGCTGAAAAGATCATTTGAAATATTTCAAGCAAAGTGTAATAAATGTGTTAACAGAAAACGAACGCAGTTAAAAGTAAAAGCAAAAGTAAACGTAAACGTAAACGTAAAAGAAACAGTAAGAAACTTAAAGACTCGCAGAGAATATATATTTATGTCCCCCGAAGTATCCAAACACAAACTGTTATTATGAAGGACTTTGGCAAAATGTTTGCGCGACGTTATAGTGCAGTTTGTGTGAGCGATGAAGAGGCCACCGCCAACGCCAGCGCCAACGGCAACGGCCACCAGCAATCGATGTCGATGATGCCAACAGGATCCAGCATGTGTGCCTTGCCTGAAGCGGATCCTGTCGCCGCCTCGGCCGCTCTAGCCGCTCTGCAGAGGGCCCAGCGCCGAAAGAGCCTCAAGGCGAATCGCTCGATGAAGCCGATGGACATCCTGGGCAGCTTCTTCAACGAGCCAAACCAAGGCAAACGCAATCGAGTTCCCACACGTAAGTTGTAATAATTCGAGTACTCGTAATGGTCTCTTGAAGCCCTCGAGCTGTACAGCTGCAGGCGTGATGCGGTCGATATCTAGAAATTTCTAAGCTTCACCCTCTTCTGCTTCTGCGTCTGTGCGTCTGAAGCGATTGCCTGAAGATCATTTCGAGCTGCATTAATTATGAAACGTTGTTGTTCGAGGCGTTTTTAACCGCGCGCTTCTGCCACATGCGGAACAAACAAACAAGAAACGAAACGATACGATACGATGCGATAAGATACGATACGAACGGCTCACAAAAAGCCATCAAAGCTGTTTAGCATAGCACTTTATGTTTGTTGTTGCTTTGATTAGCAAAATTCAAAAATGAACAAAAGCCAAAGCCGATTCGACAATGACATAGTTTGGCTCGAAGTCTTCTCGAACTATCTTGTCGTGCTATAAGCCAAACAAGATCCGAAAGAGCGGGCCCAAAGTGCTTCCGAATCAATTACCAATGCAATTGCCAATGCAGTTGGACCCTGAACTTGACCATAACATGCTCGTAATCGATACATATCCCACTTTCCATATACATATGTATGTACATATATTATGTACGTGTGTACTGTATGTACAAATGACTGTTTGAGCTGTGAGGCAAGTTCAAGTTTCGAATTACAGCCGATCGAAATGACAAGTGTAGCAGCAGCCGCATATCAACGCTGACCTCTGTGATTGCAGCTGGCGGCGACCTAGCTGTGTGCTTAGACCACTGCATATGCGGTACAAGCGAAATTCGGCAAAAACTTTACCTAGAAAAACAGCTTGATTACTCGTATTTTCGCTAACGTCGAGGTCGTGAACAGCACGAAATTTCGAACACTTTCATTTGCAGAACTTTCAAAGTATGTGTGTTCTGAAGAAAAGTACAAACACTTAATAATGCTATAGCAAAAGATACGTATACATACATACTGCATGCATATGTACATACATATGTACATACACTTGCAGTTACGAGTATGTGCGCACTCAGTACGAGTATTTTATTTGGCTTCAAGTGATATGAACATTGGTTAAAGCATGTGCTGAGTACTTCCTTATACGATTTTGTCCGATTGGAATTAGTCAAATCAAACAGGAGGGATGTAATATTGTAAAATATACAAATGGGCACGTCAGGAATCAATTCTGATCTGTAGTTCACTTTGCCAATAATTTAATGATGCCAGAACTCAATCAACTGCAAATTGAGACCGTTTCCTTTAATCAAAATTAAACGCTGAATAGAGTCCACGTGCACCAGTGCCAGAACGAAAAGCACACAGAATTAATTGATAGACACAGGGGTCAGGGTTCAGATAGGGTTTAAGCAATTATCTTTTGATTTTTGGATTACGCAAAAAATATAAAAGAGCCGTGTCTGCAATTAACTCCTTAATTGGCTATCTTTTGCTGGAATTTCGTTCCTTTCTGGAAGGAACATCACATATGTACATACATACGTACACATGTATACACATGTACATATACACAATAATGTATGTATGTAGGTTCTGTGGATGAATTTAACTTACGTAGGGTTTGTTTGCCAATTATTGTATGGCTCGAGCTGAGATAAACTAAGATTAATATATTGTACGTAGTATATGCGTATGTAGATATTAACCGATACGTTGGTACGTTTATCCATATAGTTTCCGTTGGCGGCCAAAGAACAGGTTGATATGAATATGAACATACATATGTATATGCATATGAGATCAGTTTGGCCGAGAGCATTGACACAGGCCACCAAAATCTATGAATCAGATCAAAGCAGTTCCCCGGTAAACCGAATGCACAACAATATACATATGAAGTCAAAATTGATTTGAAAATGCAAAGGACCAGTCAATACACCGTTCAGCAGAGTCTAGACTAGACTCTAGAGATACATAATCGTTGACAAATTGCAGATGCTTTTCTATTCCACGAGTCGAGTGCAATGCCAGAAAGTTTCTTCGGAGTAAACAGAAGATACGATGCAGAATAATATTTGGTGGCGACTTGATTGGGAATTTCGACGGCCTCACATTTATTATTCATTTGGGGGCGGTCCCAGTCCCAGTCCAAGTCCAAGTCAGACCCAAAAACCGAACCGAACAGACAAGTTTCGCGCCTCGCTCGCATAAATTGGCCAGCGAACAAATGTGATGTGGCTTGTTGCGGTTATCAAAGGCGAATGCCTCACAATAAATAATTACAATAAAAAAGTGCCTGTTCATGGCCAAACAGGATTGTCGGATGGGTTTTATTTATACGTTATACGTTATAAGTTATTTTTGTTCTTGTTCGACGTGCAAAATTATTTATGCAAAAAAGCGGACACATAGATAATGCCCAAATCACAAAGTAGACACAAAGAACACACGCGAAATAAAATCCGAAAAACAGAATAGATCCCCAAGACATTCTACATACCCACCATATTGATTGAGACGCATCAAGTTATGGGCAGACCGATCTGGCGGTGATTAAAGAGAAGGGAGACCCACTGGGTGGGCACGGCACCAGCCTGGCCCGTGATATGTTTGGCTAAAGTAGCAAAACAAGTTTGGGGCATGGCATCCATAATTATAATTATTGAGGAGGCGAATTCTAGTTTGAGTTTAATTTTTTAAACACCCCACAACAAGAGGATGGAGGAACCCAGGCACTCAGGCACACAGGCGCAGCGGACAAGAAAATCAAATAAGTCCCATTAAAAATGTTTGCTTGCAATAGTGACTCAGCCCAGGCAAGAGTTTGCGGCATGTTGCAGCATATAGTATCCAGCATCCAACATCCAACATCCAGCATCCATCTGCTTACGACGCAATCAATTGGCGGCAGCGTTGGTTACACTTGTCAGCAGTTTCAAAAGGCTCTATAGAAGCTTTCGGTCTCGGGTCGAATCGGCATCAGCATCGGCTCTTCTCTCAGCTCTTCAACGTTCCAATGATCCAACGACCTGACGCTCCAGACCATCCCTCCTCTTAGCGTATGGGGCTATGGGTAATTCCCCGCCACCTTAAGCACAAATATTGCCAAATCACCGTTGAGCAAACAGAAATCTGTAGTGCTATGGGTGCTATGTGCTGGCTGGGTGCTGGATCATGATGATATCTGTCCGCGAGCAATAAAAGTGATTCATGGCTCGAGTGCAGAGGTGTCCCACGGGGATGCCAGGCAGAGAAGGTACATAGCTGTAGACCCCGACCCAAATGGGTTAAGTGTGTGAGGTGAAGCAACCTGGGAGTGGAGGCGCAAGAATTGTCTCGATCGGCTGACACTTTCACTTAACATTTTTCCACGTAACCTTCGTGGTGGATGATTCAATGAACTTTGATTGGCTGACGTCATAGGAATAAATCTAAATTGTTTGAAGACTCCAATCAGGTTTCAATATTGCTGACCGGCCAATAAGGTTTTACTATGGCCATTAATCACCGAGCGGAGCAGCCAGGAAACTCTGATATGGATACTATATAGAGCTTGACCCACACTCGTCACCGAAGAGCGTCCGAAACGAGTCCAAACTACTCCAAGTGGGGTTGTCAGCGCCATTTACCCAGCATTCTTCTAGTTTTTCGAGGGTCAAACAAAAGACTGCAGCCACAAACTTGGGACTCACAAGAGTTTCCTCTGTCCCCGGCCCTCCCTTCGAACTCGAACTGAAGCGGGTTCGCGTGTATGGTGTGGCGTGTGCGGAGTGCCAATGAAGCGGCGCATTCCCACGAGCAGGGCTGCTCGGTGGGTGGCAGGCACCAACAGCTGGCGGTACGTGCCGGGCAAGTCCAATCAGAACTCTCCGAAGCCGATATTTGGCAAAACAAACAAAGCAATTAAACAAAGAGCACCGAACAGCACAACATAATTTGCATGTACAAGCACAATTTCAATAAATATGAGCTGAGAACTGAGAACTGAGTACCGTGTACGTGTACGTGTACATCTGTGTGTGCGACTGCCAAGTTCTTTGTTCATCATTTTAGACGTTTGCATCTAGCCACAAATACGAAACGGTCAACACTGCATACAAAGTGATTAATTAAGAGGCAGAAATGTGAAATGGTTACAGCAATGCGACCATCGAATACCCTAGCTGAGCCATGGAAACTATACTGGAATATCAGATTATCAATAGTTGGTTTCCCCCTTTAAATCATAATAAGACCAGTTGATGGTGCGATTGGACAGCATTGGGAGGATGACTCTGATGGAGCACATCGGAGGCCATGCGATTGCGAAGTATCGTACCGCATGCCATAGCCAAAGAAACGCCCTCTGGGCGATTAAACATCATTTCAAAGGAAATGAAAGTTCCCGAGGGCACATCGGAGCCCCAGCGAGTCACTCAGTCTTAGTTTGATTTTGACTCTGGCCTGACGAACACTGCAAATACGAAAAACCCCCATCATCACCTCCCATCATGACTGTGGTGCGCCGCCGCATGCGGCGCCAGTCGATAAAAGAATTTCTGGGCGCACTGTACTCGCACCGTCGCTTCTCGCTGGAGAAGCTGCGCCACTTCCAGCAGTTGCGAAACCGACGCCAAGTGATATGTAAGCCAGAATCAGATTTAGAAACAGAAACAGGCAAACCATTCCGAAAACACTTTGTACGAGCAAACTTGCGGTTAGCCGTGGGGCCGGCGATCCGGGGTTCCAAGGAACTTCTATCGAATGTGGAAATTCCAGAGAGTCGCTCAGCCCAGCCAAGGCCATACTGAAACTGGGCAAGCAGCAACACAAATATTTGCCATAAAATACTTAAGCAAGAACGATGTTGAGTGTGGGGAGTGGGATGTGGGAAGTAGAGGGAATTAAGCTGTGAATGGAAAGTCTGTTCGAAACTGGTTGGCGCATAGAAGTGCATGCAACGACCCTCGCAGCAGGATAGGACGCAGAGATCGTTGAAGTATGTATAGAGTGAATAGAAAGAAGAAGAGAACAAGTTCAAAGCCAAAGGCAAAGCCAAAGTCAATGTCATTACCACAAGGAACACGAGACAAAAGCAAGAGAATGATCCGAGCAAGGCCACTACGAAGTTGATATGCTCTATGCGGTTGATCGCGTCAGAAGTGGTTTGGTTTGCTGATTCATCGATGTATCAGATCTGGGCCTATGCTAGACGATGTGTTGTGTACAATATGTACATGTGTGTGCATCGTTAATCAAGTGCCCGAGTGATAAGTGATTCGCAGTATGTGGCAGATTGACTGGTGTGGGAATCCCACTGCTAATAGGAAACTAAGAGTACTATCCGCTCGGCAACAAGCTCATCAATGCACTGCATTGCGAAACCCATTCCCACTGCATACAAAATATACACATCTTTCTTCATTTTTATAGAGTAGGTATCTCATTAGGGCCCAAACGAGTCGAGGCCCAGGCCCTAGCCAGAAATCAGTAAAATTCCACCGGAGTACACAACACACCCCTCTCTGACAAGCCACCAGAGAGGGAGAAACGCTTGAGTTTATTTTAGCGCACGCCTGACGACTAAAAGCAAATATAAATGTTGATTGCCCAGAATGATAATCAGCAACCAGTTCTGGTTCTCCATCTGAAGATGGTTTATCGGCAGATCTTTTCGATTTCGCTTCACGTGTCCCGGCCACGCATTTATGTCTTCGATGTAGATGCATATGGCCCCAACAATAGATGTGATGCATCGCGGATGCAGATGCAGAAGCAGAAGCTGCCTGGGAAACGGGAAAAACAGGTGGAATGGTGGACAGTTAGCCGGGTTGTCCATTTTGCGCACTCTCACATGACCAAAGCATTTTTCTGCTGACGACGTGATTGTTGCTATTCTGTTGCTATTGTTTCAATGAAGACATTTATATGCACGCATTCAGAATAGTCGGGGCATCGTGACTTATAGGCCATAAAATTCAAATAATTTACACTACGTACACGCTAGAGCCACATATTTGACACAAGACGTACATTCATACATACATATGTACATGTATGCATGGATGTACGTATGTATGCATACTAGTATTCCAACGCCCACAGTCTCTCACAGTCCATCAGACTCACGAGACTCACGAGGGTCGCAATACGTCACGGCTGGAAGATCGCCCGATTGACTTACACATACTAATCGTCCGATCAGCTGCTGTCCACAGCTGTCTGCGTCTGTCATGTACGGCATAATGCAATTCACTGCAATTAACATAATTCACGTCAGTGAGGCAGGCAGCCGTAAGAGTGTCGGGAGTGTCAACAGACTCCATGCGGCATGGCAGGCCACTGCGATTCTCAAGGTCGACTTTTGTGATATGCAAACAGGAAAGAAAGGCGCTACAGCTTCATTTTTAAGTACATATCTCGAAGGCGAAACGATTTAACTTTATTAAATATTTGTATACATACATTCCCAACGAACCCGTCCCAATAATCGAACTTTCTGACGAAAAACGTTCGGATAGAAATTTAATTTTTAGCACCTATGCATGGAGTAGCTCTTTGGAGCAGGGTATGGTAGAAACATCAGCTCGCTCGATATTCTTGTGTGCTTGTGTGCCAAAGCTGATCACATACATAAAATGTATGTATGTACATAGTAGACGGAATGATGATCAGTTTTGGAGATGGTAATTCAATGAATATTCTATTTTTTCATTTCATTTTTCGATTTTCGCGTGTGGTACACGTGCCTGGCTATTTATTCATAATGAAATTTGATTTTAATGAACTTAATGAGGAAATTTATATGTATTGTACGATCTTTCATATTGTATCTCTCATTTTGCAGGCGCATTTCTGCTTCTAGCGATTGGTTTTTTGGCCATAACAACGGCGGTGCTGGTTAAAGTATTTCAACCCTACGATTTGATATTCAAATGGGTAAGTCCAATAAACAGAAACTAAAGCTTTTAACTGCCGGCCTTAGCCTTTGTCAAATTGTTTGCCAATTATGTGAGTATGCCCCTATTGGAAGCCCGCACCAGACCAGACCCCAGGCCCCCAAGTCCCAGTGAGGAGCTTCAGCCTTCGGGTGCTGGCACGTACTTTCATAAATGCAGCTCGTTTAGGTTTAGGTGCCTGCAAGTTGTGCGCGTTGTTGAGCTACTCGGGCGACAACTCTCTGAACTTTATTTACGATATCTTTGTAGAAGTTGATAATGGCTGACAAGGGCGAAATCTTCAATCTTTGGGCCCAGCCACCAGTCGATTTGTATATAAAAATCTATCTCTTCAATATAACCAATGCCGAGGCGTTTCTAGCGGGCCGCGAACAGCTCAAGGTGGAGCAGGTTGGTCCATATGTGTACAAGTAAGTTATCCGGAAATTATCCGGAACCTCTGAAATCATTTCTAACCCACTCGCCCGTTCCAATAGGGAGATTATGACTCACGAGAACATCACGTTCAATGAGAACAATACCATGTCGACAACTCCCAGTCATCCTTTGGTCTGGCAGGAGCATATGTCCGAAGGTCGTCGAGAGGATGATAAGGTGATAATGCTCAATATTGCCATGCTGGTGAGTAAGAGTATATGTACATACATATGGTGACATCTGATAGGATACTACGAGTATTATTATGTTAAGTATTCTGCAAGGATTATAAGTGCTTCCACATCCTGCAGTGCTACAGCGCGCTGTGGGCAACTCAGTGATGATTGTCCGTCATTTTCATTAGCATACTCAACAGGTTTTGCCATTGCAAGCAGAAAGCTCAGAAGCTTAGGTGGAGGAAACTGCTTTACGTCATGAACCACATGGGCAAGCCTTCGGAAAGGCTCACTCTCTCGAGTGATGTCATTCCCCGTCCCAATTATGACGTGTTCATTCACTTGTAATATCTCGTAATAGGGCAGGCAGGCCCTACCGCTATCTCGATATGCAAATTGGGAGATGCAAAACACGAGCAGAGTACTGTTATCCCACTGCACTTCCCACTGTTTGCTTTGCCATCCAAGATCCAAGACCGAGTACACAGTACAGAAAAAACAAACAGCACAGGCTGTTCGATCGCGTGCCTGGCACACGACGAAAAATAATCATTTCCGCTGTGTGGAACAGTATGATAAAACAAACCTGCAACGAAGCTCCTCGCGAGGCAAACAGTGGGGCAGTGGCTCTCTCTCCCTCCCCGCATTTGGGTCAATAAACGATTCACATTAACAGCCACAATGACAGCGAGAAGAAAAAGTACTGTGAGTATGTTTAACTAAATGGCGGGCAATTAATTAGCCAACAATGGGCCCGACAGGGCAATCCCTACGTCTACCTGCGGGACATAAAATATGATCTGTACATGTGTAGATGTACCGATAATGGGAGGAGACTTCAGACTGGAGACTTGGAAACCAGGAGAACTATTGCCTCAATCGATTGCTATGGCGGAGGGGGGCGTGTTTGCCAATGTCAAATGATTGGCAGCAATTTTCACTGATTAATCGTCGTTTCGCGTTTGACGTTCGGGTCAATTGAAAATCGTAAACAAATTTAATATGTATATGCCCCTATAAAAACTATAATTAATTGTCGTCTTAATGATGTTTCAATTACAAGTATTTTTCATTAGCATAGAGCTAAAGTTGCTTAATTTATGCCTGATGCCCTGCTTCTAGGTGATGTTTAGGTGACAATCAGCTGAAATAACTAAGGAATGAAGGATAGAGAGGAAGAGGGCGGAAGGGGGCGGAAGAGAACGCAACGCCATTTGATCCGGGTCCAGAGCCCAAAACGTTGAATAATGCATAGGGCCTAGTTTGTCAACCAGTCAATCAATCCATCAATCTATCCCGCAGCACAGGAAATACGTAATTTGTATTAATTAAATGTAATATTTATTGACTGTAATAGCCTGTAGTAACGAGCTGCTGAGACCGATATTAGATACTATTAGATGCTGCCGCGAAGGCAGTTACACACATGAAGCCACTTTATACTTTATACCTGAATCAAAACTGCACTTTATCTGTGGAATCTTAGCACGCGAATACACTTTCTATACCTAGGCCTATCCATTTACAAGTTTCTACATATATTTATGTCTCTTTCCAGGCCATCTCACACCTGACTGCCAATCATCCGTTCTGGGTTCGAGTGCCCCTGCAGGCCCTCTTTAAGAGCACTCAGGCAGAGCCCATCGTTCGGACCACTGCCAAAGAATTCATGTTTGGATATCCCTCAGCATTGGCCAGGCTTGGCAATACCTTCCTCCCCAACTGGATATCCTTTGAGAAGGTTGGGCTCATCGATCGCATGTACGATTTCTCCACGGACTTTGAGACGTTCTACACGGGCGTGCCAAATCCGGCACTATCCGGCTTATATGCCACCTATCGCGGGGAAACCACTCTGCCCCAATGGCAGGGCGATCACTGCAGCAACATCGAGTATGCCTCAGATGGCACCAAGTTCAAGAGCTTTATTGCCCCCAATGAGACGATAAAGTTCTTCAGAAAGAGCATGTGCAGGCCCATCAATTTGGTAAGTTTTCAATGCACGTTCTTCAGTCAGACGCGTAACATAAATACAATTTATGAATTGATTCCTTTTTTTGGCGCCAGTATCGTGTGGGCGAGCAGCGAACGTTTGGCAGTCTGAAGGGCTATAACTACGTCTTCGAGGATAATGCCTTTGACAACGGGGCTACTAATGAGGCCAACAAGTGTTTCTGCCGCAAAGGTAAGACTCATGTCGTTATGTCACTTTATTTGTAGACTACTCGTATACGAGTATTAAATAAGGCGTTGATGCTTACTCAAAATCGAAAGCTCATTCCAATTAATACTCGTACTTGTATAAACCGAGTCTCAGGCACTAGTCTAGTTCTAGTTTTCCGTTTTGCCCAAGCAACTCTTAGCATAGTTTCCAGTTTGTATGGAAAATTTCTGTTTACTAAAGTTGAGGCAGTGACGCACGTGGGGACCACGCGTGCCGCTTCCAATATGTATTATTATTTTTTTTACTGTTTTTTGCAATTTAAAACTGTGCGCTTGAGTCCAGAGACACGCTATTTGCAGCAACTCTTGGCAATACCCTTGAGACTCGGTATGAAACGTCACGGAATGTCACGGAAAAAGTTTGTCGAGCAACGCCTTGTTGCTCGAGGGGACTGCTGTGGAAAGATGTTGACTCCCTCCTGTAACGATCATTGTCCTGTTTATCTCTATTCTTCACAGGTGACTGCCAGCCGGTGGGACTCATTGACGTCACTGACTGCTACTACGGCTTCCCAATCTCCCTGAGCTTCCCCCACTTCATGAATGGTGATGTGGGGCTGCAGCAGAATATTACCGGCATGAATCCTGATCCGGCCCAGCACTCGTCGGCGTTTGTCATACAACCGGTAAGTGAATAATCTCGTACAACTAACTAGCGGAGTAAATTCCACCCTTTCGCCCGTGTTTCTTGTTACTACTTATTTTTGAATAAAGCAAATACTTTCGATGTGTAAATCATCAGTGTCACAGTGTCGGGAAGCTGCTACAATGTGTCAGTAGGAGTTCGTTCGTACTAAAAATGTCACAATTAACTAAAAGCTGCGACTTAAGCGTGCAAAAGTTGAGGTGCCCCGTTATTCTGTTATCTTCCGCTATCTTCCAATTTCCTCTGCTTCCGACCAGATTGGAGAACTTTACGAATTGAGGCTGTACGATGTACTCGCATTTACATTTCCGGCTAATTAAGTAATCGTTAAAACTGGTTACATGTCACGATTTAGCCGCTTTTCATTCGCAAATAAAAGCGAATCCATAGCAGGAAGTTAATATGGGCGAGAGGTGTAGTGGCAAGCAGCTTAGTAGCTACTAAACATAAGCAATATGTTCTGCGGCCATTAGCATCCCAACCATTTTGCATTGGCATTGCTTTTATGCACGCTTGCACGTATGCATTGAGCTTCCGCTCAACTTTCCTATTTTCAATAGAGCAATTAATTGCCTAATTAATTTCTATACGAGTATCATTGCCAACTGAGCCTTTGGCATTGCCTTTGACACCCACAGGCCAGATGACTAGCAGTCGGAGTCGCTATCCAGCTTTTGGCGCTTTGGAATAGTATCGAATCAGAGCAAGATTCGATCAAGTGATCAGTCAGTCAGTCAATAGCAATTTCGCCTCAAGTTTTACCGGTTTTTCGAAATGAAAAATACAATGAATAAACCATAAGCAACAAAACGGAATACGAATAGCAACAACAACAATGCCAGAAGGCAAAATGCGCGAATTCAAAATTCGATAAATCACTAAGGACAACTACCACATCATATCGTGTGTACGTACATACATACATACATACATATTTGTGTACATATATTTCGTATAGCCAGGCCTACATTCAAGTGCAATTAGCCAAAATTAGGCCAAGTGCAGCCGAAACGGTGTCGAGCTTGGAAAGCAGGCAACCAACCCATACAAACATATGTACATATATACATACATATGTGTATTTACTCACAATATTTCCTTTTTGTTACTTTCAGGAATCCGGTCTACCGCTATCGCTGTCCGTGAAAGTGCAGATCAACATGCATTTCAAGGATCTGACCAATTTCGATGCAGTCGCCAAGTTCAGCCACCTGACTGCACCGATGCTGTGGTTCGAAATTGTAATTACTAATCCCAATTATATGTACATATATACTATGTACTCATATTGAGCCCGTGACTGATCTTTTGCGTCATTTTCAGATGATGCCCAGCCTGCCGGACTCACTGGACTCGCGATTCAATTTTTATCTGAATATCTTGCCGCTCGTCAATCCTCTGGGCTTTTGGATTGCTCTAATTGTGGGAGTGGGGCTCTTAGGCTACGCCATTACGAGGGCCACCCTCCACATGTCCAGCTATGCCCGCCAGGCAACCAATATCTCTGAGGGAAAAAATGCCCGAGCGAATCTTCTTCAAAATCTAACGGGAGGTGCCACCAATCAGGTGTACAGTCCCTGCGAACTCAAGTTGATAGACAATTTGGCGGGTGCCAACAAGCAGCATGTGATCGGACGATCCACGGACGAGGACTTGACCTTCCAGCAGCGTCGTCGTAAGTCGGCATACGTTCTGGAAATGGAGCCTGCCCTGTCAGACGCAGGAGAGAGCAGCGACGAGGGCAACGAATGCGATACCCTCACCTTGAGCCGCAACTCCACGACGTCCAGCTCTTGCATAGAAGCCGAGCACTGCAATGGAGAAGATGACATCTGCATAGAGTGCTTCGACGAAAACCCTCTGGATTCAGAGTTGGCCGGCAGCAGTGCGGGCGGAGCCGAAGCCAAGCATCAAGTGAGTGAAGGTTTCTGCTGACTAAGGGTGGCCGTTCGGGTAGAGCACTCGTCTAAGAAGAGGTCTTAAATAGGCAAACGTGCTCGACTTTATACATACCAGCACTGGTCGGTTATATCATTTCATCTGGAGAGCCACCGCCTTGTAAGGAAAACGACGCCAAGCCGTCTAACGTGTCTATGGCGGGCGTTGATTATTCGAATCTGTTGTTTATAGCCAAATGTCTGGGCACGTTTAATGAAAATTCGTTAAGTCAACCAGTCGACAGCATTACTCGTAAATGAATTGATGGCTTGCAGACCAAACCCGTTTTCGGTCCACCGACAGTCTGCACAATTCGCGGACCCATTTCTCACATGGCACGTTCTGAGTGTGCAAACGTCTGAATATCTAAATACCTATTGAATAACTTTGACATGTTAATTAATCGATGTGCTTTCTTTTTTCTTATTTTAGTTGGCCGTCAGCTTTGTCAGCAGCGGATTCGCCAGCTCGCCCTCCTCTGTTCAAAGTTCCAGCTCCCATGTGAACGTGGACAGCAGCGATGGGAAAGGCTGGATGCCCTACGCACATCCCCATCAGTTTGGGGGAACAGACCCCAAACACGTTTAGAATTCTGAGTTAGCTGGTAGATTATGTTGTCGGTAGTTTTAAGTTCATCGTAGCGTCGTAGTTTGGGCATATTGGGCATCAACATCGCTGTTTTGGTTTTATATAGCATTTTATTTAGTGTAAATAATATAAAAGCCAAGTTGCTGTTTTAATACTGTGATAGCTTTAGAAAACAAAAAAATAAAACGATAGTCGTTGTCCAAATTATCCAAGAAGAACAGAACCCATGCATCCTATGTGAATAGCCAGCTCCAGATACCATTGTTAAAATTAGCAGGGGTATGGTATGGCAATGTTTATGTACATATACAAAATTGTAGTCTTAGCCGTAGTCGCCTCCATGAGGCGACAACCCTAATTTGAGTTTAACTATGAATTAAAGCAAATTATAACCTAAACATCAGTTAGTTAATTGCAACGTGTTGTACTCGAGTTGCTCAAAATTGCTGTGATGTTGTATTGAAGCAGAATTTAATAAGCAGGACTGAACGTTTTGCTGTAGAATTGTAGTTGTCTTAGTTTTTAGTAATATAATACTAATAATAAAAGCGACATTTTATTTAAAGATAAAGAAACTTTTTTCTTTTGTATGTACATATGCATATTTGAATGGAACTATACGTTCTTTGTAGTATATATTGCTGTGAATTGAATTTGAAATGATCCGATACAAAAAATTTGGTATCGAAGAAACCCTGAACGTGCTGAGGAGGAACGGAACACCATATCCCAGGGTCGGCACCTGCGGACCGCGAGCCGCATGCGGTTCTTTCGATGCCAAGATGCGCCTCTCAAGTTCCATGCGTAAATATTAATAATTATATTTTAATTACAAAACTCACACAAACATATTTTACTGTAATGCAAATATATACTGCAAGCAGGAAAATAAGATTGTTACTGACCCATACTATTTTGAAAATAACCTCCATCCTGAAATGCCAACCCAAGCCATTTATTCCCTAAAATATCGATGTTCAATACATCAATCACTGTTGAGCTACTGAATAAAAAGAATTTCTTGAAGAAATATACTGGACAGCAATCAGAATACTTCTAGATAAAATAAATATGTTTTGGACAAAAATTACACACTTTACACATTGTTTTTATATCAATAAATATTTTGTCTTCTTAAAAGCTTTTCATCGTAAACAATAATAATAATTTTTTACAATAAACCTACATAATGAACCTAAAAAAAAAAATCGTAAACAAAAATAAAATGTGGATACCTAATTCACATCAAAAACCATGATATTGAACCACTTGAGTGGCTCTTTAAAAATTGAGAAAAGGTTGCCGACCCCTGCCCCATCCTATCCCATGCTCGATGGCGTTTAGCGGCCAGGGAACTGTGCAGAGAATGATCTTCAATGCTCTTGTTTTTAACTTATATTTACAATAAAATATTATCAATATCTCTCTATCATATATTTGGGTCGTCACCTGATATTTTGTTCAAAAGCATTTGTGGGCAAAAATGTAATATCTGACCGCCAAATAGTTTCTTCACGTAATAAATCGCGGTCCATCGATGGTTTTCTGTTTTAGTTTTTGTTTTTGATACTATCATCCGTGTAATTTTACTAGAAGTAGATAGTACTACTCACAGCTCCGTGGACGCTAAACGAAACGCCATTCCAAATGACATCGTTCTGAGCAACAGAAATAGTTCAGAATACTATGGGAAATGTTTATAGGTTCAATTCAACATTCAATGCCAAGCGAAGCACACAAAAATATTAAAAATATAAAATATGTATTGGTGGTAAGGACATCAGTCGGTGCGCTGGACGACCGTAAAAACTGGAGTAAAAAGTGGGATTAAAGAATGGTTAAGTTTGGAGATTTTTTAACTTAAGCAATTAAAGATAAAATTGGCTATTGGAAGCCGAACTGCAGCTGAATGCTACAATGGAGATAGCAGGTATCAACCGCGAGTTCTTGGATGAGTTCAAACGCGTTCAATTTCCTATTAGTTCGGCATTTGCAATGACAGTTTGCGGCTTAGATGTGAAAACACCAGGTTTTACACACAGACAACTAAACGTTTAATGTTCTCGCGTAGTCAAACCATCGAGCATTAACATAAAATGTTATATTCATTCATAAAATCCCATTCGCACTAGTTTCAGAAAATATAGCTATTTTCAATAGCCGATTTCCGGATAAGTTTTTCCAGCAATTTAGAAATTTCATTACTAGCTTTAAAATAGCTGAATTTTCAACACTACGAGCCAGTGTTGCCTTACGCCATGCTCACCTCATAACAAAACCACAAAATTTACTGTAAATGCTGAAATTTTTTTAAATGTTATTAAATATATAGCTTCAAATACAAGAACACCAGCTGACAGGGACCGCAGTCGTGTTGTGGGAAGCATACTTCAAAGAAAAGGTAAAGTCCTGCCGTTCACATGAAAGAGCGCAAGGCCTACATAATACACATACATACATATGTGAGTATTTAGTCGCTCTCACTTTCAAATAAAACTCTGGCGGCTCCATGGAAATGGCAAACCGGTCGCTGATAGCAGTTTCTCTCCGTGCTGCACTTACTGTCTACGTGGACTCCAACGCTAGTTGATCGTCAACTGCCCCTTGGACGTTAATCTTAAGGTATTTGTTTATCGCCTTTATAGTAGCGATACTCGGTGAGATTATGTACAAATATCAAAGGTGAATTTGGGGTCCAGGAGTTGGGCACGGCACTTGCTCGCAAAACTGGTGCACAACAACTAAACATATATATTGCTCGCCCTCTCGCCCTAGCCCTTCTTTTGATAGATCGTTTGAGAAGCCCAGCGCCGAAATGAGATTTCTGGGCAATGGAAAAGTGTTGTGGAACTTGGCAAGTTATTATTGTTAATTGTCTGCAATAATTCAAATAACTATCATCTCAACGCGATTCTCTTGCAGACAAAGAACTCCATCACTCATCAGTCGCCCAATGCGCTTGCCAAACTGCATCTGCTTCCCGCCAGCTACAGCAGCAGCAAGAACCCGCCCGCGCCACCGTCCGAGCCTAAGTCTTCTAAAGCTACACAGAAACAAAATCTCTTGACCTACCACGTCCTACCGCTGGAAGAAACATTGAATCGTTTCATCAGCACCGTCGAGCCCCTTCTGACACCTGACGAACTTAAGCTTCAAAAGAAAATTACTGAAGACTTCAAACATAAAGAGGGCGACAAGTTGCAAATGCTCTTGGAGGATGTGGGCAGCGCAGAGAAGAATTGGTTGGCCCATCGCTGGCTAAAGACCGCCTATTTGCAGTACCGGTCTCCAGTCACTGTCTACGTTAGCCCTGGAATGACTTTCCCAAGGCAAAAGTTCAAGGATGCGCATGCCGTTGTCGACTACACTTCCAAAGTTATCTTTGGCCTGGGCGAGTTTAACGACATTGTGCATGAGGGAAAAATCCCCGTCGTAAAGATGGGAAAAAACGAGCTGGACAATGGACAGTTTAGTAAAGTCTTTGGAACTTGTCGTATACCAAAACGACTTACAGATGAGCTTGTCTATAACCCCTGCTCCAACTATGTGGTTGTCATTCATAAGAATCATGTAAGCTAAGCAATGCTGTAGCTGAAATTTTGTATCACTCAAGTTGATCGATTTCCTCTATGTTATAGTTTTACAAAATGCGACTCTACAATAAGGAGGGAAAGCTGATTGCCGCTAGCTGTCTGGCCAGCCAACTGGAAGAGATTATGAACAAGGCGACAACAACTGGGGTGCCCTACGGCATTCTGACCACAGACTCGCGAGACAATTGGGCCGAGGCCTACGAGCAATTGTCATCATATCCAGGAAACAAAGCCACCCTCGACGCCATCCAAGGTGCTTTGTTCACCGTATCGATGGATGAGTGTACCGATCTTCCGGAAAGTGAAGAGACCAATGAACTGATTCTGGGGCTGATCCATGGCGGTGGCAGCAACGTGAATAGCGGCAACCGTTGGATGGATAAGACTATTCAATTAGTTGTGAATCCCAATGGAAATGTTGGCTTTACCTACGAGCACTCTCCAGCTGAGGGTCAGCCCATAGCCATGATGATGGACTATGTGGTTAAGAAGATGTAAGTGGAAAAAGAAAGCAAAACCACAAATATCACCAACGTATTTCTTTAGGAAGGAGGATCAATCTTTTGGCGAATGCGGTGCCACGGACAACTTCACTCCCGCTGAGAAACTCGCATTTTGTCCTATTAACGAATGCATCGAGCAATGGTTGTTCATTGCGAAGCGGAACATTGACAACCTCGTCTTTCAACTGCAGATGAAGGTGCTCAAATTTGAAGGCTATGGAAAGGGCTTCATCAAAAAACAGCGCCTGGGACCAGACAGCTTTGTGCAGATGGCGTTGCAGCTGGCATTCTACAAGTAAAGCTCATATCTTTTTCACTTGGAACCAAACATAATTAAGTATGTCTCAAATTTTTTGCAGAATGCACAATGAGCCAGCGGCGCAATACGAGTCTGCCCATTTGCGTATATTCGAAGGCGGGCGTACGGAAACCATACGGTCGTGTTCCAATGAATCTTTGGCCTTCTGTCTGGCAATGCAGGATGACAAAGCCACGAACAAGGAGCGTGTTGACAAACTACGTGCGGCGGTAAACAGCCATCAGACCTATACGAGGTTAGCTTTACAAGGCAAAGGTGTCGATCGCCATCTGCTCGGGCTGAAACTCATGGCTCAGGAGAACGGCAAGCCCATCCCGAAATTCTTCTCTTCGCCGGGTGTCGTCAAGTCTTCCCACTTTCGCATGTCCACCTCCCAGGTGGCCACGATATATGATGCCTTTATGGGCTATGGACCCGCTGTGGATGATGGCTACGCATGCTGCTATAACCCACGTGAACAAGACATCATCTTGGCTATATCTGCCTGGCGCTACTGTCAGGCGACAGATCACTTAAAGTTCGCCAAAATACTGCGACAGTCCTTCCTGCAAATGAAAGATGTATTAGAGAAATGTCCAGCCCCAGCCCCAGAGAAACCCGATAAGCCAAGATCCAAATTGTAGTGTCTATACATAAATATCTGGGCAAGCTAGAATACTTTTGGAGATCGATTATAAATCCCTGTCTGAAGGTTGGCAGGGCTCAGCTATTGTCTCTTGTTCTAAAGTTTGAGGAGAGAATTTAGTACTCACTTCTGCCATTAAAATCATTTCATATTACTTTAAATAAAACTACTTGTTTTTTGGCAAATAGTTACCATGATAGCATGATAAAGTGGTCCAATTCGACTTATTCGGATAAATGCTGGGCCTTTTCATGAAGAAATGGCACGAGATAGCTTCAAATGACTGATAATTATCATTCAATTATAATTGACGAGCATTATGGAGTCGGAGATGCCTTCGAGTGTTCACTTCGTACCAATGCAGAAATACACTCTTCGATCCGTGCGTTCCTTTGCATCTCGGAGGATACAAGACTTTAGCAGTGCATACGTTGATAGGTCGTTTTTGTGGTTGCCCCAAATCAAACGCGCCAATCGAGGAATTAACAATTACAGGATAGTTTATGTATACATATTGCTAAACAAAATCAATCAAGTGGCTCAGGCATACACTTAGCTCAATGGTTTTTCCAAAAATCGCATCTAGTCCTTTTTGCAATGGTAACAGCTACAGGATACGGCACTTTTAAAGATGACATTTCGAATTCCCTCAAAGCACAATACGCGTCGTTGTATCTGAAAGAAACAACAGAATCTTAAGATAAGATCAACACCGAAAGGGCTTAAGAATCAAAGAATCGACCCACCTCCTCTGATTTCATCATGTTGCAACATTGACCGACACTCACTACCGGCTTTGGTGGCTTGAACAGTCCAGTAAGCGAGGCCCCTGCCCAGGGGATCGAGGGTACAGAATATGATTCACAAAATCCCCGACAGGCATTGGTCGTTATGTTGAACTCCACACAATCAGGAATAGAAATCTTCCGCGTGTTGCCAACTTTGTGGCATCCAGGACGCAGCCAAACATCCTTGCCCGCCAAACTGCACTCGCCGGCAAAGAACCAGAAAGAGCAACAGAGCAATACAAACCACTGGGCCGACCTCATCTTGCCAACTGTTTGCTGCGCCCAGATACTCGCCTTGTTTTTATTCGAGCTGAACGAATTTAACGGCTGCGCAGAGCTACCGAAGGATATGGACCATCGCGACAATCGAATAAACCTAATGGCCGTGCAGGAGGGTAGGCAAGGGTTTGCATCTTGAATATTAAACCATGCTATGCTCAAGGCGTAAATAAAGAAAGTATGGCCTGTGCAGATCTATAAATAAATATGCTTATTTTATTGAAATGAAACTGGAATAGCACCAACAATAGCAAATGTTAAACTAACATAAGATTGATAATGGTTTTATTGCTTTTTAAAAATAGGACATGTCTGCAAGGGTGCTCCAAAAATCTGTTGAGTCGAGCGATGCGTGAGAGCTCGGATTAACGTAGCAAAGTATAATACAATCCCTATTTTGTGATTGGTATTTCTGAAGTGGAAGGAAAAGTTATAAGCATGATTTTTAAATGGGAGGCTAAAAGGACTGACCTCGTATCTGATCTATCTCTTATGGAATGCGGAAAAGAATCCTTAAAATGATATCCGAAGGCCTCCGAGTCTATTCAAATCATGGTAGTATAAGTTGTATGTTTACTCTATCACAGGAGTTGGGAAATACAGCCCGCACAAGCAAAAGTGTTCAATTTCATCAAAAGCCTAAACGTACAGGGGGATCTTCCACATACTCCTGCGGGCCGATACAAAAGATCAGAAATGGTTGTCATAAACGAATAAATGTTTGTGCTGGGCCCACAGTACAAGGAACTAAGTATGTGCTCAGTTTCAGTTCGAAACTCTTTAGTCTCATTTCGTTAGTGGCGAGAACAGCTTCGTTGTCGTTAAATATTTATTGAGCAGTATTCCTACACCAACACAATTTAGCCCAATCAATACGAATACATTTCATTCCGTTGCTCTGCTGCCAGCAGACTTTAATCGAGACACTGCCAAATGCATCGTAACCAAAACGTCGAACATTTTCACGGTGTGATTGAGGGCGTCCCACTGGTCCCAGATCTCCCATTTGAAGCCATGGAGGTGGACATGGAGATCAACTATCAGGGAGATGAGTTGTCCAATGGCGGCCTCGGGCTTGGGTCCACGCAGTCCTCTAGCAAGTCCTTGGCCCCCACAGTGAGCGATCAGGCGCTTAATACCCTCAATGAACTTCGCGAGGCTAATCTTTTGTGTGATGCAGAGATCTCAGTCGGGGAGCACGAGCATGCGTTCAATGTGCATCGTGCCATCATGTGCTCCTGCAGCTCCTACTTTCGGTAAGTCCAGTCAAGTGCAGTCAAGTCCCGACAAAGCCCCCAAGTCCAAACCGACCACATTTTCAAATTTCCGCTTTCCCACGCAAACTAGCGCACAGTTTACGGGCTTTAATGCCGTAAGTCAAGGATTTGGAGCGGAGGGGGGCGCCAGTGAACAGATCCACGTCGTCAACATACCGGGCGTCAGAGCATCCATCATGAACTGTGTAATCCAGTATGCCTACCTCCGCAAGACCAACATCTGCGACGACAACGTGCACGAGCTTCTCATATGTGCGGATTACGTGGGCATGGTGGGGCTAGTCAAGCAGTGCAAGGAGTACCTCAGCCGCACCCTTACGCCGGAGAACTGTGTCAGCATCATGGGATTTGCACGGTGAGTTGTGGAAGAAAAGGGAAGGGAAGGCAGTGCGACGAGTGCAGTGCAGTAATCCTCTCATAATTGGCTTCATCAGCTAAAACCCATTTTAATTGATTTTACATACCTGATTGGCGACAGCTTTCGGTTTCTGGACGACTTGCATGTGAAGGCGCGCAATTATACACTGCGGTATTTCACGGAGGTGGCAGCTCGCAATACGGACATCCTGGACATGAACGTGACTGACTTTTACGCCATAATTAGCGACGATGAGCTCAACACGCGGGAGGAGGACTATGTGTGGAAGATGTGTGTCAAGTGGATAGAACGGGATCCAGAGAACCGCAAAAAGCACGTTGCCCATTTGATGACAGGCGTACGTTTGGGTCTAATGACCCCAAAGGTGCGTATACAAATCCAAAACTCCAAATCTGCCACACAGCTGCCACTTCAATCAAAATTTATCGCAATCCGCAGTGCTTCATGGAGGAGGTGAAGGAGCACCCGTATGTCCTGCAGTGCGAGGAAGCCAAGCCGCTGATAGTGGACACCTTTAAATTCATGTATGACCTGGACTTTCTAAACCCACAGGCCGATGAGGTAATGTTAATAGTTAATGCTCTCCCTCTTACCTGCAGCAACTACTTATACGTCCCCTTTAATATGCCCTTTCAACCAAAGCTCACCACGCCGCCGCTGGCCATGCCTCGCTTGCCGCACGAGGTGATTTTTGCGATTGGCGGCTGGAGTGGTGGCACTTCAAAGGGTTGCATCGAGACCTACGACACGCGCGCTGACCGCTGGGTGAACATCAATGCCGAAGACCCAGCTGGACCCCGCGCATACCACGGCACCGCCGTAATCGGTTTCAAGATCTACTCCATTGGGGGCTACGACGGCGTCGAGTACTTCAACACATGCCGGGTCTTCGATGCCGTGAAGAAGAAGTGGAGCGAGGTCGCTCCAATGCACTGCCGCCGCTGCTACGTCAGCGTGGCTGAGCTGAATGGGATGATCTATGCGATCGGGGGCTACGACGGGCACAATCGATTAAACACTGTAGAGCGCTACAATCCCAAGACAAATCAGTGGTCCATAATTCCACCCATGAACATGCAGCGGTCTGATGCCAGTGCCTGCACCCTAAAGGGGCGTATCTATGCCACTGGCGGATTCAATGGCCAGGAGTGCCTGGACAGCGCAGAGTTCTACGATCCGACTACCAATGTGTGGACGCGAATAGCGAACATGAACCACCGTCGCTCTGGGGTGAGCTGTGTCGCCTTCAAGGGCCAGTTGTATGTGATTGGGGGCTTCAATGGCACCGCCCGATTGGCCACCGGGGAGCGGTTTGACCCGGAATCTCAGGCCTGGCACTTTATCAGGGAAATGAATCACTCGCGCAGCAACTTCGGCCTGGAGATCATCGATGATATGATATTCGCAATTGGGGGCTTCAACGGCGTCTCTACCATATCCCACACTGAGTGCTATGTGGCCGAGACAGATGAGTGGATGGAGGCCACGGATATGAACATTGTGCGCTCCGCACTGTCGGCCAATAATGTAGCTGGACTGCCCAACAAACGGGACTACATACACAAGGAGAGGGATCGCCTAATGGAAGAGCGCCGTCAGCGATTAATGGCCTCGGCCATGGCTCGAGACGAAGTTGGCCATGGAAATCCGCCACACTCGCTGGTGGCAACCAATGACGCGGCACTCGATGACTACGAGAGTCCCAACGATGACGAAGAAGGTAATGGTCAGCCGCAACTGGCACTGCAGCAGCTGGGCTTGCCCTTGCCCTTGCCCCTGCCCCCACTGCCGCTTGGACAGCCGGCCATTGCTGCTCCGGGTGGTGCCTTAGTGCTTGCCCATGCTCAAGCCCAAGCCCAACCCCAGCCTGGCCCAGGACAAGAAAATCGGGCGGTGGACGATCGCGGACAGGACAATAATCGGCGCTTTCGCGTGCAGCTGCGTAATCAGCGGTATGGTTCGGTTCATGAAATTCGTCGTCGAGCCTAGGCGCTGGCGCCATAGACGGCATACCGAATCCCACCCCCGGCCTTGACTCCCTACCCTGCCATATCCCCGTGAACCCCGGCTGAGACAACAAAGACACATATCACATTAGAAGATGCGTTAGCGTGGGCTGCAGTGTTTCCGGTAGAGAAATCATGCAGCGCAGCCCACGACCGTTGGAACCGTTTTTCGATATCTCTGAAACATAACAAGTTTATCCTTTCGGCCCCAATTCCTTTTTAAGCAACCGCAAAGTGTCCGAAATCTGTCGGGAGACGACAAGCAAACCGCCTCCAAGGCGCAAATCCAAATTTCAGTATACATCAAAATTGTACCGAAGCTATATCTAAATTCCTGGCATTGTGCAGACTTTAAATTAATAAATCGCTGCATTGTAATAGTAGTAAATGAATCCTTGCCATCAAATTATAATTCAAATTGGTAACGGCAACGGCTCGAGTAAGCGGAATGGAATATGCAAAATTTTGAGCTCAAAATCATTACAGGCGTTTTTTTGTACGCAAACCTGGGACGAGTTGGGTGGGTGGGCGAGTTGGCATAGAAATAAAAGAGCTTGCCCGCAGCGCAGTCGCTGTAATCGGAGCTGGGCTGGCATATAAAAAGAAGGCGTGAGGCGCCACAGTCAGCCACTACGCGGTCGTCCGCGAAGAGTCCACCTCTTAGACGGTTGCTTGAAACCAAGGAAAAATGGCTGGCTGTGCAGTTCTGTAAGGGTCATTAAGAACGGAGTTCTGCCTGGAAGGGGCCTGGACTCTGTCTAAAGCATATTTTACTCTCTTTTTCAGAATTTGGTTACTCTTCTTGGGGAACACCCCTGTTGCATGTCGTCGGCACGCAGTTGGTGGAGCTCCAACCCATCAAAAGTGGTCCGACAGTGGCTCCATTGGGCTGCCATCGACGCGTTTACACATACAAGGTAACCCAATCCGATTTGCTTGGCCGCGAGTGCTGGGATTATGTGAGCGTTTGGTCCTGTTGGGGCCGCTGTGACTCTAGCGAAATATCGGATTGGAAATTTCCATACAAACGCTCATTTCATCCCGTGTGCGTGCATGCCCAGCGGCAGCCAGCGGTAGCTATACTCAAAAACTGTCACCCCCAAGCCGATGAGGGCATAAGCAAGTATCACTACATGGAGGCGGTAAACTGCCACTGCCACACATGCTCCACACAGGACACCAGCTGCGAGGCTCCAGCTAATAACGTGCTGGACGAGGGAAGCAAGGCTGTCAAAGTCTTGACCCTCACTGGGGCCGATTCCGTGGACCTGGACTATTAGACGAACGTACATATAAACTGTTTTATGGTTCAGTGTAGTGCAGTACAGGGGCTTCTTCGGTTACAATAAAACATACTTTACAGCACGTTGCATTCAAAGCACACAACTGAGGCTTTTATACATTTTTTGGTGTAGCATCCAGTGCGTACTTTCTTAGCTACAAGAGTTTTGGTCTTAAAGCCTAAAGCCTGATGAACATGAAACGATCGTATGCGTCCAGATAAACCTAAGATATATATGTATTTATAATATAAAACAAAACTTCATATTACGTGGTCAAGCCCATCGAAGCGTCTACACAAGCGTCTACTGTGTGCTCGTGCCTGGCAAGCTTAGCCATCGTTATCTACAGGAATTTTGGACTTGAGTTGGTGCCTCTCTCCTGCGCTAACAGGTATAGGCAGTAGAGCGACGAGATGCCTAGCCCAACAGCGCCACCAAGTGCACACCTCCGTAGGCCAGCTTAAAAAACGATTGGAATCAATTAATTGTCACTTTTTGGGTAAAGTTGAGCCCCTCCCTCACCTGTGGATTTGTACAGCAGGCCTGTAGCAGAGCCCGCAATTATTGTGTTAACATGGTCATCCTCGCCACGAGCGTATTGCAAAAGCACACCGCACGCCGAATACAGCACCGCCAGGGTCCCTAGAGAGTTCGCCGTTCCAGAACCCTGCTTCATAATGTGGTTGATTAACCTGAGATTGGAGAGAAGCATGCGTGTTACAACAAATTGATATTGAATTTCATTATCTACTCACTGAGTTCGCCGCAGTTTTCCCGTCTGATTGAGCGCGTTGGTGGCTTTGAAACCATTGTATACTCCCGCTAAACCGCCAATGCCTCCGCCAATCATAACCGAAGTGCCAATCTGTGAGAAGGCTAGCTCAAAACGGCCACGCTGCTTGTTGGCTCCTTCCGGAAAGATGAACTCGGGCTGTGCCTGCTGCAGGAAGCGGGAATCGTAGTTGAGGTATGGCGAGACCGGAGCACTACTAAATTTGCTTGCACCCGGTGTGTAGTTTGATGTTGTTGCTTCTTCAGCTGCACCATGTGATTAGAAAGGAATAAACTAATGTATTTTCATTCAGGAAAAACCAACAGGTCAATCCACAGCTAGTACATATGTAACAAACGAGTCACATTGCGTAACGTAGTTCTTTGCTTACCGGCTGGCGCGGGCGCCAATGAAAATGGTTTCCTCAGAAAGTCGTCACTCATTTTTGAATTTGTGTGCTTGCTTTGCCAAGGGAATGATTATAATTTTGTTGTTTGGTCAGCCGGTCAATTGTAAAAAAAATCGCTTCGCACTACAGATGCAAACGATTTCCGCACGCTCTTGTTTTCTTAGTTTCGTTTCTAGTTTGTCAGCGTGACGTATGGGGGGTAGCACGCCTGATGTTGAGCACTTTCGATACATCAAATTTGTTATATTAAACTATCGCGATGTCGGAAATGTCATTTTAAAAATACCGATATATCGGTCAAATATTCCCAATTTTCTGTTCCTGCTTTTATAAATTCCAATATTTTACGTTCATTTCAGCGACTTTAAGAAACTAGTTTTGTTGCATTTTCATGAAACAGGCTACATTTGTTCTCCATCACCAGTTTGACGTACAGACGATGATTCTATTGGATATAATCGTCGACGAAACAGTCCCACCAATAGTATCAATAGTAAAAAGTATCGTCCATATCTCTGACTGTTTTGTTTTCATTGTTCGCTGGGCTGTGTTCGTTGCCTTGAGTTTAGATGTGTTGTTTTGTCCTTAAGATAATAATTCCTATTTCCTAATTGAAATAGAACAAGGTAGATATATGTAAAGTGTGTGTGAGTGCGTGTGTGTGCGTACGCGAGCGCTGCGGTGCCTAGAAAGGACAACAACTGACCAACATCAAAGCCTTTTTAACCAACAAATCATTTGTTGTGTGATTGCTGGACGGGAGAGTCAGCAGGGGCGAAAAAGGTGCCGGCGTTTCTGGAGTGTATTTATTTTGCTTTTGCTTTGAACTCGCATCAAATGTCTTCAACCGAAGTCAAGCTGTCTCGTCTGCTGATCCTGGCGCAAAAGTTTAACAATTTCTATCTGACAGGTAAGATAATGATGCACTTTAGCGGAAAATGCACAAAAACCGGGCCCTGAAAATAGGTTTGGTCATTGCCTTCCGGGTGTGGATGTGTACATATGTACGTATGTATGTGCATGTTGGATTGTGGTGGGTGGTGCTTGTGGAAGACTTCAACTGATTCAGAGGCAGTCGACATATACATACGTACGTGTACTAGTACTGCTGTTTATCGATTAGTTTGTTTACTTGCCTGTGTGGGTGCGTATGTGTATGCCAGTGCGTTTCTGATTCCGCAGCCTGCTGTGTGCTGGCCTGCTCGACCGAGCTAGACCTCCTGCAACCTGCAATTTAATCACAAAGTGGATTACACCAAATTGTTCAACAGCTACCTACATACATGCATATGTACATATTCTGTTCCCTATCAGCTTACATTCACTGTAAACTGTAATAACTACCGCTAACAGAATTCAATAGAACGCCAATCGAGCCAGAGCTCTTATGCAAGATCATTTTTATCAAGCGGAACACAAGAGCTAAATATACATTGTATATACATATGTACATATCTGTACATCTGTGCATACATAATACAGCCAGCCTAATTGGTTTCTTATAATTGGGAACCTTGGCTCCGTAGCGCTTGGATGTCATTGTCAGCCATCCGTTTATGTCTCCTTGTTTGTTGCAAAAAGATTTTCCACGCGTCATCTTGGGCCGATCAAAGCGTTTGACCAGGAGGGAGAAACGGCAGGGGGAACTCTGAAAACGCACACACTCACAGCCAAGTTTTTACATCCAGAGCCGCCTTTCGAACAGTTTCCGACGAATGTTAACTGTACATATATAAATACATATATACACCTGTATGTGTGGTGGTGTGTCATTTAATTAACGATTACCCTTACTTAAGCTATCTCTGTAGGAAGTTTTCTTCCTGATAAGCAGTGTTCCAAAACTAAGCTGCCATAAGCACCTAAATCACGTATAAAACCAAAATTGTTATCGTATTGTTTAGCTATTAGCAAATATGTTCCTTTCAAAAATTGGGGTATCAGGAGAAACCCGTTCTATCAGCTATCGAATTTTGGTGAACCATTATCATAAGGAATATGTATGTATGTATGCAATGATTTATATGAAGCAGCTGTTTCCCAAAAATCTGCACTGAAGCTTTTGTGCTGAACCTGTGGCCCAGCTCGTACAGTAAATATATTAGTGGTTGTGTTCTTGAAATAAACTCAGAATAATCTAAAGTAAATCCAAACAATTTGCGGAAACGACCATTCAGTGTTCGTAAACTGGCAAAATTGAAAGAAGAGCCAAAAGTGTCTCGCTTGAACACAAATCAGTATCTGCAGAACAATTTTTGCTTGGGAGTACATATTTGCTATTTTTATAACCAGGAAACAGGTGTAAACTAGAAACTGTAATCGCATTCCTCACTAAAGGCCGTATCTAATCGGAATGGGCGTGCTTTAAGGGTTTGCAATTAATAACACTACTCGACAAAACCGAACTTTTTTTTCCTCAAGGATCCAAACCGACTTTTTCTGATAGATATGGGGCTTTAAAATTTTTTAAAGAATTATGGTTTTTTTTCTATGGCAGAACTTTTTTTTGAAGAATTTTTGAAGTCTGGTATTTTTTAAGCTTTTTTCAGAGGTAGCGATAGTTTTTTTCACATAACTTTAATATCTTACGTCTGGTTGTACAGAACTTTGATATTTTGAAAAGGTAATTAAAACAGCTAGAAGTTGAGCCCAAATACTTTGTGATTTCAGCTTACCGTCTGGGAAATATAAAGCATTGAAATGCAAAAATTATGATTTTTGTGGGGTATTTTTAACGAAATTTTGACTTTAAAAACTCAGGAAAAGTCGAAAAAAAATTATATCTTGTGTCCTCTATTTTTTTGTGTATAGGTGCGTTAATTTGGCGTCGTTTAAGGTATCGCTCATTAAGATCTATGGAGACACTTTGGAGCTAAAATTCGTTAACCAAACCTAAAATATGGAAAAAATGAACAAAGCAAACGAGCAAGGGTTGTACATTTGGTACCTGATCGCGTTCCTTTGTTCATTTTTTCCATATTTTAGGTTTGGTTAACGAATTTTAGCTCCAAAGTGTCTCCATAGATCTTAATGAGCGATACCTTAAACGACGCCAAATTAACGCACCTATACACAAAAAAATAGAGGACACAAGATATAATTTTTTTTCGACTTTTCCTGAGTTTTTAAAGTCAAAATTTCGTAAAAAATACCCCACAAAAATCATAATTTTTGCATTTCAATGCTTTATATTTCCCAGACGGTAAGCTGAAATCACAAAGTGTTTGGCATCAACTTCTAGCTGCGTCAATTATCTTTTCAAAATAGCAAAGTTCTTTACAACCAGACGTAAGATACTAGAGTTATGTGAAAAAAACAAGCGTTACCTCTGAAAAAAGCTTTAAAAAAAATACCAGTTTTCAAAAATTCTTTAAAAAAAAGTTCTGCCATAGAAAAAAAAAAAAATATCATCAAACCATTTCTAAGCCCCAAATCTTTAAGAAAAAGTTCGTTTTGTTCCTTGAGGAAAAATCGTGTTGACTAGTGTAATTAACTGAACGTATATTCTTTGAGAGCCATAGAGAGATCTTGAGATCAATAGAAGAGAATTATTAATGAAATCTGTATCATTGGATAACGAGAATCATAGGAACTTGATGTTTTTTTTAAATTAGTACTTTAAATAAAGAATTAGTAGCGTATATCTTGCAATCGAAATAGAGTACAAATCACTCTTACTTCACTGGCTTTTAATGTACTTATTTATGAATGTTTTTATGGGGATACGAGATTAGACGCATCGTTTGTGCTGTTTGGAAAACATCGCAAAGACTGTAGCAATCACGTGCTAAATACACTCTCTACTAAATAAAACGAGTGCTATTCTGAGTAGATTATTCTGAGTTTATTTCAAGAACACCACCACTGATGTATTCCCTGTACGAGCTGGGCCACAGGTTCAGCACAAAAGCTTCAGTCCAGATTTTTGGGAAACAGCTGCTTCATATAAATCATTGCATACATACATACATATTCACTATGATAATGGTTCACCAAAATTCGATAGCTGATAGAACGGGTTTCTCCTGATACCCCAATTTTTGAAAGGAACATATTTGCTAATATGTACATACATACATAAGAATGTATGTATATGTACATATTTATTCATAATTTTCGTTAAATTTGTAACCTGGAAACTGATTTGGCGGCATACGTCAGCATATTCAATAAATGATAATCTTCACAACTAACAGGCTTTCACAAGGGCGATATACGTCCGTTCCTGGTTGAGGGTCAACAAGTTGGTCTCATAAAATCGGATGTTCTAAAGCAGCTTGTTAAGTATCCTGAAGTGTTCTGCATACGTGACTGTGAGCAGACGAAACAGGTAGGTCTTTTGCGGTTATCTAAAGTGCATTCACATGTCCTTTGCTAATACAAATATTATATATCATTCACCCAAGGGCCTGGTGGAGCTGAACCCGGCATTCCGTGACTATAATGAGCGCACAGAGCAGCTGGAGAAAGTATTGCGTAACCTGCGCAGCGAGGGATTGTTCCCGGCTCTGCAGGGATGGCGGGATGAGTACTTCGAGGTGAAGTCCGAGCACAGGGCCTTGCTAAAAATGGAGCGGGCGGCAACGCCCCTGTTTGGAGTACGCAAATATGGCGTCGACATCAACGGCTATGTGAGGCATCCGACGCAAGGCTTGTGCATTTGGCTGCAGCAGCGTTCCAATACCAAAGAAACGTGGCCAGGCAAGTGGGATAATATGGTGGGGGGCGGCCTATCTGTGGGCTTTGGCATTAAGGAGACGGCTATTAAAGAAGCCGCTGAGGAGGCATCCATTCCATGTGATCTTGTCAAGAACCTAGTGTCAGCCGGATGTGTCTCTTTCTTCTTTGAAAGTCGACAGGGGCTTTTCCCCAACACGGAGTACGTGTTCGACTTGGAGCTGCCTCTTGACTTCGTTCCCCACAACGCTGATGGCGAGGTGCAGGCCTTTGAACTGCTACCAGCCAAGGAGTGTGTGGAGCGAGTGTTTACGCCGGACTTTAAGACAACCTCTGCGCCGGTGGTGATCGACTTCTTAATACGCCACGGTCATATTACGGCTGATGACGGTGAGAACCCAACTGAGATTGTTACCCATAGACAATAGTCTTGATTCCGAATTCTTTCAGTGGTAGACTTCACGCAAATTGTGGAGCTCTTGCATGTCCCCTTGCAATCACTTTACATATATAAGACGCGCCTAGAACAGATACAGAAGCAACAGCAACAGGAAAAAAAGCAGCCCAACGATGACAGCAACTGCAACCGTGCCAGTTCGCCGATTAAGCCGTTGGAGAACGGACACAAGAAGGCAGCCTAATCTTCATGGGACTAAGTAGTGCATTCTACTATATACATATACATATGTACGAGTATATGAACGAGACTGCTTATGTAGTGGGATTTCTAAGGTCCAAGCCAACAGTCAAACGTAATGCATGCATGTATTACACAAACCAAAATAACCAAACAAATCGACAGATGTATAAACTACTAATCTAAATCTAAACTAATTACTACTATAATGGCAAGAACACTTAAAGTTAAATCCTATTTTTTATGTTGAACGTCAAAGTATGTGCTGTTTCTATTGGTATACGCAAACATATACATATACATATTATTTACAATATTTATTATATATACACATACATATATATACCTAATGTCCCATGTATTTGACAAACGACAATGACATGACATCTATTAAGTAATAGTTTTGTGCTCTGATATTCCATTTATCCATGTGACGCCACATTCTTAAAGTTTTTGTGAACAATACGGACAACTATGTATTAAGTTATATGGAATATGCCTATATAACATTAATGTATATGCGATAGTTAAAATATTAAAATTGTATAACGATATTAAATGACATTTACTATTATATGTGTGTACCAAAGTGCTCAAACGTAAAAACGCGAAGTAATTTTAATTTTCTGTTGAATTTGTATAAAATGTTTCCCCTAATAAAAGGATAAAACAATAGAACCGATATTCACATTTCTTTAGTTTTATTTACCAAAATGTTGGCCTAGCCCCTATGGCGAATGCGAAATTGATTTGTAAGTGACCTGTCTAGGGCTGCAAACATTTTCAAACCAAATAGTTGTGCGCCAAATTAAACGAATCGATAAAACAGTGATGGGAAATACTCACGCAGCCCTGTTTGAACGTCAACGGCAAAGTGGCAACTCTGCTCAGGTAGTTCAACAACGTGGCAACTTTGTGCAGGTAGCCATCTTTCTTTCTTTCCCCAACTTCACGACCGCGTGGACGTCGATACGTAAAAGGTTAGGTGGTTTTGTGCCCAAAATACACTAAATAATTTATTTATATTCAATGCAAAGCGCGTGCAACTTTGCACTGGAGTGCTATGCGTGTAAATGCGATGTTAAACGCTTCTAACAGTGCTGTTTTTTGCAGGGAACTACACATTACAAAATGACCAACTCAAAGGGCTATCGTCGCGGCACCAGAGACATGTTCTCTCGCCCCTTCCGCAAGCATGGTGTAATTCCGCTGTCCACATATATGCGCGTCTTCAAGATTGGTGATATTGTCGACATCAAGGGACATGGTGCTGTGCAAAAGGGTCTGCCCTACAAAGCCTACCATGGCAAGACCGGCCGCATCTTTAATGTAACGCAGCATGCAGTGGGTGTCATTGTAAACAAACGTGTGCGCGGCAAGATCCTAGCCAAGCGCGTTAATGTGCGCATCGAGCACATTCACCACTCAAAGTGCCGTGAGGATTTCTTGCGTCGCGTGAAGGAAAATGAGCGCCTGCTCAAGGATGCCAAGGAGAAGGGACAGTGGGTCACCCTGAAGCGTCAGCCTGAGCAGCCAAAGAAGGCTCACTTCGTCAAGAAACTGGAGGAGCCCATCGCCCTGGCACCAATTCCATACGAATTCATTGCCTAAGCTCATAAATAAACGGATTGTGTTTGCTATTTGTCTAGATTCGTTAATTCAAGTGTAAAAAAGAATTGATTTTCTATACAATTGTAAACAATGCATTTTCTTGTTGGGAAAAAATATCTCTTCGATAAACAGCTGCTATCGATTAGTTTCTTCTTATCAAGTCGCATCGAGTTTTATTGTTTAGGACACAATAATGAATAGTAATACGTGTAAAACTTGTGGAAAGCAATTCGCAAAACCTACTTTCCTGCGCCGGCACCAAGTTGTACATACCAAAGAGAAGTCATACGTTGTAAGTGGGTTTGGTTGTCTATTTTGACGGCTCTAGTTAAGGCCCTGTGGTCTCTTTCAGTGCGAAGCCTGCTTGCTCAGCTTTTCCCAGCAGAGCTCTTTACAGCGTCATAAACGCATAAAGCATGCAAGATCCGAAACTAATTCCGTGCCTGAAGATACCGACCAAGTTGCCCATCAAGCTTTGACTGCTCTGCTAGACCTGCAGAGTGGAATGGTAGCAAGACCACAAAACACCCCCAAGCGCTGTGGGAGCCTGCAAACCACTATGGAAGAGCAGCCACAGTGCAGCATTGTAGCAGTTCTGGATAGATTGGATCCTTCTGGGCAAGTAACAACCTTAACCGTTCAAAGAATACAGCGATCTCCGAACAGATGCTATTATGTCTGCGAGTTTTGCGCCAAAGAGTTTTTCAAGACTTACGACCTAATCAGGTAAGAACTTGATGTTGCGGAGAATGCGGTGCAACTATAACTGTAAATTTACAATTCTCAGACATCGACGCTCGCACACCAAGGAAAAACCGTATCCATGTCACAGATGCCTAAAGCGTTTCTCCACCCAAACCAAATTAAATGAGCATCGAAAGCGGATGCATAGTAAATCGAGTAATTGCCGGCAACTGAACAAAAATAAGCAGCACGCACTTCAGCAGGTATTGCCGTGCGCACAGAAAAATTTTACTTCAGCCAGAAGCTACAAATGCGTTTACTGCAGTCGAATATATAAACGAAAGCTCAACTGCCGTCGTCATATGTTGACGCATTTAAGCCGCTTAAGCCCACCCTGTGGGAAAAATATATCACTGAAGAGTTGCGTCGAGTGTGGAAAAGCCTTTAAGAATACAAACGATTTATCCAGACATTTGCTAACACACACTAAAACAAAATCCCACGTATGCCACTTCTGCCAGAAATCCTTCACCCTTAAATCGACGCTCTCTATGCATTTGGCAACCCACCTCAACTCTTCTCAGCGACTTTCAGTTAACTGCCAAGTTTGTGGCAAGTTGTACGGCTCCAAGTCAGCTCTACAGATTCACCTGCGTCTCCACACCGGCGAACGCCCCTTCACCTGCGAGATTTGTTATCAAACCTTTCGAACTTCGGGCCACAGGATCGAACACATGCGGGCCGAACGACATCGCGTGACATCATCACTCATATGAAAAATACCAGTTGCGAAAGTATATTTCAACTTTATCAATACTATGTACAACACAACATTATGAATTAAAGCCCGGCGAAGTTCCGAAATGGAAGTGCTTGTCGAACTCCTGGCTCTTAGAAACTTCGTTCATCTTCTGACGTTTGTCCGCCAATATAAAGTCGTCTTCCTCAACCATTTCAGAGTCGCCACGTTTGCGCCGAAAAGTTTCTGTTGCGGCACACTCGTCCATATCATGAGCTTTATAAACCAGATAGTTGGGCTCAATATATTTGTTAGATCTGAAACAGAAGATTCACATAGGTTAAAATGAGAGCAAGGGGAATAATTGGTACTTACAATTTCAGCAAGTATGGGTCAAAGGGAAAAAATGTTTCAAGCGTCTCCTCAGGCATAGCCTTGTCATGGCCATAGACGGTGGCCAGCTTTCGTCGAGCGTTACGCTCCAAAACTGTGTGGCAATATGCGAGCTGATGGGTCCGCGTTACGCCTGCAAATGCAGTGGCCACTGCTGGTAGACAGTATCGCAAAGGATTTAAGTGGGACATGGCAATTCGTGAGAGGGGAAGTAATTGAAGGAAGTGCAAATCTATAAGCAAAACAACAAATCAAGTCGAGTACTTATTAGAATATGTAATGCCTTACCTTTTGTCAAGTCTTTTGCACGAAAGGCAATCAAGTAGAAAATAGACTGACAGACGGAGAAGAAAACCATGTTGGCCTTTAACGAGCCATTTTGGCTGCTGTACTGGTCAGAGTCCCCTATGTAGCTATTCGCCCAGTTGCTCAGTTCGTTGAGATACAATTTAATTGTGCTAAAACAGATAGATCACGGTATTTACCATAATTTTAGATCTTAGAGCTCGCTTTCATCGATTCCTTACCCAAGTGGGACAAATTTAGCGCGAGCTAAATAGCTGGCCATATAGCCGACAGCAGCGTGACGAATAATAGCCGATACGTTTGGATTCTGCACTTTTAACCAGAGCGAGCTTAGAAATAACTCTGAATATGTCGGGCGAATGCTACACACTTGAAAGATGAAAAATTGCACATGATGGGTATTGTGACTGGGCAACAAAACCTCGTCGAAGATATACAGCAGCGTCCTAAAGAAGTTATTTGCAGCCCAACGTTTATCCTCGCTAAATTCGGACTGAAATCTACTGTCCACAAACTTGTAAAGCATAGACAGACATGTATCTAGTGTGTGTCCAATGGGATGAACCGAATCTTTCGGCTGCTTGACCACTGTGTCAGTGGGTATGTCATCTATGGTAAAGACGCCGTCTTCGTCCATTTTGTCTTCATCCTCCTCTGTTTCGACGATCTCATCCCTTGGAGCATTTACATCCAATATAAGAAGTCTATAGGATCGAATAGAGGCAATAACTTAATGTCGATACAAATTTGCACTATTAGTTACTTACTTCTGCAAAACCAGCTGCAAAACGAGCTCCTCAATCACCGGTTTGTACTCTATTAACCACAGCACATTGTACAGATAGCCAGCTGTGACATGCGCTGGTTTCTTGAAGTATGGAAATTTACTGGATATGGAATCAATAACCACATCAAACGACATGGGCACAGCGGTCAAAATGCGGTTGAGGATGTCGTGAACTGTTTTCAACTCAGTGCGTGTTCCTTCCGCTGGACATCCATTGACCCAGTCGGCAGCGTGCAGATCCCCAGGTATCCAATGGACAATACACTTTGATATTCCTATGGGGATATATGTATTATGGGCTACCATAATGTCAATGCTGAATTCTGTGTAAGCTTTGATGACGTCTGGAGAACGCTTTCGCCAGTTAAAGGAAAGCAAAGCCTCAACAACGTTGGCAAAATCTGGAGTCAGGCTGTGCACAATTTTCCTTCCATCCTTCATGATTTGTAATACTTCATCGTCCTGTTTACGATGGATGGATTAATTTGAGTATGCAAAATCGCCTGCATTTGTGAGGTCCGAAACAATACTTACGTCAAGATCCGCTTCCAAAAGATAATAAGAAAATTCTTTGACAAGGTGAAAATTTCCGCCTTGCGCCGCACGCACCGATTCCAAAAGTCCCTTCTCCTTGGGAGTGGCGAATCTCACTTTGTTGACTGCCGCAGCCTTTGCTCGCTCGCGATCGGCACTTGAAAACGACTTTAAAATGGAAGTCACTCCCGTTTTGCTTGTGTAGGCAGACATTTTAATAAAAATTTAGTTTCCTAGAAGTGCGCAATTGATGTAGCCCGAAAGGAACACTTCGATTCAATGTGCGACGATATACCGATCTACGTTTTACGACTCAAGCAGCTCCTTACACACTTTCCTGGAGTTTTACTATACAATATTCTCATTATAATTGTAATTTTCACTCAATATTTATTACGTTAATTGAGGATAAACATTCGTATAGTGTTTACCCTAGACTCTAGACATCTGCTGAAACCAAAACACGTTGTATTTAAGCATTGATTGCTTTGATATTCCTCGATTTTCATATTCGGCTTAGACTTACTAGCTGGCTAGAACTCTCCGCACTGATCATATAATTGTATCAGTTAAATCAATTTATTTTCTATAAGATTGCTTTATTTTAAGTACTCGTCTTATTTAGATTGTTTATAAAATAAGGATTAAAGAAAAAAGGTCAACACATTTTCTACTTCGGTGCATTAGCACAACGAGGTGAGCCCAACTACGCGTCTTGGAAAAATACTACAAAATATAGGAAAGTGCTAAAAACTACTATACAAAAGTATATCAAATGCAAGGTGTGTGACGTACACAGGGAACACGTGAATAGTAACCCAGTGTGACCGCGGGAATATAATATACCAATTGATTTTTTTTATTCTTCAACATATTATATTTGTCATGAATTTATGGTTTTGATTAAATTTAACTCCGAAAAAATTCGTTCATATTTGGAACTAGCACTTGTCTGAGCTAATTTTGATACCACCCTTTTGTTTATTGTAATTTACCACAAATACCATAAATATACCTTCACAGCTGCTGGTGCTCACATTTGGTATTTTAATTTTCAGTAGAACGTACGCCATGTGTTTGCGCCTTTTTTAATTGAAAAAGAGAAACGAAACAGGAAAATGGACTCCATATTTTTAGTGGACAAAACTGGCAACCAAGAGTTGCAGAGCAAGCAAGGAACAAATGTTTTTTACATAAAGGATAAAGATAGGTTCTTGCTATCAGATGACGAGGGAAGCAGTGACGACGAGACGCCAAACAGCGAAACGGAACTTTTTGGGCTCAAGTTGAGCAGCAAAGATATAAACAATGCTGTGCATTCTTCGTTGGCTGGGACAAAGCCAGCCCCATCAAAAGTTGGCAAGCACCTGGATGCGATTACACGGAAAGTAGAAGCTGCGGTGGAAAATTCAAGCAAACACAAAAAAGAGCAGCGAAGGCGGGTCACAGAGTTGGACTGCAGCTATGGACCAGACTTAAACAATCGGGCGGAAAATGTGGAAAAGGATATGCTTATGTCGAGACGAGTTTTAGATCCGGGTCTGGAGCAGCGCAATGCTCTGCCTACTGTAGGCAAGAGAAAGCAATGCATTCTGAACAGAGTAAGTGGTTGAAGAGGGAGAATATTTGTTCACACACAAATGATGAAATTTTCGACATCGGAAGTTATGCGTATATTCATAGCAAGTGCTCGGCTCACGCTGCTCGAGGCAACTGCTGTGACGAGACTCAAAATCGCAGACTTTAGCTACTCTAGTTTCGTCCGTTGTAATCTTAGCTACTACGTTGGAGCATGTTGTAGAGGCTGTAAGGCCAACGGGACATTAGCAGCCATAGAGCTAGACTGTTGTCTGTCGTCGAGTTCAAGGCAGATAATTTAGAGCTGGGCTAATATTCTTTCCATATAATGAAACACTAATGAGCTATTGTCGACCCACACAGCAGTTGCTAAGGCTGGAGCTGGAAGCCACATTGACGACGTCTTTAGTAATCTGATAGACCAGTAGTTCAAGAATATAGTAGGTGCAGAGTATCATATATTAAAAAATACCTTTTTTTAAGGCGGAACGTGCAAAAACCAAAGGAAGCGGATGGTTTGATCTGCCAGCCACTGAAGTCACCGAAGAAATGCGCAACGAACTAAAAATCATTCAGATGCGATCGGTTCTAAATCCCAAGCAGTTCTACAAGAAGAATGACTTGAAGGTTCTACCCAAATACTTCCAGATCGGAACCGTTCAACATTCGGCATTAGATCACTACAAGGAAAAGAACACAAGGAAGGCCAAAAAATCACTAGTTGATCAACTTCTGGAGGACGAGGCCTTCCAGAAGTTTAACAAACGGAAATACAATGAGGTAATCCAACGCACAGACAAATACGCTTATCGAAAGACCATGAAAAAAATGAAGAAACTAAAGAAAAATAAATAAATCTATTGCACAGCTTTGTTTTTCACTGATTTTGTTTTGTTAACACGTATATCATATAACTACCATCAAGATTTCGCATCTTAACGTGAAGCGACCTTCCGCTCCTCTATAACTTGTAGAATGTGTCTAGCCAGTTGAGTAAAGATTGTGGAATAGTCGGTATCTGGGTATTTTATAACGACAGGCACACCTTCCTCCCCGCACTCGGCTATGTGAGCGTCCAGTGGTAAGGATATAAGCGTGACAGGAAGCGACTTTGCGGTGGTAGCATTTTTGAAAAATTCTATGCGCTGCTTGCAGTTGCCGCAGATGGAGAACCTCATGTTCTCAACCAGACCAAAGATGGGAACATTCAACTTTTCAAACATCTTCGCACCTCTCAGAGTAACCTCCACGGCCGCGGCGTGCGGTGTGGACACCAGAATAACACCTGTGATGGGTGCATGCTGCGTTAGGGAGAGATGAACATCTCCCGTGCCCGGAGGGGTGTCTATGACCAAAACATCCAACGGGCCCCATTCGGCTCCCTTCAGTAGGCGCTGTACGGCTGACATGACCAGGGGCCCGCGCCAAATGATTGCTGCATCGGGTGGCGTAAGCATGCCCATTGACAAGCACTTTACGTTGTAATTTTGAGGCGGAATCATTAGGTTCCGGCTATTCAAAAGGGGCTCGCTGTGCACATTCATTAAAAGAGGAATGCTCGGACCAAAAATATCCCCATCCAACAGACCCACACGCTTTCCCAGCTTGGCCAGGCTGCAGGCAAAATTAGCTGTATTGGATTATAAATCAAACTGATTACGACACATCTTTTAAATGCAATATTACTTACATACCTGCGACCGTACTTTTTCCTACTCCCCCTTTTCCAGACGCTACGACTATAATATCCTCGACCCCAATCAGTTTCTCCCTTTTGGGCAGACCGCGCGCCATCATTTCCGTCTGGTGGTCGGTCAGCTTTGCGGCAAAGCGTCGCTGATTAGCCCTCATTAGTGGACGCAGCGCAAACCAATGGCTATTCATTGTTATATATTATTTATTATATTAAAATTATTATATTAAAAACAGTAGTCGGAATGCCAGCTTCTTGAGCGATGCCGTATCCGTTCCGATATTTTATTTGCTACCAGGGCTGGAAACAGTGCTGTGATAAATGGATTAATAAAAAAAACCAAAAAGCTTAAAATAATTGAAAATAGTGAATAAAGAAATCTGACTTATCAATAATCTGTATGCAATCAGATTCGCGGTCGATTTTAATTTGAGATTCGAATTCATTGTGAATCTGAGCAGATGGTGTTACAGGGTTACAGTACGGGAACAGCTGCGACTAGCTCTATCCACAAAATTTAAAACAAATCCCAAGTCAAATTAAATACATCGAGATGGATTCCCAACATGAAGATACTTTGGGCCACAACGAGGAGGAGCAGTGGTCAATTGAGGATGATACGCTATTCCAATCCAGAGGATTGATCAGTGTCAGTGCGGCGTCTTCCTGCAAGTCTGTGTTTATTACATGGAACGAATTCTATTTACTAAATTTTCGTTTCAAGAAACCGAAAGGTACGAACAAGATGAAAATGAGCAGAGTTCGAATTCCACTGCCCACCAGCAAAGGAAATCATCTCCGCAGCATACACACCCTGAAATATAATACAATATTGCTAATGTCGGACGGCCAGATATATTGCTTTGGGTCGATCAAAGCCTTGCATTCTGTTAGCTGGTTAGGTGGAGTGAGGTGCTTCGCCCCAACAGATCAGGGGTTCAGTGTGATTCGTGAGAGAGAGCAGCGCCTGCTGCTAGAGATTTACCTGGATCTTCCTGGCTTGGAGAAGGGCGAAAGTACTCTGCAGCACACTTTCGATATAACCTACGATGAACAGAATATATTCCAGTGCGACTGGAAAAACGACGAATACACCTTGACTACATTTAAAGTCTCTGATGAGGAGGAACAACATTTAATGCAGCGCCTGTTTGGAGGCAACGTGGTCAAGCAGCAGTATGTACATATTTTCAGCATAGCTGGACATATATTTGCCTTGGTTTCCGATGCAGAGGCTGAGGCTGAGCCACGCCCAGAAAAGCCGGAGCAAGCCTACCACATTGAACTACTTTGTGTCTATGCTGCCTCTATTCACTTTGTACGTTTTCTGCCTCGCCAGAATCTCTGTTTGGTCATTCTTAGCAGCGGCAGCGTGGACATATGGTACGTGTCTAAACTGTTGGGCAATAAGCAGCGCCAAATGCATCACACAGGCTCGGAATGGTTGGACTATGACTTTGATGCCACCAGTAAGAACGGGGACTTATACTACACCAATGGAGAGCAGATAGTGCGGCTGAGAGTTGCATATAGCGCCCAGCTTGACGAGTGTCTTGTTCAGAGCGTGGCAAAGTCTGTTCCGGGCATACAGGCCTGCACTTGGGTAAACAACAGCGACAAATTGGTTTGTCTCAGTGACAACAACATGTTCTACCGCATTGACTTTGGTTCAGGCGAGGAGGAAGCACCCAAGCATACTTCTTCATTGATGAGTGATTTTACGCCTGCTACAATACAGCGCCTGCGAGAAAAGACCCAGAAGTTGGATAAATATGAAAGGCAACCAGTCCTCCTGCAGTTGGCCATACAGAGAGAGTATCAAAAACAGCAACTGGTGGCGGTGGGCAGAAATAGCAAATGGATTGCCGGAAGCTGTAAGGCGTCCCTAGAGTTTCATCGGCAGATACCTCTCTGTCGAGACGCTGTTATGCTCCTGCAACCAGCCCAGATGGAACTTCACAGTACTTGCGTTTATGCCATTTTCAAATTAAGTTTAGCCAGCTGTGAGCAGCTAATGCATAGCACCCACTGGCAACTATTGATGTTGACTGATGACCATCAGGCCCATGTTCATGTATTGCCAGCAGAACTACTTTTAAATAGAAGGTGCAATTTGGTAGTTTCGTTTAGAAAACAAAGAAACGAACGTCTGCCTGAGTTCACTCTGAAATTGTTTTCTTTTATTGATTTGAATGGTCAACTAAGTGCTGTGCTCCTTCCCATTGAGGTAAAAGAAAGTCCGTACACCTACAGCGCCCTTTTTGGCGGAAGTGTGACGGCCGTAAACCTACGGTCAGATAATGATCTACCGATTTACAATAAAAAGACGAGTCTAACGATCTGCGAAAAGATTCGAGTACCTAATGATTTTACACTGGCGCAAATGGCAAATCTGTTCAATGCCGCTGGTAATTTTAAGGAGACTCTTTTGGAAATATTTTTCATAGATATCAAGCTACGCCTACAGAGGAATACAGATGATGATGGAGAGGAACATCATTTATCTCTAACACTTCAAAGTGACGATCCCTCTGCCATTTACTATTTCAAGCATCATCTTATCTTAAATATGGATCCCTTGGATTCTGATAGAAATTCTACAGTATTAAATAAAGTTATGGTAATATTAAACATTAATTTATTTACCTCCTCTAATATTGAACATTCAACAGAAATTACAATGCGAAAGTGAACGGTTATATGGTACGCAAGGTGCAGATGGATCGGACTGTGGAACTAACATTCGATTGCGACTGGGATCGCAATATACTGCCATTAGAAATACAATTTTTTAATAATTTCAAAATCAGCATGTTTAAATATAAATCTATTTCGCCCCAATATAGAGTGACCTTTACAAATCGCAAACATTTTCTGAGCTGCCAGTTATTTATAAATTATAAATAAATAAATTATAAATTTAGCTGATCCGAGTACTGGGGATTCTGAGGATTGTTTGAGCTAATTCAAATACTATTCTATTTTGTAATGTTATTGAAATATACTGTAATAGAATACCACAATCTGTATGAACTATACCATTAAATACCAAAAGATAGATTAAGCATTCCAGTTTCGGTATATTTTATCAGTAAATCGGCTGTCACACTGCCCTGCTTCTTAGAGCTGTCAAACGATTGATAGTTGAGCCATCGATAAGAAAAATCGATACTATCGTGATAGTATCGGGCTCAAATAATTATTAAAAATCCATTGAAACCTTTTAGCAACTTGTCCATTGTAAAAATTAGATGCCACCTGTCGATTTGTTTACAAATATGTCTTCGTATTTTATAGCAGCCAATCCAAACATATCAAAAGCGCAACGACTGTAGCTCGATAGTATCATGATAGTCGCAAAACCGTCTATAGTAGAGGCTAGAAGTAAAATATCGATACTATCGATATTGTCCTCGATGGTTTGACACTGCTTCTTTCTTTCTTTTTTCACCCTACGTGGAAACATCGTGTAGCGGTGTTAAATTTTCATTAAAAAGTGAAAAATGGTGAGCATTTGCTGGCTTATAACTAAACCAATGCCTAAATCGTTTTGTGTGCTATCTAAAAAGCTTGAAACATTTTAAAAACGCTCGAAGATGCCACGGTAATTGCTAGATTGATTTTCGTATCGAGACTAACTTGAGTGTTCTGTGTTTTCGCCAATTGCAGGGTTTCGTTAAGGTAGTCAAGAACAAGCAGTACTTCAAGCGCTACCAGGTTAAATTCCGCAGGCGTCGTGAGGGTAAGACCGATTACTATGCCAGGAAGCGCTTGACGTTCCAGGATAAGAACAAGTACAACACGCCCAAGTACCGTTTGATTGTTCGTCTCTCCAACAAGGACATTACTGTCCAGATCGCATATGCTCGCATTGAGGGTGACCGCGTCGTGTGTGCCGCTTACTCGCACGAGTTGCCGAAGTATGGCATTAAGGTGAGTGGAATCGCAAAATTTAATTAAAAATAAAAGTCTGGGAAATAATCATATGTTTTGAGTTATTATTATAGGTCGGTTTGACCAACTACGCTGCTGCATACTGCACTGGTCTGCTGGTTGCCCGTCGTGTGCTCAACAAGTTGGGCCTGGACTCTCTGTATGCCGGATGCACTGAAGTGACCGGAGAGGAATTCAACGTGGAGCCAGTCGACGATGGACCTGGTGCTTTCCGTTGCTTCTTGGATGTTGGCTTGGCGCGCACCACAACCGGAGCTCGTGTGTTCGGTGCCATGAAGGGCGCTGTTGATGGTGGACTTAACATTCCACATTCAGTGAAGCGTTTCCCCGGCTACTCTGCAGAGACCAAGAGTTTTAATGCTGACGTGCATCGCGCTCACATATTTGGTCAGCATGTGGCCGACTATATGCGCACACTGGAGGAGGAAGACGAGGAGAGCTTCAAGCGCCAGTTCAGCCGTTACATAAAACTGGGCATCCGTGCTGATGATGTAAGTAAAAAGACACTTCTACTAGGTCAACGTCCATTTTAAAAATTACTGCTGCGTTCAGTCCCCACAACGCTGGCTGTGCCAAAAGTGGACCACATGAAAGCCCAGTGACCTGTGTTCGAAGTTAAATCCCCTCAATGGATCGCACTTCCTGTTATGGTTGCACATTCCGTTCTTTTCCTACAGAATGATATTTGAATTTTTTTCTAATTATGTGCCTTTCTTGCAGCTTGAGGATATCTATAAAAAAGCCCACCAGGCCATTCGTAGCGACCCTACCCACAAGGTCACCGCCAAAAAGACTGTTGGCGTTACGAAGAAGAGGTGGAATGCTAAGAAACTCACAAACGAGCAGCGCAAGACCAAGATTGCCGCCCACAAGGCCGCCTATGTGGCCAAGCTTCAGTCCGAGACTGATGCCTAGGTGCGCTTATCTTCTGTTGCAGTTCGTATTGGTGTGAAAAAGAAATAAAAATTGTAATGAGAAACAATTTCTATTATAGAACACGGCAGAATGGTTTTTTTAATCTATTTGGGGATACGATAACGAATCGACACTTTTTAGTGCAATTGTTTCCATTCGATACTACAATGGAATCGACGTCAAATTCAATCTTTATTTTAAATTTTAAAAGCAATAAATAAACATTCACGCAAATCTTAAAGGTAACAGTTGAAAAATGCATCCTGAAGAAGAGGGAAAGAGTGGGAGACTAACCCTTCCTCAGAAATTTCATTTGTTGATTGTGAAACACAACCGCACTACTCCTCGCTTGGATCACTGTTGACCATATTGCATTCGGCGCATTGCCCGTTGGTCATACCGCCAGGCATACACAACTCGTGGTAGATATGACCACATTTGAATGCAACTAGGCAATTGCGGTGGGTCGTGCTTTTCATCATGACTGGACGATGGCACTGAGGACAGTGGTGGTCGTAGGATACATGCTGCGCCCGTTGCCGCAATGCAACAACTTCCGAATGGCTGTCAAAATAGTCATCCAGTTGAATGTCATGGGCTGTGGAGAGCACCTCCTCTTGTGTGTTGTAGTGCCAGAGCATTTTAATTACTGATTCACGCAGATTTGGTATGGTCTGTCCAAGTTTAATTTTACTAACTACTATCTCTGGATTCACATAGTCTAAACGAGAAGAGACGAGACGGTACATTTTGAGAAGAAAAGTATGTGTAATTGATTAACTAACCCACAATGCCGTCCAAGACCTTCGTTACAATTTCGGGCTGCTTGGTGGACTCATCAATAAGCACATTCCACAGATCATTGTCATTGTGCTCCTTGCAAAACTCAATTGCCATTTCAATGTCACTCATCTGAAAATGAAAGTCCTCCATTAAACTTTGTATTCAACTTACATATGTTGTAGGCATTCTCATACACTGTGAATAATAATATTAAGGGCCTCTACAGCTTCTACTCCGCCCATGCAGCCCAGCAAGTATACCATTTCCGGATAGAAACCTTCGCGCTTGCAAATGGCCAACGCATCCTGTATGACATACTCCTTGGAACGTCGTAGGAAGGGCAATAGCTTCGACCGATCGTATTTTGCATACAACTCAACTAACTTGTGTTGGAATACATTGCTGCTGTCAATCTTATGAAGGTCATCCAAAAACTAAAAAGGAAGAGGGCTAATCTGCTGTTCATCTTGGGGTTCAAATATATAGGAATTATACCCAGTATAGGTACTCCTGATTCTGTTCTAGCTGCTGCACGACGACTTCAGGCTTTATTTTTTTTTTGTCCAGTAATACCTTGAAGGCTCTTTCGCGATCCAAGTGAATGAGTGGAATGATTAATTTAGAAATTACGCCGTAGAGCTCATAGCGACGTATTAGTTCGAAAACATCCTTGTTCTGCAATCTGACCAAAATATTGACTCTTCGTTAGAGTTCCAGTTAGTTAATCGAATTACTTACTTTAAATACATCCGCAAAGCGCTCTCGTAGTCCCCTTGATACGAGTAGAGCAGGGCAAGCGATTCTAGCAGTTCGTTTGCATTCTGTTTGCGAAAATTATCATGTATGGCGTTTATCACCGCCAACCCATCGTAGAGCTGTGGCGGCCATTCTTTGATCAGGTTAAGAAAGCCATTGACATCAAACTTCAGAAACTCGTACAAAACCATTTCATAGACATGGGGATCCAACTTGCAGTTCTCGGATGTCGGTAAGTAGGCACTAACAGCTCGCAATTGTTGGCATTTGACAAACTTGAAGACTTCCTCTTCCCAAAGGGCTTTATTGTTGCCCAGCATACGCAGACAAAGTTTGGCAGCATCTTCGTATTGTTTGAGGGTCAGCAAATGGTTTATGTACAACCTGTAAAATGATATAATGCAATTATGATGAGTTGCATAGATAAAGAACCTCGAATTTATATTATTTAATTAAGTTTAACTCATAACAAACTAGGGGACAAGTCCCCTGCTCACACGATCGTTTTCCACCTCACTGACCTGGCAAACCATTTGTCGCAGTCAAAATGTGCTTTCTAAAGATAATTACCGGTGATCCAATGTTCAGTCGTATAACGTGTGGTGGCATGCCTGGCAAATCAAGTGAGTTCAAAAGCTCTTTTTGATCATGTACATTGTACAACATCGTTCACATCGCAAACTGTATCGATCGATTCGCCTGACAACAACTGCACGATTTTCACACATTCCACATTTTTTTGCTGCCAAAATTGTTCTTTCTGCCAGCCATTGCATGATTTAAGTGTGGTGTTTATACATCTGGGAATACACGTTCAGTGAGAGCATTTTGCGAATCAACAATTGTGCCGAGAAATTTATTGGCAATTTTATAGCAACTTCTCCATCGCCTATATCTAATAAATGATTTGCAAATGTTTCAGCAAATTACACTACTCGACAAAACCGAACTTTTTTTTTCCTCAAGGATCCAAACCGACTTTTTCTGATAGATATGGGGCTTTAAAATTTTTTAAAGAATTATGGTTTTTTTTCTATGGCAGAACTTTTTTTTGAAGAATTTTTGAAGTCTGGTATTTTTTTTTTAAGCTTTTTTCAGAGGTAGCGATAGTTTTTTTCACATAACTTTAATATCTTACGTCTGGTTGTAAAGAACTTTGCTATTTTGAAAAGATAATTGACGCAGCTAGAAGTTGATGCCAAACACTTTGTGATTTCAGCTTACCGTCTGGGAAATATAAAGCATTGAAATGCAAAAATGATGATTTTTGTGGGGTATTTTTTACGAAATTTTGACTTTAAAAACTCAGGAAAAGTCGAAAAAAAATTATATCTTGTGTCCTCTATTTTTTTGTGTATAGGTGCGTTAATTTGGCGTCGTTTAAGGTATCGCTCATTAAAATCTATGGAGAGACTTTGGAGCTAAAATTCGTTAACCAAACCAACTGCCAATTGGGAACAAAGCAAACGAGCAAGGGTTGTACATTTGGTACCTGATCGCGTTCCTTTGTTCCCAATTGGCAGTTGGGCCCGCCGCCTTCAAAAAGGTATTTTTTGTTCATTTTTTCCATTTTTTAGGTTTGGTTAACGAATTTTAGCTCCAAAGTCTCTCCATAGATTTTAATGAGCGATACCTTAAACGACGCCAAATTAACGCACCTATACACAAAAAAATAGAGGACACAAGATATAATTTTTTTTCGACTTTTCCTGAGTTTTTAAAGTCAAAATTTCGTTAAAAATACCCCACAAAAATCATAATTTTTGCATTTCAATGCTTTATATTTCCCAGACGGTAAGCTGAAATCACAAAGTGTTTGGCATCAACTTCTAGCTGCGTCAATTATCTTTTCAAAATAGCAAAGTTCTTTACAACCAGACGTAAGATACAGAGTTATGTGAAAAAAACAAGCGTTACCTCTGAAAAAAGCTTTACAAAAAAATACCAGTTTTCAAAAATTCTTTAAAAAAAAGTTCTGCCATAGAAAAAAAAAAAATATCATCAAACCATTTCTAAGCCCCAAATCTTTAAGAAAAAGTTCGTTTTGTTCCTTGAGGAAAAATCGTGTTGACTAGTGTTATCGGTGTATGTCGGCGATGAACTCAAGATTATTGATTCTTCTTTGAATCACAATTTCTCGTGCGGTCGCCAAGCATGAACCATCTATAAAACGTTGTCAACAACAAGATCTTTGGAATCCACGCACGCGATCATCATTTGGTGTTTTATTAGGATCGATGCGTGTTAGCATGATTGTAACTTTTCAAGTTGTGCATGTGTGATTTTTATAATTTCCATAATTCATTGTGCTCCCTTAGTAGTTCGCCCAGCTCTCTGACTTTGCGCCTGGCTATTTGCAAACTGAAGTTATAGTAGCATCAATGTGGATCTAGAAACGTAGTTGTGCTTCGTTTGGCATTGGCAGCAATGAGCCCACATTTTGGTACACTTGACTTAAATGTTGAATTGAATTATTGACCATTTGCCGATGTTATTTTGAAGCATGAATTAAATTTACCAATGGTCTTTAATAATCGAGGACCAGGCGGATCAGCAGACCGTTAAATAGTTCTGGCGGTGTCTCAATTACAGGTAGTTGCACTTTTCCTGGTGCGCAACACATGCCATCTGACTCATGTTGCAATTAGAGCACCTTCGGATGAGTTGAGTCGATGGCTCGTATGCCAACGCAAGCCGAAGAAACGAAGCGGAGGTAATTGCTCGATGCATTGATGTCGTTCGCTCATGAACCAAATTAACAAAATTACCCAGAGCTTTGTGGAGTTCATCCACAAACACCGTGACACGATATTTTTTTAGCAGTTTTTTTTTGGTATCGAAAGTATCAACACGATAGTTTTCGATATTCAATGCTCAAATCCGCGTTTAATCGATATATTATTACTAGCGATATTTTTCTTTATAAATAGTTAAATAATATTATCAAAACTTATATGGTATTAAAAAATATTTTAACGCACCTGGAAACTGAAAGAACCGGCAAGCTGCCGCCGTGTGTTGATATAAGGTCGATAGCCTCCTCGAATTTACTGTAGATGAAGGAAGGAAGTAAATAGAATCAACGAACAGCAGAGGTGGTATCTAAAATCAATTCGCAATTATGCGCTCCATATTGCAAACAGTATAAATATGTATTAGCTATACTGTCCATGTTGGGATCCGATCCATGTAAAACATAAGACGTCGAGTGTCCACGAACAAAAATGCGGCGCTTGAACAACCTTGTAACCCTTTTCACTGCCATAACTGCCTTCTTTTTTGGAAGTTTTATTACAAAAATACTGAGTTCAGTGGACAAATGCCCGTCCCACCGGAGTGGAGTGCCTAAATTGGAGCCGCATCCAGATCTGTTTCTCATGGTGCTAGTGCTTAGCAGCCCCCGCAATGTTGAACAGCGGAATAGTATTCGAGAGACCTGGCTTCGATTGGTGCAGCCCCTCCAGCAGCCATACTATCCCGAAGATCACATCTACTTGCCTACCTATGGCTCCAATGGGCACTTGCAAATGGAATTGGTCGCTCAGCAGGCCGTCCGCTTAAGGAAATATATAAGCTGGCAAGAGAGCCTATTAAGCAAAGGTTCACAAAAAACTCAGCGGAAGATTAAAGTAAAGCATCTCTTCGCGATTGGCACTGAGCAGATACCCGGCGGCATGAAGTCTGAGTTGATAAGAGAGCAGGAGCAGTACAACGATCTCTTACTGCTCCCACGGCTCGCAGACACCTACGGAAATCTCACAGAGAAATTGCTGCAGGCCCTGGATGCTTTGACGCATCACTTCAATTTCTCCTATTTGATCAAAGTAGACGACGATACCTACGTCAAATTGGACCATTTGCTCAACGAGCTGATTTCCTACGATCGCAAGATGCTCCGCAAGACACCCGAATACGGGCACGACCCCCTGCCGCAGCTCTATTGGGGCTACTTTAATGGTCGTTCAGTGGTCAAGGGAAAAGGTCCCTGGAAGGAGACTAATTATTATCTGAGCAAAAACTATTTACCCTATGCTCTAGGCGGTGGATATGTGCTATCCCGAAAGCTCTGCGAGCATGTCGTTAATAATTCTCATGTGCTCTCCACGTATGTGTCGGAAGATGTGTCGGTTGGTACCTGGCTAGCTCCGCTGCGGCATGTTTATCGCTGGCACGATCCCCGATTTGATACTGCCTATAGGGCCCGAAAGTGTCAAACGTATCACTTGCTCATGCACAAACGAACCGAGGAAATGATGAGAGCAATCTACCACGGCCAAACGTGTAGCGGAATTGGCCCGAGCACCATACTGGAGTACTACTACGATTGGACGCGGACCTCAGAAAAATGCTGCGATAGCATAGTTGTCTAGCCGTAAGACTGGCGTATGGCATATGGTACATGGCTTCAACCAATGAAAAGGAATCAGTTACCTGTGCTTTATCAGCCACTCAACACGATCGTCCGTTTCTATAAGACTGGCCACCACTATGTCCTTGGGAGCCACAATAAAATACCGATTCTCTTCAATTATGCAGCCTAGGCTGTAGTCGTTGACGGTGTACTCCTCGAAGCCGCGGAGCGTCAGACTGTCTGTGCAGATCTCTTTGCTGCTGTTCATCTTGTACTCAATGACGCACAGCACGGGTCGGAGCGCTTTGTAGGTTGCGCTGCGCTCTTTACGATAGCCAAGTACCACTAACTGACTGGACGCCAGTGGGGCCAGTCCACAAATGTAGAAAGTAGTTTGAAATGTCGAGACTGTAATGCAATAAATATTATTAGATACGATTATAAATTGAGTTCAGTTCACTATACCTACCGGGATCCACAACATAGCCCGGTAAATTGCTAGAAGCGGCTTCAATCCCATTCCGCTTGCGTATAACACAAATCCTTATGGTGTCCACCCAGCCAATGAGCAATGTGTGCTCATTGGACCAACGCAAGTGGCAACGAAAGTTCTCGAGACGCGCCTGCGAAGGAACTTCCCATTTCATCAGTCCCAAAGAGCACTTCTCACTTAAATCATAGACACGAACGCCCAAGTGGCTTGCCCAGGCCACAAAGTTTCCCTGCCAACAAATGGACAAGACACTGCCCTCGACTGCACACAGTTCGGTGGGTTTGAGCTTCTTGAGAAGATTTCGCTCGTAAAGGATGAGTTTGTCTTCGCCTAGAGCGAGCCAATTAGAATAGATCTTGGATCCACAAATGTGCTGAACATACCCACTATGAACCGTCTGACGCGAGACTTTGGATCTGGATCTAAGGCCACAACTTTGATGCATTTTCCAAAACTAAGATTCTGATTGTTCTCGCAGCTGAAGAGACCCGTGATGTTGACCTGATAAAAAATTGCTACATGTGATTGCAACGTCCACCCCCCATACAGCAAAATGACTCACTTTGCCATCGTCGGAGCATGTGGCAACATACTCGCCCTTTTGGTCGACATCCACCTGGTTAACTGCCACTTTGTGCGTGTACTGCTCGTTGTTGCTCAGATTGGACTCAACCGAGTTGCCTTGGTGATCCAGCAAGTAGACGCGACCTCGAAACGTGCCAAATATAAGAAACTGCAATCTCTTTAGTAGGAAAGACCCATGCAACTTTGGGAATGCGAATTTTTCAAACCTTTAAATGGACAGCAGTGCATGTGACCACGTCTGCGTTGAGTATATTCCTGAGATCGTTGGCTATGCGCTGGTACTTGAATTTGGGCTCAACTTCTTCATCCTCTTCAGTGCTCTCCGTTCCAGAGTCCTAGACAAGAGAAAGGTCTTGTTTCAAGTGCGTCCACACTCTTTCTCAAAACTTACGCTATTGGCTGGCAGTTTTTCTGCCATATCTAACCATCAGTTTTTTTAATTTCAATTAGGATATTGCTCGTATTAAAACATATCATTTCTTGTTTATCTTATTTGCTTCGTTCCGATAGTTTCATGCAAAATATTAAATGCTATCGATATTTCTAGACACTAATCGATAGACAAATCGGGCTGCCACAGCTGTTCGGAGGAATTCACTATTTCTTATTGCCCTGACCAATTTTTTTGAGGTTGTTTTTGATAAAAATGATTTATAAAAAGGTCACAAGCTCAAATGCACTGGTAATGGTGTCAAATTCATGTCAATGCATCAATCAGTGTTTTTTTTTTCCAATTTTCTTTTGCAATTAAGATTCGTTTTGTTGTATAAAAATCCGTTTAAGCCTAGTACTCAGATGGAAAAAAAACACCTAGCGAACAGAATCAGGGTTGATATTCGTATGAAACCGATAAGAAATTTTTTACGGCAAAAACTGTTTTCTAGGCTCTGTACGGAAGGCAGTACTCAGATCAAAAAACAAAAAGGTCGGTATATACTGGAAAAGTATCAGAAGTGTTTGCTTGTTTTTTGGTATGTTTCGACCCACCTCGAAAGAGATATCAATTTGATATCTTTTGCCAGCAAACACGAAGCAAAAATTGCAATAAGAGAACAAAAACCCAAATGAAATATTTTCATAATGAAGACAAATAGAATCTAATTAATGCAGCATTATATAAAGGACAATTATATGGATATTACAATATAATATTTGTATTCATTTTCATAAATATAAAACAAATATTGCTTTCAAAACAGTTTGTCTTCACGGTGGTCGGCACGGGTGGCGTCGCCATCTGCTGCTGCTGATGGTCAGACACATTACCTTGCCAATAAAATATTGGGGAGCCCCAGCCGAAGAAGTGCATTTTGTTAACTTTAAACAAAACCAAGCAGCGGTCTGAGCAGTGTAACCGTTCGGAATGCAGTGCACACCTCTGGTCACACCACTGGTCGCTCGAAAAATATATGACAACTGTTTGCTAGCAAACAGTTTTTCGATCTGAGTTCTAGGCTTTCTGGCAGAAATATGTTGCCGTTTTGAAAACGGGAGAGCCTCTCCTTTCAGAAGTAAATCGTTAATTTTTAGCGAAAGTGAAAACCGGAGCCTGCACGATTAGCTATTAGGCTAACATATGTAAACGAATTAAAAGCTACAGGTATTAGCCAATGAGTAGCGGCTGCAGCGCTGGAACGGGGTGGGTAAGCAACTGAAGGTGAATTTTTCCATTCTGAATATAGTAATGATCCAATCTGAGCCAGATTCAATCTGTTTTCTCGTATCTTCAAAATTGTGGATGCCACAGATTTTCGTTTTTTTTTGAAAGACCAGATAGTAGCCAATTTATGTACTGGCAGTTACAGTTGTTGTGTAGTAGTATTGATTAATCACTGGAAATCGACATGACCATAATTAAATCCGTCTTGACAAAATTAATGAACCGTTTAAACGGAAGGAGTTTTCAGTGATTCAGATTGGCGATTGCAGTGACAATTTTCAAAATATGGTTCTCTTTTCTACGGCGAACTGTGCAGAAGCATTGAAACATCTCAATTTGATTTTTCTTAAACCAATTTATACTATTTTTTTCATTAAAAATTTTGAAGTTAATTTTTGGTGGGTCTCCTTGTCATTAAAGCCACCTCATTTGGCCGACGATGAATAGTTCAAGAGAACTTTGTTGGATTTTTTATTAGTTGAGAGGAATTAAATTAACTTATTGGAAAAAAAATTAATTTTGTTTTTAAAGGTAGTTTTTCTATTTCTTTCGTTTGGTCAAAATTACCGAAAAAAAGAGTTACAACCAATAGTTTTCAGAAAACAGGATTATATCTATCAAGCTTAAAGCTGTTAAGCTGCCAAAAAGCGGTGATTAATGTACAGTGGATTAAATATTATTTATTTATACTACAGTTGATGCCTATACATTCAGCTAGATCAGGAACTTTCAATCACCGATCATCCAGTACATATTTTTTAATATTTGCCATAATTTGTGATCACCTCATTTGGTCTCCCATTTTGTCCATTTGTCCATTTTCGTGGCTACAACGACCTCACTTAAACTCTGCCACCCAAAATTTTATTGTTATAAACGAAGGAGCAGAATCAAGGCGATAGAAGTTTTGGTTGGACTAAGACCTTTCAAATGAAAGTATTGAATCATATTTCTTTGCTTCTCGGCCCTGACTCTCTAAAAAATTAAGCAGTTCATGAGTTAATCCCAAGTTTTTGGCTATTTATATTTAGACATTCATCGTTTGTAGGTTGGGGGTGGGGGTAACCCTTCGATCTTCAAAATAGGTTTGAGATAGACCCTTTTTAAAGATTTCTTTATCTGGAGATAAATAACAGGAAGCGAAGGTTCACAAGCTAGAAGTCTCCTGTTCGATTTGGTGACGACATTCAAATCAAACCCAGTGCCCATGAAAAAATAAAACCGCAAGCGAGACCATACACATACACATTGACAATATATGTCCACACTCCAATGTTTTTATTGGTGTTCTTTATAAATGCGCTTAATTATTGTTTGATTTAGTCTAATTTCTGTTTTCCTGTGCGGGTCAGGTCTAAGCAAATCAAAAGAAACAAGGAAGCAGGGGAAATCAATGAGAAAAATGAACAGAGTTTATGAAAATATACACAACTTGCGGTTTATTAACCAATTAAAACATTCTAAAAGTACCAAATAAAAAAATATGATTCTCACTTGAATACTCGCTATAAATATAAATACATATGTTAAAAAGTTAAGGCTAAATATATGATTGCGAAACCAACCGTAAACGGTTTGGAAACTGGAATTTCGAAACTTCACTTGTACGAGTAATATTGGGGTTTGCTTGTTTTTGTTTGTCTGTTCGTTTCTCGTCGTGTCTTGTTTTGTCTTAATTGGTTTGTAGTTACCGCTATTACACTACAGGATTATCGTGGTGTATGTGGTAATGTGCGAATAAATAAAAGCCTATAACATAGCGTTCTAAAATACATAATACAAAAACTACGCGGCGCCAACGACAACGTCGCAAGTGGGCGTGATTAGATTCTGTTTAAACACCCCACACGGCCATAATTCATCTGTTGTAGTCGCCGCATCCGATTTCCTTGTTGCCCATTGTCCAGTAATGATCCAATATATCCTCGCTGGTGAAGCGAACATCGGGATCAGATTGAAGCATGTTGGCGATTAGATCGCGCACGCCATCACCAATATCCGACCAGTAGGGATCGGGGAACTCGTACACACCAGAGATGATGGCGTCGAAAAGCGGCTCCTGTTGGTTGTCAGGCGCCACAAACGGTGGAAAGCCGCAGAGCAGTATGTACAATATGATGCCAGCGGCCCAAACATCGATCTGCGGTGAGCAGGACAAATAAACAAATCAATTAAATTGCAGCATTAATACTTATATGTAAGTATTTACCTTCAAGCCGTACCCCACTTCCAGCAATATTTCGGGTGCCACATAAGTAGGCGTGCCGCAGACGGCGTATAGAGGCTCGGTGACTTCACAGGCCAGTCCAAAGTCAGCTAGTTTCAGTTGAACGACATTTCCAAACTCATCCAGTTCAACCTGCGAGCAGGGCACAGAGGCAACAGTGTCAACAGGATTACTTGATTCAATGTAACATTTTGGGACTTACCAAGAGGTTCTCCGGCTTAATATCTCGGTGCACAATGCCCATGGAATGTAGGTAAGACATGGCTGAGCCCAGATGTCGGATCATGATGCGCGACTGGCTCTCCGAGAATCGCGTCACCTGGGTAATTGCATCAAAAAGATCGCCCCCTGAGAAATGAAGATAAATTAGTAATTTGCGATTTATGATACATTTCAGACTGCAGCCGTTGGTTCGATAAGAGGTGATGTTATTGTTCATAGACCTACCACTCACATACTCCAGCACCAGATACATGTTGGTATTCTGGTCCACATCCAAGACGAGCGAGATAATATGCGGATGGTGGAGCTTCTTCATGACGCGCACCTCCGCGTCGATGTAGTGCTCTTTACCCTTGCACTTGCTCTTGTCGATTATTTTTAGAGCGCGAGGAATGCCCGTCTGGCGTTCCTTAATTTTCAGCACAATGGCGAAGTTGCCGTCGCCAATGATTTGGCTTAGCGTATAGTTGTCGCGTATGGCAGCTGGCAGCTCGGCAACCTCCACGCCAGTGCTCTTGAGTAGCGCCGCTTGGTCATCGTCCTCGTTGGCTGCTGACTGAAGCTGAGCCTCAGCGTGGGCTGTCAGCTCCCCTGGCGGGTATGCCTTTTTGCTCTTGACGGGCATTTTGGGCTTGGGTCCCTTGCAGGCGGTGCCCGCCGTGCGGAGCGTCTTTCGTATAGCATTGATGGCGCGCTGTTCCTCCGACTCCAGCTTGAAGTCGTCCACGGTATTGACCCGCTCTGTACCGTAGGCGAAGAAAACATCATCCGAGCCGAAGAAGTCGGCTAGCTGTAGCACCGCGACGCCCGACAGGGTGAAGACCTTTCTCACATATCCTGTATCCAGGCGGACCACCTGCGTAATGGCGGTCAGCACGTGATCGAAGCTGGGACTGTTGCGCTTGTTTAGCAGCAATCTTATTATGCGTCGTGGCTTTGTGCCGTTCCGTATGAGGGTAACGATGCGCGGATGTACCACACTGTCTCGCTCACTGAACCGCGAAGTATTCAACGGACTACCGTTGGCAGCGGCTCCTCCGCCAACTGGAGCCGACGCACTGCTGTTGAGCACTCCGTTCTTCAACGGAGATGCGGGCCGCTGCAGCTTGGCCAAGCGATGGTTGCACGAGCGACTGTTGTTCGCCAGCGTGAGGTTGGCCAGGGGCTGGGAGCTGGTATTGTACTCCACCTTCTTGAAGTTCTCGTTATTGCAGGAGCAAACGTAGCTCTGACCGTCCTCCAGCTCCTCCAGGGCGGTAATCTAAGGGAAGAAAATCAGTATCAGTAATTAATCTGATGGATATAACACTAACCTTCTTTCCACACATGTCGTAGATGGTGCGCACAGCACCCGGTATTTTCACATTCTCCTCAAGGAGTCGAGTCAAGTCCTCGTAGAGGCTCTCGAATGACCGATATCGCTCGTTGGACACGGGTATGGTTATGCCCGGATAGAAGCGATCCCCATTGCGATAGAACTTAATGCGATGGGCCTTGCGGGTCGGTGTGCGGCTGCTTGTGATGCGCTTCTTTAGATGGGCCGTGGCTGGCACGACGCTCAGCGATGCTGCACCGCTGGCAGAGCCATTGGTGTTGGCGGTGCCAGGCGTACTCGTTCCAGCTGGAGCTGAAGTGGTCGAAGAGGCGCCGCTCAGGGAGCCGTTCGACTTGCCCACACTTCCACTGCCGGTCAGCGAACCGTTCAGATCCCTCAGCTCGTCCAGTTCCTTCTCCGGCTCCGAGTTGGAACTGGCGGGACTGTCGCAGTCACGCCGACTGTGAGAATCTGCCTCTTCCTGGGCCTTCTGCTGCTGACTGAGTTGATTGAGGAGTGCGCTCTGAGCTGCTGCCGCACTACTGGAGGCCGTCTTCTTGGGAGTGGCACTGCCGGAGGCGTTTGCCTGCAGTGAGGAGAGCACAGGGGCGGTGCAGTGCAGGCTGTTGTGCACTTCCATGCTGCAAAGAAGCAATAAAAAGACATCACACAATTAGATCGGACCCAAAGGAATAGTCTTTACAGGAACGCGTTCATTTATAGGTAGTCTTCGTTGCTGATTCCGTTGCTTGACTTGGTTTAGATTTACTTATCGTTTTATTCATACAAATGCCTATTTTTGCTATGTTTTATGACAATGTTCTGAGCAGCTTCTATTATTTATTATTTTATTGACCGCTGAACACACACACATTCCTTCTCACACGAACTGGCAAACCGGTTCGGTACTCGGTTGACCCACAGACAGTCCCCGCTGCCACCCGAGCCAAGCAACAAACTCTGAAACTATCTCTCACATGCTACGTTCAGCAAAAGTTTCAAACCGTAATTACGCTAATTTACGTAAATTGTTTCTGCTATCTGGCTCTGGATGGCCTGCTGCACTAGATTCCGTAGGGCCACAAGCTTTCTTGTGTTTCCCGCTTTCTGGGCAGGTAGCCACAAGCCCAGCCCAGCCCTGCGCTAGCGCTGGCGATGACGCCACCATTCGCAAAAGACACAAAGAAGAGGACTCCAAAACGGGCGTGTCCGTGTCCCATTTGAGAAAGACGGAAAGTTGACTCTGCTCAGGTAACCAACCACCTGAGTAAAGGCGTGGAACAGCTGCGGGGAGTCAGCGGCTTCAGGGAAACCAGACACGCACAGGCCGTGCCTTGGCCGCTCTTCTGGTTATTCGTTAAGGACTTACATACATTGCCGTTTGCTGCTTGGAGTTTGTCGGGACGGTAGGAATACTTTTAGATCACCGAAAAGTTCTGTCTGCATCTTTAGGCAGATCATTGCCAGAGTACAGAAACAATTTAGAAGGGGGGTGGGTTCAAGTTCAAAGTTGACTGTCCAATGATGTTCGTATAGTATGCTGCGGTCTACTCGAATTTTAATCAAAGTTTTTCTCACTCCCGATTGGGTGTACAATAACCTGTAAATCGGATCAGTGGATCAGAGGAAAGCGCCTGCTTTCAGGCCTTTCTTATTTTGTTTTTTGTTGTGAGTATTCAATGTATTCGCGTGCCGGCGGTTTTTATACCCGTACTCAAAAAAGAGTTAAGGGGTATATTAGATTTGTGTTAAAACAATTTGTGTGCAACGCAGAGAAGGAAACGTTTCCGACCCCATAAAGTATATATATTCTTAATCAGCATCAATAGCCGAGTCGATATAGCCATGTCCGTCTGTCCGTCTTGATGAGCGCCTAGATCTCAGAGACTATAAGAGCTAGGGCAACCAAATTTGGTTTCCAGACTCATGTGATATCACACTGCTACAAGTGTATTTCAAAATTTCGCCCCGCCCCCTTCCACCCTCACAAAGGGAGAAAATCTGTGGCATGCACAAATTTAAAGATACGATCAATCTAAAAACGCAGTCTCGTAGAGAATGCCCATATCTACCAGATTGCCGAATCTGAATCAGATCGGATCATAATTATAGCCAGAATGAAGAAATTAATTTTCTGTTGGTTCCCTCTCCTTCTGCAGCGCTGCTGAGGCTACTGATTCTCTTTCTCGCTCGCACACTCTGCCGCGTTCAGTGCGCGAGCAACCCCTAGCGGAGGAGATGTAGAATCTAAATGGTACATGTAGAATCTACATGTTAGATGTATGTATATGTAAATAAAATATGTAGCAAAAAAATGTAAAATTTTGTAAAACTCTAAGAAATCATAAGCTCAAAAATGTATATACTGACTGAGTACGGGTATAAGTAGAGTCGCGTCCCCAGAAGCGACTCACACGTTCCTTCTCGTTTTTAATGGAATGGCGATATTTTTATCTCTGCAGTTGGTAGAGCCGCTGCCGATGGCCATATAGATGGTGCCTGGCTGCCTTTCTCCTCAATGCTGTCTAATACGTGTGTGGTACGTCGTAGTTGCAACTCTATTACCTCATTACTGTGAGCTACTTGATATGACGCCACCTGCAGCAGCACTTTCAGCACAAGCACGCACAAGGCGCATCTGGGGAGTAAGCACGATATGTATAAGTACGTACTCGTTAATATATTGACTACTAATTCAAGCAATTCGCTATTTCCCCTTGACCACAATGTCTATTTAGACCAAAGACGAGATCTGTCCGCTTCCATCTGCATTTCCAAGTCGGACAAAAGTTCTCTGAGTTGGCCACCTGCAGACTTAAAGACTGGCGCTGTATGGAGCCCATGGAGTGAAGCGAGCATGACTCTTGACATTTTGTTTGGTTGCTCAGACGACGACGCGTCGCAACGTCTAGAAGTCATTTGACCTTTTTGTGGCTCAAAGCTGAAAAGTGAAAATGGCGTCCGAAATGGGGGTTTGAAGTTTAGAGGATGACATTTATAAATGGAACCATGAGAAAATGATGACAAGAAACCAACATGCTTCATGGACCGAGGCTTTTAGTACCATTCCAGATCGATCGTTCCTATGGCAGATTAATATGAATTCTGATCTGAATGTTGTGTGCATCTCTGATGCATAAGGTACAATGCAAACATCTGGGAAAACCCTCACAGAACCCTCTCCATTTGCATGGGTAGAAAAGGATTGTTTTGCCAGAGGCTATTGCGGAGGGAGTGTCAGGGAAAGACTGTCGTGGGGAAGGGAAGTACTCTCGTATATTGGACTAAGCTAAAAATCGATAAGCATGTGGCGTTGGCGGCTTCCAGTGGGTTGGCTGGCTGACTGGCTGTGTCTGGCAGTAGAATCGGAGAATCGACATAAGTGGCGACATAAGTAGGCAGTGCGGAGAGAGAGGCAGAGACCCACACATATGTTTATCCGATCCACCCAGAGAGCACACAGAGCAGACGGCACACCATAGACGACACAACAGATATCGAATTTATAATTAAATTTTACTTGTAAACAAGAATGAATAAATATTTGAATTGACATTCGCCCGAAATGGTCACACATTACGAAAACAAAACTGTGACGATAGTCACAGAAGAGAGATCCGAACCCCCACTCAAATAAAATAACCTGGAACCGGGTGGGTACTAGTCGGCGCGCGTTCACTGAACAGGTGCGTACGAGCGAAGTGGCTCTGCATGGAGCTATCCTCGGTTGTTGCTCCTAACAATAGCAACAGCAGAAGCAAGAAACACAGCAAAGTCTGTGGCAAACCACTCAATTCAGGGCTGTCCCTAGCTCTTCTTTCGTTTCTTTACTTGTCTTTTCGTAGCCAATTTTCCATAGTTCATAAAAGTTGTTAATTAGGACGTACTCTTACTCGTGTGTACATGCACTCGAATGAGTGACCGAAGGCGGTATCTGTTTTTTGTGCGAAACGAATGTATGGAATGTAACGAATGGCGACTGCTATACGATACCCTATCCTATGCCATACTCAGCACTCATAAACTGATGGCGAAACTATAGTTTGCCCTATCCTCAGGTTTATTGGAATTCCCACTTTCGAGTGCAATCTGTGGTCTTGTGGCTCCCAAAATAGGGTGCTAGTGGAAAGTGAACTCTCGCTCAAAGAGGAATTAATCAATTTCCCGCTCTTCCCATTGGTAGGACGTGAAAGAGGGAACGTATATCTAATGCAGCAGAGTTCAATCAGGGCATTTCCAGAGCTGATTGGGTCATGAACGACAGCAGCAAGAAGCAGGGGGATAAGACGTGGCAGTCGTCCTTGAACGTCGCCAGACAGCTTCAGCTGCCACAAGCATGTGGTTAATGGGGGTGTCCTAAGAGCAGAGATAGAGTCTGGTGGATTCTGCCAGGTGCTCAAGTATCTTCGCCACAACCCTTGAACTGAGTCACATAAATGCGGAAGTACCGCCCTCCAAAGAGTCGGAAGTTGTGGGAGAACGAGCAGAGGCAAGGAGAGGCATTTTCCTGCCATGCAAACACCAAAAGAATGTGAATCTGGATTCGCCAGGCGTATAATCAAGAGAAGCTTACTACCCCTACCCTTGATACTGGTCTGCAGCAACCTTGTCTGGGGTTAAAGGAAAAATTTCAGATAGAATTCCAAACAGAGCCTAAGAAAAAGTTAACACTATCTCAATTTGAATGGAATACCTGGCGTCATAGGTGAGTGGATGGGAGACGCACAAGATGATGCCTTATTGGTTCCTCATAGAGTGTGAAAATTCCACATTTCCCTGGCTGCCACAAAAACTGAGTTGCCTCGTGAGGGACAGACTTGAAAGGCAGAAACAAGACCCAGAGCGAAGTGGCACATCCCACAGCCATAGCTACGGAATGGAAAAGTAAAAGTTCAGCTCGCAGCACCACTTGTGCTGCTTCTTGGCAGATTCCAGACAAGACACTTTTCGTTCTTGATTTTCCCCCAGTGCCACCAACGCCAACCACTGGCCAAGGGGTTGGTTGTCGGGATTGTCCTTGAACTTTTGGTCAAGCTGCCAGAATGCCGGTTGTTGCAGCAACTGTCGGAGTTGCCATCATCAGCGAGAGCCAGGGATTACTGGTCGAATACGCAAATTCAAATTGATTGAGAAATATTCACGTTTACTTTGTTTTATATAATTTATAACTATAATATGGCATACAGTGAAAGCCCCACCGTGTGTACACATCTCTAGGCATGAATAAATCGTCAGGCCAGGGCAAGGCCGCCCAACGTTGTTAATTTGATTCCTTCGAATGCCATTTGAACACGGATAACATGACCCCATAGGAATCGAGGCTAGGACAGCTGCCTTTTCTTCTTGTTCTGTTCTGGATTCACCTTCAATGACATCTTCAGCGCAAAGATGGATCCAGATGGGGGGACGGGACACTAATAGCGCCACAAAGATAATCAATGCAAAGAAGTTTGGGCTGAATTCCACTCAAATTTCATCCTGCTGAAGCGGAGAATCACTGAGGGAAGACCTTTCTATCTCAAATACGAAAAGGAAAAACATCCTAAACGTTAAACGTGTTAAAACCGAAACTATTTAAATCTGTCGTTGAGCCCCCAATTTTTGTCGCAGTTGCCCAGCACACATCCAGGATGGCGAAAATTTGGTGCTGGCTGCTTGGCTAGTTGCCAATTGTGGCTCGCGTCTGCGACGTACGCGTGGGTGGGTGCTTTATTTGCAATAAAGGCGATAGGGTGAGTTTTGTGCCCGCATTTCAGTTTATTTTGCCTTTGATTGGGTTTCACTTTTTAATTGATTATCTTGAAGACATGTTGGTGGGGGCAGTGCATGGATCCGCACGCGTTTCATGATGCGGACGGGAGTGACAGTTTTACTTTACATTTACCTCTGGTTGTTACAAGCAGAGGTAAGAGCAAAGGCGGCTAACACTCGCGTTCTAACAAACCCAAACACAGTTTGCATGTGTGAGCCCTATGAATCATCCGGCCGACTCTGCCGCAGAAGAGAAAACTCAGCTTTAGGCCCGGAGAACTTGATGGTTTGCTTAGTAGGGGCTCGTACCAAGTAGAGATAGTAGATTGGATGTTTTCGCACAGAACGAATATGTTTACTGGCGATAAGTCAAACAAAGTCAGCAGAGAGATAGCTGAAAGGGGGGGAACTAAAACGCGTACGAGTACGAGCACGAGCATGAGTACGAGGGTATGGCAAAATCGCGTTAACAGGGAGAACAGGTTGCTTTTCGGCTAGAACATTGCGAATGCACGGCAGAAGACAGTTCGATTTGTTCTTTTATTTTCCAGCCAGCGGACCAGCGCACAGCAACCCCTCCCCACGGCCCTGGGACTAAATGCTGCTATCAAAATAGCGAACGGCACTGGCTTATCTACGATTTCTTTCCACTTTTAGGTGCGGTGCGGGCAGCACCTTGCCCACCACCTTCTCTTAGAGGCAGATGTCAAGTGTCGCAATGGGTTATTTTTATGCATTTTTGTTTGGTTTTATCGTGGCCTCACCTTGTGTACCAAACCGAACCCCGTAAGTCTGTGTAAGCCAACAAGGCAGTTTTTTTTTGTATTCCTCCTCCCGTTCGCTTCGCTTTCGTTTTGTTTCTCCTCTGCTCAATGCCCAGTGCTGTGTTTTGCACCAGTCACTCACTGCAGATGGGTTGGGTTGGGGTTGTTGGGCCTCTCTGTGCTCACAAGAATGCAGCTAAAAGCACAAACGTTTTGGTATAATTAACTAAAACCAATTACACTTTTTATTCCACTCGAATCACTCCCGCTTGGTTTCCCTTTTTTGCCTCTTCGCACATTTCACTTTGGCCTGCGTCTCGGGCTCTCGCTCACCCTCACCACTGCTTGCGCCACTCCCTCATCACAGATCACAGATAAACGCTAGGCACAAACTTTGTGCGATACTATACTACTGCTGACTGTTGCTGGAATTTTGCACTTAATTTAATTTAAATATTTTGTGAAAAGCATTGGAAAAGATAGAACTCGCGGTAGAGGTGGTCAAACCATCGAGGGCACTATCGATAATATCGATATTTTGCTGCTAGCCTCTAATATCGATGGTTTTGAGACTATCATGATAGTATCGAGCTACAGTCGTTGCGCTTTTAATATGTTTGGATTGTCTGCTATAAGATACGAAGACACATTTGTAAACAAATCGACAGATGGCATTTAATTTTTACAATGGACAAGTTCCTTAAAGGTTTCAATGGTTTTTTAATAATTATTAGAGCTATCACGATAGTATCGATTGTTTTTCAAAACATTCAACGTTGATATTCCTCGATTTTGATATTCCGTTTAATATTACTAGCTAGCTGGGACTCTCAGCCCTAAACAAATAATTTTATCCGATAGATACATAAATTTTCTACAAGATTGGCATGTTTTTAGAAGTCCTTTTTATTGGATTATTTACATATTAGGGTTCAAACAAAAACAACATAAAACGAATGTATCGGCGTTTTGTGGCGTTGCCAGACTCGTGCAATTCGTAGTTGCTGCGGGCTGCCACACCATGATATTTTGTGATATGAAATTCGTCAATTTTGATATTCAATTTAATATTACTAGATAGATGGCCCTCTCAGCCCTAAAAAAATAATTTTATCCAATTCCTCAATGAATTTTGTTTAGGATTGGCTAGTTTTCAGAACTATTTTTCATTAAATTGTTTACATATTAAGGTTCAAACAAAAGCGGCCAAAGCATAAAACGTAAATGTTGACTAAATGTGACGTCAGTGTTGCTGGTCAACCAAGTTTCTTTTATGCGTATGTACTTTTGTATACCTTATTTCTTTTAATTGATGCTAATTTTGTTGTTCCAAGCTCCATTGAAACATTATTTATGATTTTATACTAGATTGACATGTTTTTTACCTAATAATGCATATGTTTTGTTTTATATATATACATTTATCCCGGTTCTGAAACCTATTATTGGTACCCGTGAGCTAAAAAATTTCGTTTATGTCTTTACAAAAGAGACTGGCTAGTTTCGGCATTAATTGGAGCCTGAAATTACAAACAGTATCTCAAGTCCATAATATCTATTTTCCCAAGGTATTCAGACTTGTTGCTCATTCCGTGCCAAAGTTGCACAACAATGCTGCTACTTCATTTCCTCATGTTGCTGAAATTTTTCCCATACAAATCAAATGTATCATACGGAAACGCGTATGGAATGACGCAACAATGAATCTTTATTCCATACGCGTTCCCGTTAAGAACATGTTTCTCACACCACGAAAATGAGGGGAAAGTCACCGCAAAAATGCTCTCTTCACCACTGAAAAGAGATCAAATTTTAAAAACCCACTACGAATTTTGAAAAACCATCGATAGTACTTCCCATTTTGTTTGTGGCTGACTATCGATGGAGTTTTTTTTTTCACTATCGACAGCCCTGCTTATCATTATGGGGATTCTGGAAGTTGATTGTGATTCATTTTAGGTTGTCTTGAAGCAGATCCCTTAGCGTTTTTTTTAGGTGTCCGAGCCACCTTAAGCCTAGTACTCAGATCGAAAAAAACACCTCGCGAACATAATCAGGGTTGATATTCGTATGAAGCCGATACGAACTTTTTTACGGCAAAAACTGTTTTCTAGGCTCTGTACGGAAGGCAGTTTTCAGATCAACAAAAAAAAGGTCGGTATATACTGGAAAAGTATCCGAAGTATATGCATGTTTTTTTGGTATGCTTAGACCCACCTCGAAAATTATATCAATTTGATATATTTTGCCAGCAAACATTGCAAGAGTACAAAAAATCAAATGGAATATTTTAATAATGAAGACAAATATAATCTAATTAATGCAGTGTTATACGAATGACAATTATCTGGATATTATAATTTATTATTTTTATTAATTTTCATAAATATAAAACAAATATTGCTTTCAAAACAGTTTGTCTTCACGGTGTCCGGCACGGGAGGCGTCGCCATCTGCTGCTGCTGATAGTCAGACACATTACCTTGCCAATAAAATATTGGGGAGCCCAGGATATGGCTGGGGAAGAGCGGCCCCAGCCGAAGAAGTCCATTTTATTAACTTTAAACAAAACCAAGCAGCTGTCTGAGCAGAGTAACCGTTCGGAATGCAGTGCACACCTCTGGTCACACACTGGCTGCGCGAAGAATATATGACATTCGTTTGCTGGCAAACAGTACTTCGATCTGAGTACTAGGCTTAAAGAGTTTTTAAAATCTGGGTATTTTTTTCATGGTTTTTTTTCAGAGGTAGTGCTTCTATTTTACACATAACTTAAGTATCTTATATCTGGTTGCACAGAACTTTGCTGTTCTAAAAAGCTGACAAATGCAGCTGTAAATCCGACCCAGAGATATTAAGCTTTCAAATTCAAATTTCATCATTTTTTGCGGTATTTATTTTTCGAAATTTTGACTTTAAAAACTCGGGAAAAGTAAACAAAAAAATAGTTCTTGGCCAACATTTTTTTGTTTTAGATAGACGCATTAATTAGGCGTCGTTTAAGGTATTGCTCATTAAAATCTATGGATAAACGGTCAACTTGCAGCCGATTGACTTTTTTTCGACTTTTCCCGAGTTTTCAAAGACAAAATTTAGGAAAAAAAAATATCGCAAAAAATTATGAAATTTGGAACTGCAAAGTTCTGAGAAGCCTGCGCTGCAAGGTTTGTATTCTAATATGTTGCCTCCGTAGTTCTTCGATGGCCAACAGTCTCGGTAAAAACATTTTAATTAAGTTTACCGTAAAATTCAGATGTGTGTTTTTTTTGAACAGCTGATTGCTGTCATGCATGGAGAGTTGCCAGACAACTGCTAGAGTTGCCGAGTACATTGTTTTGTTTGACTCGCACGATATGGGATGTTTTTTGCTTTGAAATTATAAAAGTACAGCTTTGAAATATCAAATATTTTATATCATAAAAGAAAAAAAGAAAAACCAATTGTTTTTATATGATAAAATCAATAAAACTGCAAAATGAACCCTATTCGAATTGAATCTTGAGAGGTGTCAACCCTAGCCTTAGTTCGAATTTGGTTTGTGACAATGCTAAGAAAAATGAAATCGCTCGGAATTCTGTGGCACGGCGGAAATTTTTAAGCGGAAATCCTCTGCGCGGTTTCCCATATCACTATTGATTTCAACTCCGAACTCGACAACTCCGAATTCGAAAGTCCGAATCGGCCTAGGTGGCCACCTCGCTCTGCAGCGGATTGAAAGCGGAATCGTTAAGTGAAAATTCAGTCAGCGGATTGAATAGTGATTTACTAAAATGCTTATTTTATTAACTCAACATGTGTAATGTTAAATTATTTGGATGAGGGTTAACCAACAATCGAACAACCTTTATAGGAAAGTAAGATTCGAATCTTTTTGGGTGTGTTTTATGGGTGTATTTAATCAACTCGCAGGATAAATTGTGAGCGATTTTGATTCCGCTGAAAAATCAGTGTGTGGCACGGCGGAATGGAATTGAGGTGATTTTCCAGCGGAAATGATTTCTGTGGCACCCCTGTATATAAAACATTTAGACAGAGGCATTTTTTATTAGCTGGCACTGGCGCGTCGGTATAACAGCAGTACATTTTGCGCTTAACAGTACAGGGAGTAAATAAATCGACTCCGGTGCCTCATTATTTTTTTTATTATTATTATTAATTAATTTGTTTTAGCTAATTTCTGAAGCTTTTTTTAATTCAACCTTTTCTTAAATTTTTGTATTCAATCCAGCTTTATTTAACATAAAAATATTGCCAACACACGAGCCCCTAACTCTCCGTTTTCAGAAGTAAATAGGCAATTTTTTACAGCATCTTATTAAATATTGATTTACAAACTCCATCTTTTAGGTGGAATAAAAAAGAAAAAGTAAGAACGTACATAAAATACATAACCCTTTAGAAATGTATTGGAGATGCAGCCCCAAGAAAGGAACTTAATTATTTCCATATCAAATTTATATTTTTCAAATTGTTCAGAGTGAGGAGCCGTCCTCTGGTGGGGCTGGCGGGGCAACAGCTCTGCAAATTTATTCCTCCTGCAAATAACAGGTGTCTGCCCTATGTTTGGAAGAGCATGTCGGATGCCGAGCTGCAGAACGAAACTCCAGGTAATCCAGGAGGTACTCTGGGATTGACTTAGAGTTCCCGTGTTTCGTACATGGAAATAAAGCCACCATCTTAGTTTGCTTATGCGACGTAAAACAAAGATAAAACGTTGTTTACCCTGCTGCAGCCACTCGGGGCCGGGCCGTCAGTTTAAAAGATGCATATAAAGATGTACATACTCGAAAGGATGTTTGTTTTTAAAGTAGATGATTATTCTGATAACTGGCACACTGCAGAGAGCAGTGCAGACATTGTCTAATTTTGTTTTGTTGTACAGTTTGTTTATTCAATTGTTGCTGCATACAATATTACATATAATATATTCGTTTTATCTCATTTTTACATATTGCTATATCGTAAGCGTTTGAATATCTTTCGTTTGTTGCCGTGTCCACGTCCACACACTCCACCCGTTTACAAAGACATCGAAAATAAAATCAGCTAAATAGTATAAATATATAAATCAACATTTAGCATATAAAATATAGCTGGTACTACATCGCTATCGCAACTTAATGCTAGCTTAGAAGACGCGCTCTGGGTGCGATTGTGAGCTGGGATCTTCGACTGATTAATCCAATACTCGCATCATGGAACTTTTTCGGCTTTTCGAAGTGCGAAGTTCGATGAGACGATTATTGGAAAATCAAGGGGTTTTATAATTAACTAACCTTGCGTTTTTTTATTTTTTATTATGTATTTTTTAAACATTTTTATAATTTTTTCCTTAGTTCGGGTCGACGATTTATTTAAATTTACGACTTTAAATTTTGTGCTCAAAAGAAATTAGGCGATAAAGCAAATTAAATATTGTAAAGCTCGGTGAGGGACTACTTATAAATAACGGCGAAAATGCGGTGGCCACCTCCGGTTGCACTTCTCAAGCTTTACATCCATATACACCACATCAGCCCCATGGCTCCAATTGCTTCGCGCTGGTGTGTTTTGTGGTGTCTGGGATAGTTCCAAGTGTCTTAGATGCGAATGGAGAGGAAGTAGATGAGGCCAGCAAGAGCTAGGCAGCCCAAAGGCACGAGCCGGTACAGAAATAGCAGATTTTGGGGCTGCTCACGCTTCTGCTCGGTACGAAGCTGTAATATTTCATTTTTAAGCTGTACATTGCTGCTTTCTGATTTTTCTAGTCGCTCCTTGTAGACAATTAGTTCCTCCTCGCGTACTACCTGCGAGTCGTTTATGGCTGCGAGGTCCTCGTCCCAGGCTTTTTCAGTGTCCAGGCGGAGACTCTCGTCCTGGCCAGACGCCTGACGCGGCTCATTGTCAAAGACTTCGTTTTCTTTCTCTGCCTTTGCCTCTGTCTCTGTTTTAGGCTGCTCTTTATGTGAGTTGCGCTGAAGCTCCTGCCCAAGCTGTTGCTTTAGATTGTCAATCTGCTCTTTCAGAGAGTGAATGTCGCTGGTTAGCAACACCGTCTTTTGTTTGTAACTATCACATTCCTCCTGCAGCATTTCGATTGCTTGATCTGTGGGGAAATCATATTCAATATTTGGAATCTCTTCATCGCGCACCAGCGTCTCTTGGCTTTCCAACTTGTGCACTAAGAGTACAGGTTGCAATTGGTTATTCGAGGGCTCTGGCATTTCATCAATGCCATTGAGACGCGCATGCTTCGGTGAATTGTGGATGAATTCATCGCTAGCAGCTTTTGCCGCCTCTCGCTTAATGCCCGCACTAAGCTCAGGTCGCACGTTTAATGCCTGCACATCCGTCTCCTCATTCTGATCCTGCTCCTGCTCGTGATCCTCATCTTCGGAGCCGGCGTCGTTAAGGATAGCCTTCAGCACATCGCCGCCTAATACGCCTTTGCTGAGATCTGAGTTTTTTAGCAACTTCATTACCTGCGATCTACGAATCACCTTTTTCTTGTTATCAAAATCGATCTGTTGCTTGGGCGTCTTAGTCTGAAATTAGCGAAGGAGAGGGGGATTATTTAAAAACCTAGAGAATGTAAGATGGAATATGATTACCTTCTGATTTTCAGACACTGTCGTTGGTTGATCCTTCGTCTCCATGTCAGATGTTTGCTCTGTGGCTGAGTCCTTCTCCTGTGCCTCGTCCATACTTTCGTCGTCGCTGTTGTCCTCGTACGCATCATCGTCATCGCCATCGTCGGGAATTGCCGCGTCCAGCTGCTGCAGGACACTCTGCTCTTGCAGCCTCTGTTCGCTGTCATGCTCGTCAATGGTTTTCTGGAGTCGGACCACCTGCAAACGCAGCTCCTCCATTTCACGCTCCAGTTGTTCCCTCTGCAGCTCCAAGCGCTGTTCTTCTTGTTCCTTAGCCTCCTGTTGCTGCCGCAGCGACTCCTGCTTGTAATCCATGTACTCCTGCTGGAGCTTCTCGAGCCGCGCATTAAAGTCCTGCAGCGTCTGCTTCGATGTACCGATCTGAGCACGCAGTATTACGCACTCATTTTCAGAGGTCTCTATCGACAACTGTGCCCTCGACAGTGCTTGCATAGCATCGCAGCGCTCCTGGTACACCTTGCGCAGAGCCTCTTTGGCAGTTAATTGATACGTTGTCTTGTCCTCCAGCATCTTTACAATCTGTCAAAGACAAAGAAAGAGACAGAGGGCGAAGGTTTGTAACAGTGTAAGAGCAGCAGAAGGACAAATGAACCCTTACCTCGTTACGCAGCGCATTTTCTGGCACATTTTTCTCCATCATCTGCAGTTTCTTCTCCAGAAGATTGATTTTGTGAATCAGCTGGTCCTCGGTTATCATGCTCTGCCAGCATAGGGCCGAGTTCTTCCGCGTGGCGTCGAGCACACCCTGCAAACTGTTCAATTTCGCCTTGAGGGTCTTCTCCCTCTGCGCGGCTTCTTGGAGAAATGAGTTCAGGCGCTGGATCTCGTCGAAACTAATCCTATTGGGTCCCAGCAGCTGCAGCTGATCCGTATCGATTGATATGGCCTCCCTGCCATCGGGCAAGAAGAGTGTCACCCTGGCTATGATGCAGCCGTGCACCTCCTGTCGTGAGTTCTCGATCACTTCCACGCCAAACTTGACCGTGTCGCCGAAGTGAAGCTCGACTGGATCATTGCCCAGTTTGTTGTCGTTAATAAATGTGCCATTGCTGGACTTGGTATCTTTTACCCAGAAGCGGCCATCCTGTGTGTACCAGAGCATCGCGTGATTGCGCGACAAGACTTTACAGTCAAAGATCGCGTTTTCCTCGCTGGCCTTGCTCTTAGCTATCAGACGGCCAACCTTGCACTCCTGGTTCGGATGCAGCAGAATGGACCGCGTTTCAAACTTGTGCGACTTTGCCTCGCACTGAAGCACAATTTTGGCTTCGCCCTTAGCAGTAGCTGCTCCCGAATCCGTCTCCGAGCTCATGTTTAGGTCAGTGGATGCCAATGCCAATCCCAGTCCCTGTGTATGTGTCTGTGGTAATAACAGTGTGCCGTAGTCCGCCTCCCTTTGCTCCCTTTGGAGGCCGTTGTTGTGTCCGCCCAATGAACTGAAGAGACTGCTGGCAGTGGGAACACCCCCACCCACTGCCGTGTTGTTTGCGTTGAGAACCGAATTCAGTGTCATCTGTAGCACCTGGCTGGATGCAGGCAATTGGGAAAAGCGACGGTCTGGAGTGCTCGTACCCTGCAATGTGTTCGTGTTGGAGTCGGTTTCCTGCACGTTATTGTTCTCCTGGTTCTCGTCGGACTCCTCATTATTGCTGTCCGCTGTCTCCAGCTCGTGCTTCTCCCTCTCAATGGACTGAAGAAGATCCTGCTCGGTCTTCATCGTATTTGTCGAGTCCATGTTAAGGGAGTTTTGAGATTTCTTGCGTTTGACAGTCGACGCCCCTCCTCCTCCTACTGCGCCAACTGCTGCTCTCACCGTATCGAGCGATCCCCTCGCGGCTGTTTCAGTCGATACTCCTCCGTTACTCACTGTTGGTGCTCCGACTGCTCCCGATGCTGTCGCCGCTGTTGCTGGATCTGTTTTCTGTTCGTCATCCTTATTGTTCAGCCATTCGTTGCTCACCAAGACCATCACTGCACATCCGGAGTTTGTTCGCCAGGCGATTGTGTTCGGTTCGGAAATTTGGAAGAGAATTGTAGTGTTTTTTGGAGAAACGAAAAAGTCAAATGTTAAATGTACAAGCTGTTCAAGTTTAAACGGAAACGAATGCGAACTGGAATCTCACGGGCACCTTGGTTCGAGATGAAAGCACAAATACAAATCTCGAATGAAAGGTGCTTAGAAAAATGGAGTGGAGGATGGAGAAACATATATACACACATATGTTAAGAAACACACCCAATTTTGTCAGAATAACAATTTTCTTATGGTGCGTACAAGAGTTCAGTGCAGGCGCTGAATAATGTTCTGTATTCAGTATAAAAATAGATTCTTCAAATTATAATTGAACAAACCGAATGCGAGTGCGGGCCATTTCAAGAGTGCGCGTGTGGTGGTGAGAGCAGGCAGATCAGAACCGCCAAAAAAATTATCTTACTGTCGAGCGGGGAGGTGCATCCCAGAGCAGCTAGTGCTCCACATTTGAGCCGGAAGATTGCTTAGTACGTGCGTGCGATACTAAAGGAATCGGTGGGCAGTAGCAGTAGCAACCCTTCGTCCATTCCCCTTACCTTGTTGGTCCAGATGAGGCAATAGTGGAGGCCCTGGGGCACAGGGGTCCGTGACCCATCAAGGGGGGTTACAACAACAAAAACAACAGCCACCACTGTTGTGGGCGTGCGGCGCTTGACGACTGGCGACTGGGTTTGTTATGCGCGTTCGAACAATGCTGGCGCTGTGTTGCTGATTGGCATGGAACACAGCATAACAAATTTGATTGGGGCGATGGCTTCGTGTGGCTGTTGCTGTTGCAGTGCACAACTACATGCGAATGTTCCTGCAGCTGCAGCAGCTGCAGTCGGTGGCTGGCTGGTTCACAAGTTCACAGCAGTGAACGTTGGGTGGCGGGCGGAGAGGCGAGTGGACTGGCTGGAATCGCGCGACTCGCCTTTTTGCAATGAAACTGAGACACAAATGAACTTTCTGTTTTACTTTCGCTTAATTGAATTTAATTACACAGCCTTATGGCTGTGCCGCTGAAGATTGAGAATTTACCGTTTTTTGCATTTGTGGAAAAAGGGAACGAGGAATGTTTTTTGGCACACGACAAATGACAGTAGGTTTGGTTTCGTTCCAATGGGATGGGGTTAAGGGTTATCGACAATTTCCTCATCGATGCACTCTTTCACTCACCTTGGGGATTTAATAACTTTCTTCTCTTTTTACGGGTTTCTTTAACTTGATTTATCTGTTTTATTTTCGTTTGGCTTCGATTTTAATTGTTTTCAGTTCTGTTCTCCAACTCTTCACAATCGCTAGGCGTACTAGGCACGACACGACATTCTCTTGTGACTTCCCACAATAGCATGGTATGGTAGTGACATATTAAACCATGTTTGCTTTAAATATGCGTAACTTTTGTTTATAATTTCCGAGCTATTTTCCAAAATTGACAAAGAGTACATTTATACATTTAAATAATATATTAACTTCGCTATAGCTACGTGTCTGCGTCGTGTATACACTACAGCGCCAGTTCATCCAAGCGAAACGTCGCAACGGAATTTGCTGCGGGCGGTCCCAAGTGCTACCATTATACTCTTAATACAAAATAAACAACTGGATAACGTATATAACAATGTAAATTAGTCAATACATTCGAAGAATGTGGGGCAGTCGTCCATTAAGTTTTTCTTTGCATTCACATTAGAAGTCGAGAAATAGACAAAAATGGACATTATGTCCTAATATGTGTCGCTTGTATCAACTGAACTGCTACATCTATGTACATACATACATATATACTGTATGGTTAGTGCTGATAGCTATCGATAGCTTTCACAGGAGCCATCTATACCAGTGAATAGAAACTAGATTGATTTTTTTTGTTTTTAAAAAATACTAATTTAATTGAAAACTTTTAAATTTGTCAAAATTGTAAAATCCAGCACGCACTTGTCGTCCCCCGAAGAAACGCCCATTAAGATCTACAACAGCTGGGTGTGTGAAAGCATTAGCTAAAATCTGAAAACAAAACAGACAATGCAGATGTAGTTACCTTTAATTGCGCTTTCAATGCGCTTGAATTCCACAAAGATTTTGACGGCATCTTCTGGCGAAGTTCCAAATGATTCATGGATGATGACACTGTTAACTTCCCCATATTTTGTGTTACACTCGTCCTTCACTTCTGGCTCCAGCTCCTCATCTACATCGCCAGGACCAACCATGTTTCGCAGCAAGACCACTTTGCTGGGATCTTTCATTATTTCTGTTATGCTGGGCACAGGTTCAGTGACAGCAGATGCAGACGCTGCCATTGGAATCTGCGGTGGCGGCATAGCCAAATGGCCCGGACTTGACGCTGACGGAGGTGGCGACGTGGATGGTGGGGCCACGAACACATCCTTTTCGTGAATGATGCGTCCACCACGCTTCGAGGTCTTCTCCACCTGCAAGGCCATGGACATTCCCTGCTCTGATTTTCCGAGTCCTTGTCCATCCTTAAAGCCATATTTCGCCATTATCTTGGCAGCCACCGAGCTTGCTGAGTAGGGTATTGTTACATTGGAGGAACCATCTCCATTGTCGATGGATATCTCTTGCAGTGACGGTGGGGGAGCGATTGCAGCGCCCCCACCTTGTTTTGCTACAGATCCCGGGGGTGGGGGACTATACTTGTCTTCGTCGCTTTGCCGCTGTCCAAATCCGCTGAACTTCATTGACGGCGGTGAGCAGTCATCTCTGTGGTTTTCTCGGCGACCACTGCGACCACGCTTTCGATCTCTGTCCCGTTCACGGTCTTCGCGGCCGCTTCCTCCGGCACCACCGACGCCACTGTTTCGTGACTTTTCACTGTTCTTTGTTTTTTCTTTTAGTTTTTCATACTCGTTGGGCCACTGCGGATCGTACTCATCCACAAAATCCCAGTCATCTTTTTTTATGCATTCAAGGACCGGAGGTGGCAAAGCGGTGCCTGAAATTACGGGTTTGGCCACCGACACCGTAATGGCCGAAAAGGGGGGAGTTTCCGATTCCGGAGGACGCTTGGCGCGCAGATTTACCAGAGGTGTCATTAACTGAAGATGGAAAATTGTTTCACCAGCGCAAATTATGTTTTTCATACAATCTCACCGGCTTCTTAATCGGCTCCTTCTGCTTGGGAAGCTGCGCCTTTTTAACTGCGAGCTGTGTTTGCAACATTTTGATGCCCGATGCCCCCCATCCATCTATTTGACTAGCTCGAGCCTTGTCTATATCGTCGTAAAGATCCATATTTGTAATAGTATAGTTTCCTTAAAAATAATCAATCAATTGATAATTGTTAAAGTCTGTTTAAGAGTTTAATCTTGGCAGCATTCCTTTCCGTGTTTTCGATTCAGCATTTGCTTTGCGAGGGTGTGCGCAAAAGCGTTATTGACACAGAAAATTATGCCAGGATTTTGATTATATATATTCTTGGGCATTTAAGTTTAATCGCGGTCGAGAAAATAACATTGAAACATAAACATGCTAAACTCACACACACATTTATTGATCAAATATACCGTCCGACCCACAGAAATATACCGTAAAATACAAAAAAATGTATCAAGAGCGCTTTAGCCCATTATCGACCATTTGGAATTTACGCACGAATACCTATTTCTAATATTATTATGAAACGTGCCCATTTTGTTTTGTAATGTCTAGTACCAACCGAAAGGTTGTAGAATTGCCGCTTGAACCGAAAATTCGTTTTTCGCTATTTTTTTGGACAAGTGGGTGGGGGTGGGTGCCGGAAAATTTGGCGTAGGAAATAAATAAAATGTAAACATAAAATCTGTTGTTTGATTTATTTGAAATTGCATTTATACATACATATACATACATACTATTTTCGGCAGGCCTTGTATGAAACTGGCCTTGTCTACTGTATGGTTAGTAATTTAACTCAAGGTGTTCAAATAGGGGGGTTAAGTGGGCTAAGTTCGTTTTTTTCCTCGGTATATTTTGAATATGAGAAGGTATATTTCGGTATATATCTTAGTGTCAGACGGGGGTATATTTTAATGATAAATTGATCAACAATGGGCAATGAAGGAAGCAAATTAAAAGGCTTAATTATTGACAAAAATGCGGTAGAGGTCAACGACTTCTGGGCCCTATATAATGCAGAGTCCCCAACGACGTCCAACGAAGAAGGCGGCGGCGGCCAGCTTCTGTCCATATTTCAGGGTGAAGTTATGGTGAAGGGGCAGCTATGGAGCTTCACTGGAGAGAGCCCAATGGAGAGAGCGATAAAGGTAAATTTATGACTACCATTGCCGAGTTTTTTTACTTGAGCGAGCTTCTAATTGTTATTTTAGAACCTTGCGATCTATCGTCATCCTTACATATTAAAATATGTGACCACATGGGACCAGTCGGGACAAAAGCATCTTGCCACGGAGAGAGTCAGGCCACTTAACGACGTGCTGGCTAAGCAGAGCGACATACAAATTTGCCTGGGTCTACGAACGATACTCTGCAGCCTTATATTTTTGATTGAAAAGGCACAGGCAAGGCATTTAAATATATGCACACATTCCGTTTACGTGACAGACAGTGGGAGCTGGCGTCTAGCTGGATTTGAGTACGTTTGGAAGGCTAAGGAGGTCAACAAACAATTGCTGGATCTTGCAAGTACGTTTATGGATCCCAAAAACCTCGTGGCAGATTTTGAGCAGTTCGCCTTTGCTTACCTATGCGAAAGTGTCCTGGAGAACTGTCCTGCTGCAGGCGACGCTGGTACTCCTCATGTACCCGAGTTTCGAGAGTATTGCTGCACCCACTTGAAACACAAAAACACAGAGTTGAGACCCAAGCTCTCAGCCGTCTTGCTGCATCCGTACTTCAATCATGAATTTGTATTAATACATTCCTTTCTCTTTGAGTTGCCGCTGAAGTCGATCCAAGAGCGCCAGCAGTTTTTTAGCACTTTAATTGAACGTTTGCGTTGCTTTGATGAGCAAATGGTCGCTTCTCAGCTTGCCAGCGATTTGCTTTCCAGGATGGTTTTACTGGATCCCACCGCCCAGCTGTGTGTGTTGCCGTACGTGCTACGGACTAAGGCCACAGACGGCGCAACGTCATCTCTTTTTTCTCCACAGACCTACGTACAGTATCTTCTTCCACATATACTCAAGATGTTCCGCCTCCGAGATGCACAAATCCGTTTGATACTATTAGACTATTTTATGGAATACGTTCGTCTCTTGGATGATGAGCAGCTACAGAGCGAGATTCTGCCGCATTTGCAGCTCGGAATGAGCGACACCAATGACGTGCTAGTGGCCAAAACATTAAGATCAATGGCTGACTTGGTGCCTATTTTAGGGGCTAATAAAGTTCTGGGTGGAGACCGACGTCGCTGCTTTTCCGATGGTCGCCCGCATGCAGCTGTATCCACAGACAGCCAGAATCTGTTGGTAGAACCGCGTTCCATAACTCCTTTGATGAATGGCAATTCCATAGATGCAGAAGACGACGAATTCATGGTTTCCGGCAGCCCCCTGCCAACAGAAAACAATGTAGCTCCTCTGTCGCTGCGACTTAGTCCTGATGGCGGTGAAGACGAGAAGGATCTGACGAATTTAAATGAAACACCTCTGGAGATGGACCGCAGCAGCGACCCTGCCAACAATTCTAATAGTTCCACCGCTGCCCACGACAACACATTGATCAACGCGGATGAGGAGGAGGTCTGGTCTGACTGGGACACTACAGATGAGCTCCAGCGCCTTCACGTTAAGCAAGCTGGATTCGAGGAACAGGTGCCCACCGACGAGATGGCTTTGAATATTTTGGAAAACAACAGCTGTGCCTCCACACAGGCGACGCAAGCCTCTTCGAGCGACTCTTACCGTACCGCCTGTTCCAACGTATCAGTATCAACGTACAAGCTAGCCGCGCAACCAAGTCGCAAGCTCATTGATGATCTCAGCGCTCTTGATATACAAGTTCAGTTGGCTACGCGACCAGGTAGATCAGAGTCGACAGAGTTTGATTTTTTTAAGGACATGGAGCCGGTCATAGAATGCAAAGAAGCCAGTAGTAGTGACCCTGCAGTGGTTCATGTGGATGCCAGTCGCTTTGCGGCTGCCACAGTGACCGCCAATGCTGACGAGCTGGATGATGAGGCGAATCAGGGCTGGGGTCACGATCAGGATGAAGATGATGTTGTCTGGGGCACGAACTAGATTGAAATTCTGTAAACTGTACAATAAAGTTCATGTAATTGAATGTCATGTATATTTTGATGCATTTTCATTAATCTTTAAAATGTTTTCAATTTGTTTTGTTGTCTTGCATGCGTTTAAAACTATTTTTGTAAAATTGTTAAATATTTCGTCATACATTGCTAGCAAAAATGCTATATTTACGCAAAAACATTCTAAAATGCGGTTATTTTTCAATTTCTTTATCCATTAATCATTTGACTATTATAATATTAACATTTAAACAATCCATCGGGAAATCAGGATCTCAATCAAATATCTAAAATAAAATAATGGAACAAGCTCTAGCTTTTACTTCGGTGACATTTGGAGGAGATAGCTCTCAGATCCAACGAGGAGGAGGTGGAGAGCAACACTAACTTTAAAGCAAAAGCTAGAACCATTCCGATATACATACATACATACATATTTAGACAAATCAAAAGAACAGAACGCAGAATAAGTTCAACTATTTACTCACGCTTTTATTTTGTTTTTGTTCTTATATTTAAAAAAAAGTTTCATTTATGCATTAATTTGTTGTTTCCTCGCCTTTCGGCACATCATCATGCTCAACTTAATCAATGATCTTAGTAATCGTAATTACATTAATAAATTTAAATAAGATCAGCTGAAATTTGTTTGTTTTTCTTTCGCGTCTTATTCTAAACGCGAAAAAACGCATAAAAATCGGTGCGCTAAATGATTTTGATGTGTTTTTTTTGTTTCTATTTTTGTTTTTTTATAATTAAAAGTGTACTGCACTCGGATGCAACTTTTATACATTATGCGAATTGGGAGTTGAGAGGGAATCACGTAACTATTTGCAATGCTATTTGCTTGAATGGATTAAAGGAACGCTAAGCGACATGGATCTGTGGTCTGGGCTCTGGGAGTTCTGCAGGGGTTTCTTATTCATTATCTCTCATTTTTGCTCTTGATTTCTGGAGGGCCGTGAGATGGTTCGAATTGTGTAAAAAAAATAAACGTAATTATAAACAATAAAACATTTATATAAAAAAAGCATATGTTTTTACATGCATTCCGAACAATTATCATACTTCATTTTTTTCCTTTTAACTTATGTTTACAGCTTGCTTGCGTTATCTCTTATTTTTCTTTCCTTCTCTTGATCTCTCTCTCTGTTGTTTATTGTTTCTAGGCGTATGTTATGGGTTATGTGTTTAGGTTTGGGAGTGGGTTGGGTTGGGTTGTGGTTGTGGTTGTGGTTGTGGTTTGTATGAAAATGGTATTGGTTTCTTTTATTGTTTTAATGGATTGATTTTCTTATAGACAGACGAAGCAACACACATCGCAACATTATCAATTTAGCTCCTTGTCTTCTAAGTACTTGTATTCAAAGGTGAATCCCTCCTTCTTTCGCTGACTCCACTTTTCATAGTCAAAATAGATGTACGTACCCTGGGAATAGAGGGGAAAGGAAGGAAAGTTCTTGGTCAATAGACTCCTGGTTCTGGTGCTGCCTCAGGATTCTTCAGTCATTTCTTCGGCCATTGCTCTGTTTTTCTCACCTGTTCGTAATCATCGTTGATAATCTTGGGCTCCTCGTGCCGTTGAAACCACATCATGTATTTGGTGTGGAATCGCCAGCTTTGCTTTTTCAGTGCCTTGGCAGCTAAATATTGGGCCTTAGAGCCTTCCATGTAGTAGAACACAAAAAACAGCGTCTCCGTTGAGAGTCGTTGATAAAATTCAACAGTATCATATATGGGCAGCTGTGCCTGGATTGAAGTGCAAATGTTATTTGCCATATAGTAGTTCATTGCATACACTATTCACATTAAAGCTAACCTGGGGATAGTGCGCTGGCGTGGGCACTGGGGCGCGATGGAAATACGTTTGGAGCTTCTCCGTATCCATGGGCTGTGGCAGGTGATAGTAGGCGGCCTCCATCATTTGAAACTGCATCTGATGTTCTTTCTGAAGTGGCGTTGGCCCCAACGGCGTTACTCCCAGCAGTGTAGGAATGTGCGCTTCCGTGGTGGCCATTTGCTGTTGGGAAGCATGCGTCTTGTTACTACCGCTGGTTGGCTGACCTGCAGCATTTGCCAGATTCATGAGCCCACTGCCAGCTGTGGATCCATTGCTGGCTGCCGCAGCATGTGCTGCAGCCGCAATTGTTCCCATTGCAGCCGCTGCCGCCGCAGCAGCTGCATTTTGCTGCTGTTGCGACGCCACTTGCTGCGGCTGGTTGGCAGTATTTTCCGTGCTAAAATGCTGTTGTAGGAGTGATTGCTGCGACTGTAACTGCCTCGTGTCAATGTTGCTTTGCTGCTGCTGCTGAGGCTGCTGCTGCTGACTTAGCGAATTGGCATCGATCGCGGATCGATTGATGGCTTCCTGGGCCATGGTTTTCAATGAAATTGCTTCAACGACATTGCTATTGCTGTCACTACTACTGACCGAGACAGGTAGACCTGCAAATATCAAATACATTTTCAATCAATATGGTTAGATGGGACAGGGGAAGACCCTTCGTCGTGAAGAGCACTCTGGCTGCTCCAGAGGAAATGCTTTTTGTAGACAACGGCTTTTACAAACTACGCACACCCGACGTTATATCAGGAACCTTTCATCTACACGAATGCATCTACATTGGAAGGGTTTAAAGGACAGATATTGCGACAGATCATACCGTTTTGTAAGTGTGAGGAATTTGTTTGAAGATTGGATAATTGTGCCGGCTGTTGCTGCTGGTGTTGTGGCTGTTGGGTCTGTGCGCCGGCTCCCACAATGGCGGCTACCGTTGTGACTGTGGGCTGTTGCAGTACAGGACCGTTTTCCAGGAGTGCTAGAAAGAGGACTCCACGATAAATAAGAACTTTACGAAAGCCTGTTTCTGGCGCATACATGTATTGTGTTTTGCCACCGCCGCAAATGCAATTGTTGGTGTTGCTTGAATCACAGATTGGCCTTGAACGTTGCTGATACTTGCAATCGCTGGGGTAGCAGAACTTGAGACGGCTGCTGCGGCTGCAATGCTGGCGGCAGTTAGACCAGGCGTTGGGGCATGCGGCTGTACGGCAGGATTGTGACCACTGGCTGTTGGTGCTGCCGCCCCAGTGGCTGCACTAGCACTAGAGCTTCCACTGACACTGACACTGCCGCTGGCACTACTGCTGCTCGGCGCTGAGTTGGTGGCAGCTACCACCGCTGCAGCTGTGGGCAGCTGCTGGTTTTTGCTGGGCGTCGAGCTGACAATCTTGACTTGAGCTTCACAATTGAACAGAGTGGAATCGTCATTAAAGGAGTGTTTTGAGGAAGACACGACAGTTACAGGTACTTACGTTCACTACCCGGAACCGCCTTGGCCGTCGCACGAACGGGCGTGGGCTTAATGATCTGCTGAGGTTGAGGCTAAAAAAAAAAGAAAATAAGGTTTGGGTTCTGCCTCCATGTGATCTCCATGATAGACAATACATACTTTCGATTTGCTGTTGGTATTGCTTTCGCTGCTTTTGTTGCGTTTATCGCCGCTGCCGCCGCCTCCACCCCCGCTTAAGGTAGCCGTGCTGCCCGCTGGATCCGTCGATGTTGTTGCCGAAGATGAGGCTGCACTAGTATCGCTCGCATATCCCACATTGCTGCCATTCGACTGGGCCGCTGCCTGCTGCTGCTGGAACAAGGCAGCGCTGGCTGCACTGCTGCCAGTATTTGCTGCCGCCTGCACGGATGCCGGCAGCACTTGTTGTACTGTGACGGGCGATTGGGATGGACTGCCGCCGGAGGTAACACTGCTAGGGGACCCGCTGGTTTCGTTGCTATTGTTGCTATCGGTTGTGGCCGTCCCGCTGAGCTCCACTTCGTCCAGACCAATGATGTCGTCGTAGATAAACTCATTCTCCTCGAAGTCGGGCTCTTGCGACGAATCAATGTAATATTCGACATCGTCTTTGATCTTGTTTACTTGATCCGCTTCGACGCCGTCGTTGTCGAGCAACCGAAGCAGAGTTTCCAGCTTTGTTATGTGGAATTTATGCCTGTCCAACTTGCCCCGTAGGTCGTCCATGCGCTCTTGCTTATCCCGGTCTAATCGTTTCTTTTTACCCGCCAGCAGAGACTCAATTTCGCTTTCGTATTGATCAATTTGTATTTGCAGTGAGCTAATTGAGCTGGTTAACCAATTTCGCGCATCGTCTTTGATTCGCTGCGCTGGATCCATTTTTTGTGCGGCGCCCAAGCCTTCCTTAGAATAAGCCTTTGTTTTTGTCTCGCGCTCGACCACCTTGAAGCGTTCCATTTGCTGCCAGAGAATGAAAGAATAGTTTCCAATAACATTCAATGTAATTCATTTAGAAAAGCTCACCGTCTCAATGAGCCTTCGATTTTCGAGCAGAGCGCTCTTATCCTTGATCTCGGCCGAGGCAATCCAGGATTTAATTTGATCTCGTAATCGCTGAAGCTTCTTGATTTCCTTTTTGAGATCTGCCTCATATTTCTCCTGCAGATGTTTTTGCTGTGGAATATAAATGAAACGAAATTCGATTAGTTTATTTGCTCAACTTCAAAAAAACAGTGGAGTAGAGTAGAGTTAAGCTCCCTTTGATTTGTTTATAGTGTTTATCGAATTTATCTAGCTGCTGTTAGATAGATCAGTTTACAAGTCTTACCTTCTGGTTAGTGTTCGTAGCATTGTGTACTTTCTTCCAGATATCTTCAAACGTTTCTACGCCTTCGGCTACTTTTTTTAAGCATCGATCAATTTCGCCTAGACCCACAGAGAAAATAGAAAATGCAGATGTGGTTTTTGGTAATTAGGCGACATATTCACTTGGATATACATATGTAGAGCACTGCACAGCACAGCTGAGAAGGCAGACACAAACACTTTGAAAAGTAAATCTGTTTTGCTTACCTTGCAGTTTCCTCGTCGCAGCCATGGCTATGTATGCTCTTGTGGATTCTGTTGACGCAGAAAGTCAGACATAGTCTGCTTCTGGCTGTGGCGGGGCAGTTCGTTGGTTATAACACCCTAGCCGCCTGGGCAGGAATCCTGTCTGTGCTCTGGAGTCTGCAAATGTTAAATATCCAAGCATTTAGTAGGGCCCACAGCACACACACAGACACAGAACGCGGCGTGGCGGCGAAATGTGTCGAATTTTGTTGTGTGGTGCGTATCTTCCGATGGAGGGAGAGCATCGAGGAGTCAGTGCAGCGGACTGGGGTCTGGGAACTCTCTACTCTGTGTTAATTGACCATTTACCTCAATTTGGCGAAAATGCTTCTCAGTGTTCAGCAAATAAATGACTGACTTTTCTTCTTGCGTGTAGGGATACCTTCGGGCCGTCCGTCGATGCAATATTTCGATTTTTTGGCTCAACTCAGTTCTTTGGCGGTGCGGAGGGGCAAACACAAGGTGGCAGATGTACTTGGGTTGTCTTAAAGTTGATTAGTTTAGCTTTTAAAATGTGCTGAGTCTTGAAAGATGTAGAGCTGTATGCATTTGTACATTTAAATACGCTTAAAGATTTTTCGCTTGTTCTCTTCTTCTTCGCACATTCCGCCATCTTGAAAAGTTCTCTTCTTCTTCGCACTAGTGTGACCGCGTAATAAAATATACCGCCTAACTCTCAGAAACATACCGAAATATACCTTCTTATGTTATGTTATGTTATAAAAAATACCGTAAATTAACTCACTTAACCCCCCTCTATTTAAACAGTTGAAAACCTTGAGTTAAGCCGCGGCAAATAGTAATGTTTGTAAATTCTTCTTGTAGATCATCCTATTCATCCTTATTATTTACAAAAAAAACTACAATATCTTTCACTTGAGTTGAGCTAAAATTCTTCAGGTTTCGTTATAGTCGTGTTTATATTTAAATACCCACCGGTCAACAATGGGCTAATCGGTCTCAGTCCATGATCGGAAATCATATTCCTCGTTTTTGATATTCGGCTTAAGATTACTAGCTAGCTAACACAATCAGCACTGAACACAAAATTTTATTCGATAGATTAATACAATTTCTACAAGATTGGTTAGTTTTAAGGACTTGGTTAGTTGCAAGGACTTTTTTATGTTATTGTTCATAAAATAAGGTAAGAAAAAATTAAAAACATACAACGTAAGTGGGAATGAAATGTAACGTAAGTTGGAATGGAATGTTACGTCTTTTAAGCACTTGTTGCTTGTTAACGGGTAGAATGGAAATTTGTATACCCTTTTTCCTTTAATTAATGTTAAAATTCAGTTGTCCAAGCTGCTCTGGACGATAATGTTGATTGACATTATTTAATATATTTCCATAGTATATTCATTATTATATTAGTATATTCATATACATGGTATGGATCTGTAAACTACAACATTTCGCTGACATAACTGACTAGTTTCTGCATTGATTGAAGCCGGAGATTTCAAATATTTCCTTAATTTCAAGGGGGAAACCCCCGGAGGGTATACACAGGATGGGAGCTTCGATACCCTATTTTCTTTAATATATGTACTTTAAAACTGGAATTTAATAGATTAATAAAATTTTTTGGAGTCAGTAGTCGCGTATTTTTCAGTAGACCTGCTACCTACTAGTTAACAGCGTACTAGTTAACTAGTAAACACACTAACAACTTATGCGTGTACGGTAGCTCAAGTACGATTTGTACCGACAACGTTCTGGAAACCTTTTCCAGTCCCTCGAAGAAGTGAACCGCCAGCACCAGGTAACTTCGCTCCTCTGGTTTCGTGTGAACGGCACAACTTAAGGAGAGCGTGGATAGTCCTGCTAATTGTTGGCACAGTTTCGATGCTTGCAGCTGCCGCTGGTTGTAAATAAAGTGCCCAGCTCATCCACGCTGGGAAGTTTAGAACCAGGGCACAACTCACTTATCAAATGCTTGAATCCCTCGGCCTGAATGATCTGCAGAGGATGCCTGTCACGGCAGACAAAGAAGGCCATGTTGTGAAGAAACGACCGCTGGCCTGCTACTCTAGCATCCAGGTTGCTGTGGAAGTTGCTGCAACCCAAATTTCATATTCTTCTATTTCTGCTATTCGCCAATGATCTTTAAGGTGAGCGAGATGAGATAGCTTACGTGATAACTTCCTCTACGTCGTCCAGCGGTAGATCCGGAATTTCAAATAGAGCAGTACTGGCTTCGGCGCTGGCATCATTTGCCACCTTGGGCTCAAATTCTATGATGTCCTCGGCGCTGACTGTCTCTTCAGCGGACTCCGTTTCACTCGTTTCCGTTTCAGTCGTCCAGAAGATAACGCTCTCCCCGGCAGCCTGTTCAACTGGCTGACAAGAGGCATCATCCAGCTCTATGAAATTATCTGGCTCCGCTTTAGTTTTTATTACCAGACCACTGCCGCTGTTATATTTCCCCTGGAACAAGGACAGGAGGCCCTCGTAAGGCGGCGACTTTTTGATTTTCCTCTTTACCACATGAGACTCCCGCTTGAAAATGCCACGCATCACCACAGATTCATTTTTATTGAGATCTCTGCAATTTATAAAGTAAAGTCAGTTCATCAGCCCCGACCCGACCCCCGTCTGCCCAGGCAAGTTTTCAGAAGTCCTTTTTATTGGATTATTTACATATTAAGGTTCAAACAAAAACAACAAAAAGACGTCGTTTTGTGGCGCTGCCAGACTCGTGTAACTCGTAGTTGCTGCGGGCTGCCATACCATGATATTTTGTGATATGAAATTCGTCAATTTTGATATTCAGATGGTTGGCCCTCTCAGCCCTAAAAAAATGATTTTATCCAATTCCTCAATGAATTTTGTTTAGGATTGGCTAGTTTTCAGAACTATTTTAAATGGGATTGTTTAGATAATAGTGTTCAAAAATAAATATTTTACTTGATTTGTTTTGTCGAGTGTGACTTTAACCTCAGATCCCGATTAGGAGGTGTACTCTTTCATTATTTTTGTTCTTTGGCCATTGATGAACTTATTTTATTTTTTGCGGTATTTTTCCCGACATTTTGACTTTAGAATCTCGGGAAAAGTCGAAAAAAAAAATATTTCTTGGCATTAATTTTTTATTTTAGATAGACGCATAAATTAAGCGTTGTGTAAGGTATTGTTTGTAAGAATCGATGGATAAGCGGCCAAGTTGCAGCCGTTTGACCAAAACGACTCAAAACTCATTTTTAGCTGAAAAAATACCGACCGTTACGAAATGTATCCGAAAAAGTAATTTTGGTCCACAGCGGGAAAAAAAGTTCAATTTTGTCGAGTAGTGTAGTTGAAAAAGATCGACTAGGATTACTACGACCACATACATTTTCCAATAACACCATTGGTGAACGGATACCAACCGATTCGTTCTGAGACCTTACTCCCTATTTAAACTTAAAAATAGTTTCTGTGTTAAGGTGTCAAAGGCGTTTCTTTTTTACAAGATAGAAATAGTTCATTGCATTTTTAAATTAGGGTTTATTAACTGCGCGATGGAGTTTGCAAAATTTTTGCAAGGATTTAGTTGCAAAGATAACTCTTAAATTCGTTTCTACTATAAAGCGTTCAAAGATGTGCTTAGTAATTACATTTTTCTTTAAGAATTAATTGTTACGCTGCTCAAATGTTTGCAATTTTGTAGTGTAGTATCTACGTCGGCTGGCGTCTAATCGTATTTCAGATTTGTATGCTCTTGTTTCTCTTGGAGCTCGTTGAACCCGCATCCTGGGTGAGCCACGGTAACATTAAAGGCAGGAAGTGCCATGCATTTCCTCACAAAAGTGCAGACACATTGGACATATTGTTCGGGATATTTGGTGTAGATCTTAACGTGCTCAGCATCCTCGAAACAAGCCGAAGATACATCAATGCCTTGATCGCGACGCAGCCGAATAAACTTCTCTACATCTTTGTAAGGGATAACAACATCGCCCTTGGAGTACAAAAATAGCTGGGGATATTTGTTTGCTTCGTTTTTTAGATCACAAAATGGACTGGCGTGGACCGGCGACGATTTCACAAACAAGCTTTTAAAGGCCGCAAACGTTTCCTTGAAAACCATTAGATGGAGCCATTAGATCTTCGCTTTTCGCACTTGTTAAACTTTACATACCTCCACAAACCACATGAAACTCAGAGCAATCGTTATGACCAGCGCTGAGATGCAATTGCAGCGCTTTTCCTTTCCGTAAATGGCCGTAATGGCGCGATACAGCCCCAACATGCGGCGTTCGCCTGGTGCTGAGTCAAAGATCACGCCGCGCACCTGAAGCGGTGACTTGTGCTTGATGACAGCCAAATTGATGTGCTGATACAAATAGGCGCCGCCATTGGAGAAGATATGAAAAATCAGGGGGTGAGCATCAAAGTTCATGTCTTGAATTAGCTTTAGGATCTTCTCGCCAATAGGAATCATCTCAGAACGCTTCCAGAACAACGTGTCCACCGGAGCCGTGTATCGAACAGTAATAAGGCTGAAAGAAGGAGAAATGATACCCCAGACGGTAGAAAGCTCCACAAACTTACCCTCTATCCTCATATATCTTGGAATACTTCATCAAATAGCGGTCCTGGCAGCCCGCCCAGCCCAGCAGCATTACAATGGGAACATTGTTGTCCTCGTTGTCATTGTCGGCCAAAACAAAATCGTTCTCTGCAGAGGGCTTGGGAAACTTGATGAAATATTCCAAGGCATCTTCCCGATCTAGACCAGGACGTCTAGTCGACTGCGGTGGTCCGGTAGAGCCATGTGTAGGTATAGGTATAGTCGCCGTCGCTCCGAACTGACTCGCCATTTCATCCGCTGAGAGGCCATACGGATGTGTTGATGGAGACGACATCTTGTCATCTAAATTGTTAATCTCCACTCACTTGAATTTCTTATATAATATAAACACAATCTTTTTTGTTTTTTTAAGAGCTTTTTTGCTTGGTTACGCAAAGACTACTGCCAGGATACCGTTCACTCGAAGTCCTGCGGCATGTGTATTGATTTTATCAGCCCCAAAACGATAATTGATTAAAAATGTCAACGAAACTCAACATTTTTGTTTCTAAGGACATTTGCTCCAGCTCATTGATTTTTTATTTACCCAGCCAGCAGCCACACAGCACCAGACAACGATAACACGGCTTGACCTTCCTTTGCCAAATATGCTTCCTGATGTGATGCAATGGAAATGGCTGTTGCGGTTGCCGCTTCCAGTCGGTGGTCGTGGTCCTCCTCGCTACTGGGTTGGACATGCGCAGTGTACGTTTAGTTGCCCGACCTAAGATGTGCGTAATATTCAAAAAGGTGAAAGTAGTTACCAAACACCCGGAGAACCTTCGAAAAAATACTTTTTTGTTCCTGTTCGTATGAGCGCCGTCACACAGCAGAACAAAGAGCAGTTCTTAATGTAACCTTGCCTTGCCTTTGCTCCGCTCTTTCTCGGCGTTCGTCAGCCATTGAAAGCTGCGAGGGAGGCTGAAGCTTCTCACATCAAATCAATTCATATCCGCCCTGCTCGGAAATAAAGCACATACCTGTAGCCATTAATCAATTATAAACGAGAAGGAACGTGTGAGTCGCTTCTTTGGACGCGACTCTACTTTTATACCCGTACTCACTCAGTATGTACATTTGTGAGCTTGGGATTTAGGTAGAATTTTAAATTTTACATTTTTTTGCTACACCTGTTATCTACATCGACATTTACAATGTCGATTCCACATCTAAAATGTAGATTCTACACACACAATGTAGATTATACATCTTCTCCGCAAAGGTCGCGCATTGCACAGGGCAGAGTACGAGTGCGAGCGAGAAAGAGAATAAGTAGCGTGGTCTCGTGCCGGAGAAGGTGGGGTAAGCAATTGAAAATTAATTTCATTATTCTGGCTATAATAATGATCCGATTTGATTCAGATTCGGCAATCTGGTAGACATCGTCCTTCTCTGCGATACTACACTTTTACTTTTCTGGTATTTTTAAAATTGTGGCTGCCACTGATTTTCGTCCTTTGTGGGGGCGGGGCGAAAATTTTAAATACACTTGTAGCAGTGTGATATCCCATGAGTCTGGAAACAAAATTTGGTTGCTCTGCACACATCCACTTTTACCACAAATCTGATATACCCCTTAACTCTTTGTGAGTACGGGTATAAAAATGTGTAATTATTTAAAAATCTTTCGCGACTTAAATATACGCTACTGAATAAGAAAGGAGTAGAATTTTCCACATTCAACACAATATTAAATTAAATAAACCATATATGTACGTACATATGTATGTACAACCAATATTACCATTTAATATTAAGTGCTGTTGAGAGCTTCTCTACTGCATGGTAGCTGGTATGGAGCAGCTCATTTGACTTTTCCGTGTGAGCACCATCAAGAAAATCTCCATAGATAAGCTTCGTCAGGGCGTTGTCAGGCTGAGAGCGGGGAAGTTTTTTATACAACTCCTCCAGCTGCTGGGTTAGCTCACGGACGTGCTGGCCAGTGGTGGGTCGCACCTGGGCGCCACCATTGATGCAGCCAGAAGGACAAGCCATGACCTCAACAAAATGATAACTGGCCCCTTTGCCTCGCTTTAGCTTTTGCACCAAATTCTGTATGTTTCGGAACCCATTCGCAATAGCAAACTTCAGAACAGTCTTGCCATCTTTTTCCAGCGAAATTTCCCGAAAGTCGCGATTTCGGAGCTGCTTGAAATTCAGCTCGGACGGGGAATTTTCGTTAAAAAGTTCTTTGGCGGAAAATCTAAAAATATGCTCTGCGTAACCGCCAGATAGTGTAGCCTCGTGTGACCAGACCATTGATTCGGGCCTCTGATCCGACCAGGGCCAGTCCAGATCTGAAGCTTCGTGCTCCGAAAGTGCCCGTTCGTCTTCGGTCAACATTTGTTCCACCTCAACTACGAGTCCAAGGAAATGTTATTATTCATTCGTTTGAATTTGTTCACTTCGCTTATCCACTTACCTGACGTAATAACACAGTCCACATCTCGCGATCCATTCACTTCGCTGTAGAAATCCATGCGCGACGCTTCAAGCTTCTTGTCGTAGCAAGGCATCACTGTAACGTGATAGATCCGTGAGCCAGGTATGTTCAGCTTCTCCGCCAGAAACTGCTTCACTAGTACGCCCATAATTTGTTGGGGAGAGCGCGTGGTTGCTATGTAAGGCAGTATAAAAGTGCCATGTGTCTTTTCTGCGTAGCACACCCATCCAGGGCACGAAGAACTTAGCATGGTCAACTCTTCGTTGTCGCGGTACCGTTCTACGAACTCTTGTTGGCACTCCAGGAGCGCCAGGTCGTCAGCCACTTTGGTGCACAGAACATAGTCCACTCCCAGGCTGCGAAAGTAGCCGGCCAAGTGACGGGCAGTTTCTTCCACACTTAGCTGATAGCGATGGGCCAGGCTCAGAAGGGGCTGTGTGGCAATGGTGAATACAATTGTGCGAACTTGTTCCATGTCCCCAGTGGCTTTAACTTTTGCATTTTCCCGCAATACCTTCAGTAGCTCTTCCTGGCTCTGTTGTGTTATGAGCACTCCTTCAGCTGATGTTATGCAGCCGGAGCAAGCCAGGCAATCCTGCAGAGTGATTTCCACCTTCTGCAGCTTTTGTTTGCCGCTCTAAAATTCGATAAAAATAGGATTGGAAAAAAGTTCCTTTCCATCGATCCATCCACTTAACTTACCTCCGATTCCTCGTAGTACCCATCCTCCTGAACAGTGATTTTAGCCCCAGTCTTTGATAATGTTGTCTTATCTACCGTCACGGGCTTTATGCATTCCTAGTGGATCATTGTGAAATTAAATGGCATTAAACATTAAATGGTTTTGAATGCTGTAGCCATACTTTGCTGATACCGAACCTGTGATGGTGTAATGAAATCGTCTAAATCAGTCAGCTGGAGTGCCCCACTGAACCTCGACATGGCTGTGATTATTTATTTTGTATAATAAAAAACCATCGAGGGCACCATCGATAATATCGATATTTTACTGAGGCTAGTACTATCGACGGTTTTGCGACTATCATGGTAGTATCGAGCTTCAGTCGTTGCGCTTTTGATATGTTTGAATTGGCTGCTATAAAATACGAAGACACATTTGTAAACAAATCAACAGGTGGCATCTAATTTTTACAAGTTTACAAGTTCGACAAGTTCCTAAAAGGTTTCAATGGTTTCTTAATAATTTTTTGAGCCCGATACTATCACAATAGTATCGATTGTTTTTTCTTCAAAACATTCAACGTTGATATTCCGTTTAATATTACTAGCTAGTTGGCAGTCTCAGCCCTAAACAAATAATTTTATCCGATAGATATATAAATTTTCTGCAAGATTTGCAAGTTTTCAGAAGTCCTTTTTATTGGATACAATACATATTTACATATTAAGGTTCAAACAAAAACAACATAAAACGAATGTGACGTCGTTTTTGTGGCGTTGCCAGACCCGTGCAATTCGTAGTTGCTGCGGGCTGCCATACCATGATATTTTGTGTTATGAAATTCGTCAATTTTGATATTCAGTTTAATATTACTAGGTAGTTGGCACTCTCAGCCCTAAACAAATAATTTTATCCGATAGATACATCAATTTTGTTCAGGATCGGCTAGTTTTCAGAACTCGTTTTCATTAGATTGTTTACATAATAGGGTTCAAACAAAAACGGCCAAAGCATAAAACTTAAATGTTGACTAAATGTTACGTCAGTGTTGCTGGTCAACCAAGTTTCTTCTATGCGTATGTACTTTTGTATACCCTATTTATTTTAATTGATGTTAAATGTTTTGTTCCAAGCTACATTGAAACATTATTTATGATTTTATCCTAGATTGACATGTTTATTACCTAATAATGCACATGTTTGTGTTTCGACGACAAATTCGTTTTATGCTGTTTTTGTTTGAACCTTAATATGTAAATAATCCAATAAAAAGGACTTCTGAAAACTTGCCAATCTCTTAAAAAATTTATGTATCTATCGGATACAATTTTTTGTTTAGGGCTGAGAGTCCCAGCTAGCTGGTAATATTAAACGGAATATCAATATCGAGGAATATCAACGTCGAATGTTTTGAAAAAACAACATACTATCGCGATAGTATCGAGCTGAAATAATTATTAAACCATTGAAACCTTTTAGGAACTTGTCCATTGTAAAAATTAGATGCCACCTGTCGATTTTTTTACAAATTTGTCTTCGTATTTTATAGCAGCCAATCCAAACATATCAAAAGCGCAACGACTGTAGCTCGATACTATCATGATAGTCTCAAAACCGTCGATAGTAGAGGCCATCAGTAAAATATCGACACTATCGATAGTGCCCTTGATGGTTTGACACCTCTAATTTATGTAAAATAAGATGCGACGCCGGGAACTCCAAACTATTCAACTAAAGCTATCAGAGCTCAAGGAGTATGAACAAGCCAAGCTCGAACGGATCAAGCTCAAGACACGCCAGCAGGTGGAGACGCCTCGCACGCCCACCCCTCCCTCGGAAAGCATTCCTGAGGCTAGCGGCGCCAATGAGAGCGAGGAATATGCCAAGCCCACGTCGACTATGTAACTCCCTCCAATTCTGGCTTTGCGTAAGTTGACATTTAATTTGTGTTTTATGCTTACATTCGGGGGCTGCTGTTGTTGTTGTTTTGGAAACGAACCGTTTCAAAGCCATCGACCAGGATCTCGCGATCTTCCGTGTGATGGCGCTCTCGCAACCACTGTTCCCGGACGGGAACATAGCGCCGCAGAGCAGGCAGTTTTCGCCAGCACCGGCGCTTGTACAAAATCCACATAAGCGACAGCGAGCAGCCGAAGAGGAAGCAAACCAAAAATATGCTTATGCCGCGTGAATGAGACGAGGCTACTTTCAGCTGTGAGACATCTAACGGAGTGTTAAGTTGCTTTGTTGGTCTACTGTGTGGGAGTACTTGCTCCTGCTCGCTGCACCAGGTGATTGCCACATAAGGCGTCAGCACGTCTCCGGCGAGTGAGTGCACCCGCACGGCACATTCACTGAAGGATACGTTCAGCTGCGCCATGTACACATACTCGGCAGTGGCGTGCTGCAGCCTGGTCAGGCAGCTCATATGGCTGTCGGACAGATTGTTGCGATAGTGTACTACATAGCTGACCACCTGGCCATTCGGTTGTACGGGCTCGGCAAAGCGAAGGATGTACTTCTTGGTGTCTGGGACACGACAGGCGGTCAACTGGGTCAGTAGGTCCGCCCCCAGTGTGTAGTTGGTGCGCTCGTTGAGAGTTGTGTGGCTGCTGCATCCCAGGTCGCTGCAGGCCTGAAGCTGTAGTGAGTAGAGTCGATACCGGTGCAGCTGTCGGAGTTCGTATTCTGAGGTGTTAAAGGGTATTTGCACCCTCATCAGAGTCGCCTGCTTCTGGTCAAGATCGTGACACTGATCATGTTTGTCCAGGCTGCAACGATACTGCTTTCGCATCTCCGCAATAAAGTGACGATCGTCCGCCTGTTCCCTCTGGTGTGCGCAACAATCGTCATAGTCTTCGAACGCTCGCCATTGCCCGCCGTCCATATCTTGCCACAAGTACGATGGCTGGTGGCAGTAATCGCGGCTATCGACATAGGACTCATCGTCTCCCAGCTCGTAAACAGTTAGCATATAGTGGTGGTGATCATGACTCTTCATACGCACTGTCAGCGAACTATCCGTTTTTCTTACAAGTTCCAGTAGCGGGGCCTGTGGTATGTCCCGTTCCGTCTGCACGTAGATCAGATCGCTGCGTGCCTCCTGGCTGAGATCACCTCCAAAAGTGCGCAGCAGGCAGGCGTACCGCGTGTCTGGCTCTAGCTCATCTAACACGAAATAGTAGTGGGTACCGTTCTCGGAAAGCTCATCGGGGAATAGAAGGCGGCGTTGCCAATTGATGCGTATGCACACTGGAGCTTCCAGTTCGCTTTCCTCTGGATAAAATACTCCCGGCGGCAATGGTCTGTGGATCAATTCAAGCTCATGGCTGGTCTGGGATTTCAGCCAGCTTAATTTCACAGTGCGATGTGTGCGTTTCTGTAGATATGGGATTGAAACGGAATATCAGTGATGAAAAAGAACATGTTTCAATGTGATATCACGGGAGTGGAGTGTGCAAATCGTGTTGCTCTATATATAATAATCTGTAGGAACTCAGCAGAATAATTCAAACAGACAAGGACAGACAGACGGACGGATGACGATGTATATCTTCATCTACATTTTTATGTCGGTGACTCTCTGAGTAGCGGATGTAATACTTTGGGGATCGACCTAACTTACTTGTACAACTAGTAGCAACTTTGATGGACTGCAGAGAACCTCTTGGTCGCTGGTCTGCAATGAATCCAGTGACCTGTCGTGAGTCACGACGCCCTGGAACTCCTTCATATGCTTGTTGCACAGCTTGTTGTTGCGATGCATGAACATGCCACCCTCTACGAACTCCAGCTTACTCTCCGGTTTCCAAAGTTCGCCCAGCTGCTTGTTGTCATAAAGTATAAGAGCGTATTGCCGATTCTCCAGAGGATCTCCATGAATCCGCTCCAAATTGCTGAGAAATTTCAAGCTTCTAAGCTGGGACGATCTACATAAAGCGAGATGAGATTTTACTCCCTGACGAAGACCGACCTACTGCAAGTAACGGATGCCTACCGATATACTTTAAGGTGTCCACGTATTTCGCGAATGCTGCTTAGGCTCTGGAACAGCTGCGTCTCGTTCACTTGATTGCGTATGGTTATAATCAGGCTTCCATTGACTATCTGGCAGCCACGAAGCTCCTCTGCGTCTCCCAGATTGTAAATGGTGATCGCATTGTTTGACGGTTCGGGCGAGCATACACTGATGCAGGCCTCCTGCAGTCCACAGCGGATGCAGCCGTTCTTCTCATTTGCCTTGTAGCCACTTGGACAGAAGCCGACGCACTGGGAACCGAATGTATAGTGGTTGTGCCTTTTCACGCACTCCTCCTTGGTGTAGCAGCGCTGATATTGCTCTAGGAGATACCTGCAAAAGGATGAAAGATACAAATTAATCAAATATAAAAACGCCTTCCTCGAATCTTGCAAACTCACTTGTGTTTCGGGCACCTCTTAACACAGACGCCACCATCGCTGATTCCGCGACAGACCCGGCAGTCGGTTGCTGATAAGTTTTGGGTACAGCCCCCCAGACACTCCTCATGGCAGTCGTCAACTTTTCTGTAGAGTGTAGCAGAACTAAAGAAGGGCCCATGATTTGTGTAGACCTTGACTTACTCCTTATTGTGGGCGGCATTGTCATTTTGGGACCGTTGACAATTGTACGTTGACCAGCAGTAGGAAGAGCTGCATCCCCTGCATGCACTTGTGCTGCACCTGCTGGATCCAACCATGATGTGATTTTCCCCCCGGCTAAGGGTCAGAAGATCCCAATAAACCTATTTGGTGAGGAGGGAAAAGGCGTCATTACACATGACAACGGAAAAATTTTACCTGTTATACAAACCCCCTCGTGCTGACAAAGCTTGGGGCTATTTCCTATGTATACATGACCGCGTTGAATAGCCACCAGCGTGGGGAACTCCAGCTGGAATGGGAGCGTTGATTGAGATTTTCCACCTGGCATTGCTGCTCTTCTCTTACGTATTCTAGGTCCAGCATACTGGTCACTCCCAAGGCGTAGTTGAGGAAAAGGCGACGGCCGCGTATGACGGTTAGATTTGGAAACATTTCGTTGACGCGGGTCAGTCCTCGCACCTCCGTGAAGATCATGAATTCGGTAATTTCCATCAGCTTCGGAAACTTGTACATTGAGTAGTTGCAGTACGGAGGGGTGGTAATGAGCGTGATCATCACGTAGCCGGTAATCACGGTGCAGTTGTCCAGCAGGTGCATTTTGCTGCACTCGTTGCGGATGTCGATGCTGGTGCACTCGTGCTCCGTACCCGGAGCAGACGCACCCACGCCCCAGAAGGCCATGAGCACCAAAAGCATCAGACCGACAGCGTTGTTGCCGAAACCCATGCTGTGAGGCTTCTTCTCTGCGTGTTGCTCTGTTGGCTGATTGTGCTGGGACCGAACACTCCTCCACATTGCTTAGCTCTGCCTTTGATCCGATTTGCTTACAGTTATGTACATACATATGTATGTATGTATTACACTTGCGTTGTCTCCCCTGCGCTCTTTCTGCCGTGCGGCTAATTAGCGCCCTGGCTGGCCGCCCATCTTGATTAGCCCAATGTTTATGAGAGCGGCTCTCCGCGCTGATGTTTCAACTGGCAATCGGGGGCGAAAAATCACACGAGTTTGCGCTCCCGAAGGGTTTGTTCTGTTTGTTTTTGGGCACGATGATGTGCTTAGCTGTCGAAAAGCTCCAGAATAAGCAAACAAAATACTTGCACTCACGCACACACACAAACACTGGAACGGGACACTAATATACGCGCGTTTAACATATTTTTTTGTAAATTTTCTGTTTGTATTATTTTACGAGTATTACTCTTTGGCTTTTTGTGTTATTTACTTTACCCTTTATTCCCTGTCCCCTTACAAAGCACAGGCTGCTCATAGAATGCGTTCCTTCTGCAGTCGTCTTTTTTCGCAGAGATTGATTGCGTGAGAGGACGGGGTGATCAAAGATTATGCATGCTGAAGACCTCAAAACGTGCGACAGCTGAAGATCATATTGATGGCATGGCAGTAGGATGAGGATGAGATGCAATGAGCCGGAGACAATTTTTTTAATAAAATACTACTTTTACTTTGTGATTTAACCAAGTATTTTAACAGCCACACATGTTTTCCTATTCTTTCAGAGACACCTTCGACTGGAACCGCATCATCCTCACAATCTCGCTCAACTACCAAATATGTACATGTACATGAATCATTTTGCTAAACAGAATCGGGTTCTCTGAAGCGAAGCGATTTTTCCATCAATGCCCTCACGGAATTTCGATCGACAGTCTATAAGCTAGTTAGTCTTTAGTTATTAAGCACTCATTTAGTTTATACTAGAAACAAACCCCAAACTATTAAACGTAAGCAATCACACAAGAAAAAAACGTAGACTATGCAGAAATTTCACGACGCCACCTGCAGTTTGGGGAGAATGTTCAAAGAATCCCCTGATGTGTGCACGCAGACGATGTGTGCCCGCGACGATCATTTGCCGACTGGCCGTCTGGGCACCTCGTCTGTCTGTGGAGAGCAAAAAAATTGATTTTTCATTTAGTGTCTTATTCGTTCGACCCTGTACACTTCCACAGCGAGGCCTTTTCTGTATTACCGCATCAGACGCGGACGTAAATTGATTAAAAGGGCGTTTGATTTCCGAGAAAAACGTTTACAGTTTTATTAATGTGTCGCTTTCGCAAGTGGCACCATACCCATTATGCAATGGGATCGGTGTGTGGGCTTGATGCCCAAAAATTCGCTCAGTGCAGCCTGCGGATTATTACTGCTTCGTTCTTGGCCATCAGCATTCGGCTAAGACTGCTGGCCAACGATCAACCAGCTCATAAAAACAGCTGACTCCAACAGCTGGCTGGCATTGATTGTCAGCCCCAGCACCGGTATACATATGTAGATGGTCCAACACACACACAACACACAGACATGGGCGACAGACAACAGGAAATCAAGTCAGATTAATCCTATACAGCCAACAAGCCCAAACTGAGGTAGCAGCATTCAAGAAGTTATTAACTTTAACGAGCGGGAAAGAAAAGTTCTGACAGCATAGTCCATGCTGATTCATAATACGACCATGAGTAACGAAATTTGTACACACTTGTATTCAGTACTAGAATAAATAGTAATATCCTTTTTCTACAGTGCTTGATGGGAAATTAATTTCGCCGTTTAGCTATTAATTGAAGGGCAAAAAAAATAAGTCGAGTGTAGTTTGGTGTAGTTTGACGTACTCTTAAGTACGGAAGTTACATTGCCATCCGTAAGCATCATACACCTTATAGTGTTTTCTTAATTATAATATACATACATATGGGTTATGCGAAATTAAATTCGATAGACTTATTTCAGTGTAATATCTGACTATTGTACATATTTATTTACACACATTTACACCATACCCATGTACGCTGGGAGTAACGGGTATAATCAAAATGGTACATACTTATATGTATGTATGTATATACTTCAGTTACATACTGGTATGCATACTTTTGAAGCGCATCGCGAGTATCGAAGAGGGAAGGGGATCCCATTTGTATAGAAGATCATTTCATATTTTTCAAGCCGCAACGAATGGTTCGTGTCAAAGTTCAATTAATTCAATTAAACTAATTTATTGGGTGCATGCGTGTGCTGTGATCTACATATCAGATCAATGCTACACACACATACACAAGTAAGCAAGACATGGGCATGCATACATACATACATATGTACATACTATTTATATTGGCTTTAAAAAATACGATACTATGATAGGATTAGTGCTTTAGCTAGTCCCACGGGAAAGGATCTTGTTCCGGCGGCGTGTTGTCGTTTATCCACTCGGCGAAATGAGCCATAGACCTATACGCAGCCCGCAATAATTGTCACAGCCGAAGGATCTTTGTGAGAAGATGGATAAACAGAAGATTGTCCCTGAATTGAATTGGGAGACTCAAGCGTGCCAGTGGAGCCATGGTTGCGCAGACAGAGGTCCCAGCTGGTCAGGGCACATCCAGATGTGCCATCTCAGGCTGGCGAATGCTCGCCGTGGAAATCTTGCCCCCAACCGGTGATGGTTGGCGCGTGTCTTTTGCAGACAGATCGGCTGTGTGGCCACTACCGACAATACATATAAATGGGAGGGAGGGTTGCTATTAATCTTAAGTGCGGCTGCGGCTGCGGCTGCTGTAGCAACATTGTTGCATGACATGACCCAGTGATTAATCTCGCGTTCGGCTCACGTTCTCTTAATGGACATTATAAAGCAATAAGGATAACCACAAACAAGTTGGCCAGCAATCTGGGTGACGCCCAATTCGGCCCGCAGATGGTGTTGCTTACGACGTGGCCACATTTTAATTAGCCAATCGATTTCGGATCTTCGGATCTTCCAGCCCAGTGTCTGTAATGACTCTTATTGGTTGTGATATTTTCGGAGTGACGGCAATAAAGTTTTTCGCTTCAAAATTCAGTTCAAGCTCTCCGAACGGTCCATCATTACGTTTCGGTTGATGCCAATCTTTCGGTCGACAACCAACAATTTAAAAGTATCAAACAAAAGTTAAGTTAATAACTCAACGGATCGAATTCTTAATGTGATGTAGTGATGCTGATGCGTTGTTGCAGAAAAAGATCGCGGTCTGATGTACGTGGTTTTATTTACGTATAACAAATTTAATGTTGCATTGTATCCACATAAAAAAGTTACTGGCTTGAGCTTAAGTTCCCCTTCCAGTTTCTGCAAACCCTTTACGTATAGCTATCCAGGATCTTGAATCCAAAGTTCGTAGCCATTGAGCCGAAACTAAAAGCTGAGAATCAAAGCGGATCCATATCCATTGGCCTGGTCGCGCTCAAGTCATTAGCTGCACCAGCAAGCACGCACCAAAGCCCAACGCCGCCCAATTAAGCGATCAACAGCAGCCCAGTCCAGTCCCCTCTCCCTACCGGACTGTGCTACGAATGGTGGGATGGGATGGGATGGCAACGGGGTCTCAACCTTAAATTAGCGACATGCGACCCAGATGGAGATGGGATGGAGCGTGGTCGACATTTGTGAACTTGGAGCGAATGGATGTGGATGTAGATGTAGGGATGACAGAACAAAACGATTTTTAATTAACGTTGACACTGCCATGCGGAACCACACCTGGGACCCCACCCCACCCCACTCCATATACTTTATCGCTATACCTCTCATTGGCACTTACCCGAGTAGTTGAGCGGCGTTTTGAGTACCAGGAGAGCAATGTCATGATGGTAGCTACCTTGCTTGTAGTCTGGGTGGACGATCACATGGCTGATGGCATGATTCACGGAGCGTGGAGCGCAGAATCCGGTGTTGGCGCAGTCCGGATCGCTGGAGGTGTCGTACTCACCCACGCGCACTGACGACCTGCAAGGGCCGAGTGAAAGTCGATTAAGTCCGATAAGTACGAGTCCATCCTGTTGCCACTGGACTCTGTGACCCACTTACAGTCGATGCCCATCGGCCTTGGCCAACGCACAGTGGGCGGCCGTCAGGATGACACGACGCGCGATGACAGCTCCAGCACATGGATAGGCAAAGGCTCCCGTATTAACATCTGAAATGAGCCCACATCTTAGCTACTCGTATCATCAGACCAGGTGTCACAGTGCCACATCCGCTCATGCCACTGCCACTGCCACTTACGCTTGAATCCAATGCGCGCCACGAACGGATACGAGCCCAGTCCCTTGTAAAAGTGTCCCTGCACCAGAGACTTGCCACACACCTGGTTCTTTTCCAGGGGACTGCTCGGACAGCAGACGTACGGCATCTCCTCGGCGGCACCGCCACAGTATAGCGACTTATCGCCGTAATAACAGCTCCTCGGCACCTCGGCACCTCGTAGATCAGGGCCGTACAGTCGTGCAGCGGCGTGCATTTCGTTCCGTACTGTGCATAAGTAAGTTGGAAAGTAAGGGTTAAATTGTTGTTGCAACGTACCGATAAAAAATATCTCTCCTAGTTTGACTTTATTTTCTGCAGGGATTATGTAAGAATGTTTGAACAGGATAGATCTGATCACTATATTAATATAGCTGGAATAAGGATGATCGGTACGACCAAGAATAAGAACCGTTAACATTCGACCTTACTCCTAGTTCATTTTTTGATTGCCGACACACAAATAGAACAGGGGTATATGATAGTTTGTGTTATATGATATAAAGCTACCTATTTGTTTTTGGGTAGCTCAATCCACACTGCACATCGTACAAACATACAAACATACATATATATGTATGTATACGCATAGATTCTCGTAGATTTCAAAATAATGTTGAAGGTTGGCTTTCTTGGATACAATTTAAGATTTATGTATGTCCTAGAAATTGGAAATATTTTCCATACCCATTATCTTATTGGAGGAGTGTGGTAAAGGCTAAAGTATACCCTGGACTCTGTATTGATTGCGGTCTTATTAGCTTGGTCTTAAGTATTTCAATACTTTCCCAGAAATGGTTGCGTTGAAAAAATGTCATCTTTAATTCCAAACGTAACATTCCATCGGTTGCTTTGCATCTATTACCTTTTTAATATAGGCACTTTTCAAATAGACGACAAAAGCAAATTCAATTCTGAATCAAATTGCTCAATTATAAGCTGTGTCGCCTAATGAAAAACATTGGACTGAGAAAAGTAAAGAAAGGATTTAATATCAAATATAATAAAATGGGTAATCTTTAACCGATCAGAAACTTTAGAACGTTTGGCCCCACCACCATGATGATTATGGAATAAAATAAAGCCACTAACAACAGATTTCCTCACAGCTACGATACCGAAGTGCGGCGGCTGCCACGAGCTGATCTTGGACCGATTCATCCTGAAGGTGCTGGAGCGAACGTGGCACGCCAAGTGTCTCCAGTGCAGCGAGTGCCACGGTCAACTCAACGATAAATGCTTCGCCCGCAACGGTCAACTTTTCTGCAAGGAGGACTTTTTCAAGTAAGTAAATTTCTCTAATGCCAGCTGGAGTGGCTGGAGGGGCTGAAGGGGGTGTTCTAGTTGAAGCGTCGCCGGTTTAATGAAAATCTCCCCTTGCCCCATTGCCAATGTTTGGGTCTAACAGACGGTACGGTACAAAGTGTTCCGCTTGTGATATGGGCATACCGCCAACCCAGGTGGTGCGCCGGGCCCAGGACAACGTCTATCATCTGCAGTGCTTCCTGTGCGCGATGTGCTCCCGCACTCTCAACACGGGCGACGAGTTCTATCTGATGGAGGACCGCAAGCTCATCTGCAAGCGCGACTACGAGGAGGCCAAGGCAAAGGGTGCGTTTCGTGAGAGATCCTTGGCAGAATTCTGGTTCAATGGCTAGACTTGATTCTTGGTTAATTGCAGGTCTCTACTTGGATGGCTCGCTGGACGGCGATCAGCCGAACAAGCGTCCGCGAACCACAATCACCGCCAAGCAGCTGGAGACCCTGAAGACCGCCTACAACAATAGCCCCAAGCCCGCCCGACACGTTCGGGAGCAGCTTTCACAGGACACTGGCCTAGATATGCGGGTGGTCCAGGTCTGGTTCCAAAACAGGTGTGTGTCTTTCGGTCAGACACTCTAACGTGGCCAAAGTAACGACACTAACATTGCTGGCAACTTGCTTACAACATTGCAGGCGGGCCAAGGAGAAACGACTGAAAAAGGATGCGGGACGCACCCGATGGAGTCAGTACTTCCGCTCCATGAAGGGGAACTGTTCGCCACGCACTGACAAATTCCTCGACAAGGATGAACTGAAGGTCGATTATGACAGCTTCAGTCATCATGGTAAGTTTGAGCTATGTCTGGTACCTCAAGAGATAATTACACATATCTTTGGCCGTATCCCCGGAACAGATCTAAGCAACGACAGCTACAGCACCGTCAATTTGGGCCTGGATGAAGGCGCCTCACCGCACAGCATTCGCGGCTCCTACATGCATGGCAGCTCTAGTCCGTCTCAGTACCCGCCGAGCAGTCGCTCGCCGCCGCCAGTTGGCCAGAGCCATACCTTTGGATCGTACCCAGACAATATTGTGTACACCAATATAGGTGAGTTGAGTGGCTCCTGTGTTTTCACAGAGATCTTAAATCCACAATCTGTTCTTCGACTCCCGCTACAGATCATGCGACGGGCTCTACTCTGCACGCCAGCAAGTCACATCACCGCCTGCACAGTAGCAACAATGTTTCGGACCTGAGCAACGACTCAAGCCCCGAAGAGGGCTATCCTGACTTTCCGCCGAGCCCCGATTCCTGGCTTGGCGACTCGGCAAGTACCAACAACACCAGCAACAACAACAACAACAACAGCAATAACAACGGTGGCAGCGGCAGTGGTGGAGCCAGTGCGAATGTCAGCAATGTCACCACGGCAAACCCCGGCACGCCAAGCGTACATTACTGATACTCAAATCTGCTTTTGCGTTATTTTGAGATGCAGTCTCGCAGTCTTATTCTCTCTGCCCAGCAACAACAACAGAAGCTTTAGCAGCGCCATGTTGAAAGCTCTGAGTAACAGCGACAGCGAAGCTAAGTTGTTAACGGGAATAAGTCAGGAGATGTGGCAACGCGGCGGATCTAAAACTGTAGATTTCAAGTTAATGCCATTTGGGTGCGTCTCGTCTCCATTATAACCAATTCGTGATTAGCGAAAAAATCCTCATCAAAATCAACTAGTTCAAAAATTAGCAAAAACAAAAAACATCTCTCAACTTTTTGGGTACGCAGGATCTACAGAGGCCATCTTTTGATGGGGTGCGAGTCGCGCCCACATGGCATTACCCTTAAAGCCTTATTTGTGTTTAGATAAACAAAAACCCTTACACAATTTGCTCAAAATAATTTATTTCCTTTACTTGGTCATCTACGTCGGTGGATTGAAAACAGATTACGTATTTGTACCTACTTTAAAGCTTAATTGATTGCATCACTTCCTGGAACAGCCGCTCTATCATTTACCATTGAAACCCTTCCCTGATATTTTACTGTAAATAATGTATATTTGTGTATAGTGAATGAACTCTAAAACTGAATTTTAAATTAAATTAAGTCTGTATAGCGTCAAACAAATGCGGGGTAGTAGAGCAAAATATGCATGCATACATATGCTAGGCTCGAGCCCAAAACAAGTTATTTATTGCTTTATATAGGAATACAACCAAATTGCATAGGAGAAATATCAATTACGAAAACGTGATGTCGTATTTATATCTAATGAAAACCCAAAAACCAAAAATATTTAAACAGCATAGAAATGTCAGTAAGGAAGCAACTAAGTAAAAAAATGATAAAATGAATGCGATGAAATAAATTACTATTTGACACATAAGAATAAAAGACAACAAATTTGTTAACACCGAGTTTAATTAAAATTGGGCGAACAGTCTGCTCGGATTTTAAAATTCAAACTTTAGCGGTGAACCGATAATCAAGCGGCCGATAGACAAAAGCTCGCCACCATGTAACTAAGTAAGTAAGTGGCGCGACGGCTACTAGCTGAACTAAAACGCGTTAAAATATTATAGCACATGTTAATGATATGTAGAAATGCAATTTCCTTGCATATTTTTGGGTGTACATGCAGATATAAAATGCCATGTTAACAAAGTGGTTAACATCAGTTAACTTGGTTGTTCTCTGTTAAAACCTATGCTAAACCGTAACATTAGCCTGTTAACCTGATCTGCTCGAGTAGTTATTATTTTAATTATTTCGTTATAATAACGTTATGATAATAATACTAATATAAATGAAATCAAGGAGGTGAGGTTCCTGGTCCTGAAGATGATCGGAGTTAATTAACGATTGAGCTAATGAAGCACTATGAGAGTAAAGTTACATCCAGATAACTCTAAATAAATATAGAGTGTTGAGTTGAGCCAAAATATTGTTCTAGGTCTAAGCCTGAGTTCAAGAGGCGCCTCTGTTTTAAGCTATGCACACAATAAATATTACCTATTTAATTTAATAATGGGCATAAGCCAATAAAACTTTGGCAGTTTACATTTACTGACAGCTTAGCTAGTTAATGGCCACATAAAAACGTCAAAAAGTGTCGCATAACGGTACGTACTAAAATTGCAGAGGTTTTTTTTGCACATACATACATACATACATATGTACATACAAATGTACATACACATATGTATGTTTGTATATATGTGTTGAAATCTATCAAATTATATGTATCGATAGTTCTTATCCATCCTTATCCCTACATTATCATCTCACGGACTCAAGTCGTTGTCTTCGAGCCGCCGACAAGTGCATTACAAATATCCGCAATAAACATGTAGTATTACTTTAAACCTAACAACGAGCAGCGTATTTATTAACAACAATATGTATGCTTGTACATACATACATATATATTTATATATAAATTGAATGTATTTGCATTGTATCCATATATGTGGGTAGCTCTCTTTGTTTGATGATGGTTTAACAGTTTAGGCTCAATTATGCAATTCATACCGAGTAGAAGACTATGGTTAGTTGATTGTCAAATTTTGTTGGACAATTTTCATAGACCCGGCTAGGCAAAACCAAAAGAAGTACTACAGGGAATAGCGATTAGGAAAGTGAAATTATTTATAATAAATATGCGCTGCGCTAAGTGCCGTAAAAACGCAACGAAAGTAAAGCTTGACCATTAATTATTTACTAACAAAAAAAGAGGAAATTCAACATAAAATGACAAAGCCATTTAGCAGTCAAGCATACGTTTGTACTACTGGCACATTCTCGTACAATACAATACATACATTGTACATACATATGCGCACATACGTCCAAACATAAAACAATTTAATGTGCGTTTGTCGCGCTCGTTTTCCTGCTTAAAAAACTGGAACCGGAGCGGGCTGAAGTTTGGTCAGTGAAAGGCAGCGAGCTTATCAAACCCCACTGATCACATCACATCCAACATCCACATATTACAATTGCCTAAAAAATAATAAAACCAAAAACGTACGTCAAACTCACCTAAATAATAACACAACACATCATGTTTCAACGACAGTAAGAAAGGTTAGGAAGAAACTTCCTTCTGGGTATTAAAAGGAATCGAAAAATGTCCCTTTGCCAATTGGAGTAAAAATTCCAATTCTAGTTAGATAATTTATACTTTTTTATGGTGCACATTGATCATGCTTCCACTGCTATTTTTTGTATAGCATCCAGAAAAGATATACCCAAAATGTGTCAAACTTAAAACTGCAAAGCGCCAACAAATGCAGCAGAACAGAATAAAAAACACATTGAAATTACAACCTGAAAATGAGACCATACAATCAGTTAATAACCGCAGACAGACGACCGACGAGTGGAGCAGCGGCCATATGAAGGTACATATGTACATATGTATGGGCATACATGTGTGCATATGTATGTATGCATGCATGTACCTAACTTATATCGTATTTAGTTTTCATTTAGTCAGATCGCTTCGCTTCACCTGAACGGTTATAAACGGAAAAAAGTTGTGGGCCATAACTGCAAATAGTGCTTAATATCGGCATAATAGTGTTTCCAAGTTTTATAATGATTAAAGTGTTATTTTTAGTTCTCATGGTTTTCCTAATCTTGGCTGGCGTTCGAACGGAATCCGGGGAGTTTGGTAGGATTAAAAATAGATCCGAAAATTATTCATGTCCTACTTAGAAAAAGTCCCGGCTCTATCTGTCTTCGTTCAGTATTCAGTATATTTAGTATGCTCAGCATTCTTCTCTGCTGTAGTACTTCCCAAATTATCCCAACAGATTCGTTTAAAAATAAATAAATACAAATTCGAGACTACCTTGTCGAAAATCTGTTTGCCAAGCTACTTCTCAACAGATGGCGCTGAAAATCGCGACCAAATGTCCTCGCTTTACATCCCAAAAAATATCCCATGAAGAGAATTTTTTTAAAAAGGGTATAAAATAGGATTCCAAGCCAAGTTACTTGTCAATAGATGGCGCTGAATATCATTCGAAAATAAATAGGAAAGTCGCCCCAAGTCCACTCCAATTCGAACTAATATGTTCTGATTGTTCCCACTTTCAGAGCAACTTTTGATCCCCGCACAGTATGCACAACCCAAAGCGAGCAAAGCGCAACCAGGAAATGAGACGACCGGACACTCGTTATTCGCTCGCTCATACTACCAAGAGAACAGCCAGTCCGTGTGTTCAGTGGGAACGGAATGCACGCCGCTGCACGACTGTACGGCCCTGATCTACGAGGTGGCGAGGAGCTGTTATTACGGCGATAAGTCGCTATACTGTGGCGGTGCCGCCGAGGAGATGCCGTACGTCTGCTGTCCGAGCAGTCCCCTGGAAAAGAACCAGGTGTGTGGCAAGTCTCTGGTGCAGGGACACTTTTACAAGGGACTGGGCTCGTATCCGTTCGTGGCGCGCATTGGATTCAAGCGTAAGTGGCAGTGGCAGTGGCATGAGCGGATGTGGCACTGTGACACCTGGTCTGATGATACGAGTAGCTAAGATGTGGGCTCATTTCAGATGTTAATACGGGAGCCTTTGCCTATCCATGTGCTGGAGCTGTCATCGCGCGTCGTGTCATCCTGACGGCCGCCCACTGTGCGTTGGCCAAGGCCGATGGGCATCGACTGTAAGTGGGTCACAGAGTCCAGTGGCAACAGGATGGACTCGTACTTATCGGACTTAATCGACTTTCACTCGGCCCTTGCAGGTCGTCAGTGCGCGTGGGTGAGTACGACACCTCCAGCGATCCGGACTGCGCCAACACCGGATTCTGCGCTCCACGCTCCGTGAATCATGCCATCAGCCATGTGATCGTCCACCCAGACTACAAGCAAGGTAGCTACCATCATGACATTGCTCTCCTGGTACTCAAAACGCCGCTCAACTACTCGGGTAAGTGCCAATGAGAGGTATAGCGATAAAGTATATGGAGTGGGGTGGGGTGGGGTCCCAGGTGTGGTTCCGCATGGCAGTGTCAACGTTAATTAAAAATCGTTTTGTTCTGTCATCCCTACATCTACATCCACATCCACATCCATTCGCTCCAAGTTCACAAATGTCGACCACGCTCCATCCCATCTCCATCTGGGTCGCATGTCGCTAATTTAAGGTTGAGACCCCGTTGCCATCCCATCCCATCCCACCATTCGTAGCACAGTCCGGTAGGGAGAGGGGACTGGACTGGGCTGCTGTTGATCGCTTAATTGGGCGGCGTTGGGCTTTGGTGCGTGCTTGCTGGTGCAGCTAATGACTTGAGCGCGACCAGGCCAATGGATATGGATCCGCTTTGATTCTCAGCTTTTAGTTTCGGCTCAATGGCTACGAACTTTGGATTCAAGATCCTGGATAGCTATACGTAAAGGGTTTGCAGAAACTGGAAGGGGAACTTAAGCTCAAGCCAGTAACTTTTTTATGTGGATACAATGCAACATTAAATTTGTTAAACGTAAATAAAACCACGTACATCAGACCGCGATCTTTTTCTGCAACAACGCATCAGCATCACTACATCACATTAAGAATTCGATCCGTTGAGTTATTAACTTAACTTTTGTTTGATACTTTTAAATTGTTGGTTGTCGACCGAAAGATTGGCATCAACCGAAACGTAATGATGGACCCTTCGGAGAGCTTGAACTGAATTTTGAAGCGAAAAACTTTATTGCCGTCACTCCGAAAATATCACAACCAGAGTCATTACAGACACTGGGCTGGAAGATCCGAAGATCCGAAATCGATTGGCTAATTAAAATGTGGCCACGTCGTAAGCAACACCATCTGCGGGCCGAATTGGGCGTCACCCAGATTGCTGGCCAACTTGTTTGTGGTTATCCTTATTGCTTTATAATGTCCATTAAGAGAACGTGAGCCGAACGCGAGATTAATCACTGGGTCATGTCATGCAACAATGTTGCTACAGCAGCCGCAGCCGCAGCCGCACTTAAGATTAATAGCAACCCTCCATCCCATTTATATGTATTGTCGGTAGTGGCCACACAGCCGATCTGTCTGCAAAAGACACGCGTCAACCTGGTGGTGGGGAAGCGGGCGACCATCGCTGGATGGGGCAAGATTTCCACGGCGAGCATTCGCCAGGCTGAGATGGCACATCTGGATGTGCCGCTGACCAGCTGGGACCTCTGTCTGCGCAACTACGGCTCCACTGGCGCGCTTGAGTCTCCCAATTCGATTGAGGGGCAATGGATGTGCGCAGGTGGCGAGGGCAAGGATGTTTGCCAGGGCTTTGGCGGAGCGCCCCTGTTTATCCAAGAGAACGGCATCTTCTCACAGGTAAAAGTGCTGGCCTTTATTAGAATTTGCAGGCTAACAATCCCTTCCACAGATAGGAATCATGTCCTTCGGCTCTGACAATTGCGGCGGACTGCGTATACCGAGTGTCTATACGTCAGTAGCTCATTTCGCCGAGTGGATACACGACAACACGCCGCCGGAATAAGCTTCTTTCCCATGGAGCTTTGCTAAGCTAAAGCTAAGGCCGTAATCCCATTATAATATTATGCCAGATGTAAATGGTGAATTTTGGTTTATAAACTATAAAACAAATGATATACATAACTAAACAAATCTTAATTGCGAAAGGAAAAAATAGATGTCTTAATGATGCATTGATATGAATATGACACCATTACCAGTGCAATTGAGCTTGTGCCCTTTTTATACCCGTACTCAAAAAAGAGTTAAGGGGTATATTAGATTTGTGGTAAAAGTGGATGTGTGTAACGCAGAGAAGGAAAATTTTCCGACCCCATAAAGTATATATATTCTTGATCAGCATCAATAGCCGAGTCGATATAGCCATGTCTGTCTGTCCGTCCGTCCGTCCGTCCCTGTCCGTCTGTCCGTCTCGATGAGCGCCTGGTCCGTCTGATGTGGACCCCTCTGATCAAATTCGCCCCGTCCCCACAAAGCGCCTGGCAGCCACAATTTTAAAGAGACTAAAACGATCATAATTATAGCCAGAATGCAAAAATTAAAAGAACGAAACGCAATTATTTTCTTGTTAAGACTGAGCTAGGCAATGTTCCAAATATTGGTTTTAACACTAACATGTGGTATCACACTGCACGTACAAGATTTTTGTAGAATTTTAGTATTAAAAAAAAAAATTATTTTATTTTTTTCGCTACCTGTTATTTCCATAACATATACAATGTATCCCACATCAAAAGGACGTAAAATGTACATGTAGCATTTAGATTCCACATATCCTTTAAGGTTTGCTCGCGCACTGAACGCGGCAGAGTGTGCGAGCGAGATGGAAAATGAGTTGTTGTCGTTGGCTGGAGGGGGCAGGGGAGGAACTTAAAATTAATTTCGTCATTCTGGCTATAATTATGATCCGATCTGATTCAGATTCAGCAGTCTGGATAGATTATAGCCAGAATGAGTTTTTAGTTTTCAGTTGCTTTAAAAATGTGCCTGCCACTTTTGGGCGGAAGGGGGCGGGGCGAAATTTCGACAAACCGAGCAGTGGGATATCACATGAGTCTGGAAACCAAATTTGGTTGCCTATCTAGCTCGCACAGCGCTCATGAGAGCAGACAGACATAGCTATATCGACTCGGCTATTGATGCTGATCAAGAATATATATACTTTATGGAGTCGGAAACGTTTCCTTCTCTGCGTTACACACATCCACTTTTACCACAAATCTAATATACCCCTTAACTCTTTTTTGAGTACGGGTATAAAAATTGGTCAGGACAAAAACAAGTGAATTCATCTTAACAGCTGTGGCAGCCCGATTTGGTTATCGATACAAAGAGTAAAGTTACAAAAGTGGATTTCAGAACGCCATGAAATGCAAATGAATGTGAAAATTTGAGCCTGCCTGAATAACTACTCGAGCAGATCAGGTTAACAGGCTAATGTTACGGTTTAGCATAGGTTTTAACAGAGAACAACCAAGTTAACTGATGTTAACCACTTTGTTAACATGGCATTTTATATCTGCATGTACACCCAAAAATATGCAAGGAAATTGCATTTCTACATATCATTAACATGTGCTATAATATTTTAACGCGTTTTAGTTCAGCTAGTAGCCGTCGCGCCACTTACTTACTTAGTTACATGGTGGCGAGCTTTTGTCTATCGGCCGCTTGATTATCGGTTCACCGCTAAAGTTTGAATTTTAAAATCCGAGCAGACTGTTCGCCCAATTTTAATTAAACTCGGTGTTAACAAATTTGTTGTCTTTTATTCTTATGTGTCAAATAGTAATTTATTTCATCGCATTCATTTTATCATTTTTTTACTTAGTTGCTTCCTTACTGACATTTCTATGCTGTTTAAATATTTTTGGTTTTTGGGTTTTCATTAGATATAAATACGACATCACGTTTTCGTAATTGATATTTCTCCTATGCAATTTGGTTGTATTCCTATATAAAGCAATAAATAACTTGTTTTGGGCTCGAGCCTAGCATATGTATGCATGCATATTTTGCTCTACTACCCCGCATTTGTTTGACGCTATACAGACTTAATTTAATTTAAAATTCAGTTTTAGAGTTCATTCACTATACACAAATATACATTATTTACAGTAAAATATCAGGGAAGGGTTTCAATGGTAAATGATAGAGCGGCTGTTCCAGGAAGTGATGCAATCAATTAAGCTTTAAAGTAGGTACAAATACGTAATCTGTTTTCAATCCACCGACGTAGATGACCAAGTAAAGGAAATAAATTATTTTGAGCAAATTGTGTAAGGGTTTTTGTTTATCTAAACACAAATAAGGCTTTAAGGGTAATGCCATGTGGGCGCGACTCGCACCCCATCAAAAGATGGCCTCTGTAGATCCTGCGTACCCAAAAAGTTGAGAGATGTTTTTTGTTTTTGCTAATTTTTGAACTAGTTGATTTTGATGAGGATTTTTTCGCTAATCACGAATTGGTTATAATGGAGACGAGACGCACCCAAATGGCATTAACTTGAAATCTACAGTTTTAGATCCGCCGCGTTGCCACATCTCCTGACTTATTCCCGTTAACAACTTAGCTTCGCTGTCGCTGTTACTCAGAGCTTTCAACATGGCGCTGCTAAAGCTTCTGTTGTTGTTGCTGGGCAGAGAGAATAAGACTGCGAGACTGCATCTCAAAATAACGCAAAAGCAGATTTGAGTATCAGTAATGTACGCTTGGCGTGCCGGGGTTTGCCGTGGTGACATTGCTGACATTCGCACTGGCTCCACCACTGCCGCTGCCACCGTTGTTATTGCTGTTGTTGTTGTTGTTGTTGCTGGTGTTGTTGGTACTTGCCGAGTCGCCAAGCCAGGAATCGGGGCTCGGCGGAAAGTCAGGATAGCCCTGTTCGGGGCTTGAGTCGTTGCTCAGGTCCGAAACATTGTTGCTACTGTGCAGGCGGTGATGTGACTTGCTGGCGTGCAGAGTAGAGCCCGTCGCATGATCTGTAGCGGGAGTCGAAGAACAGATTGTGGATTTAAGATCTCTGTGAAAACACAGGAGCCACTCAACTCACCTATATTGGTGTACACAATATTGTCTGGGTACGATCCAAAGGTATGGCTCTGGCCAACTGGCGGCGGCGAGCGACTGCTCGGCGGGTACTGAGACGGACTAGAGCTGCCATGCATGTAGGAGCCGCGAATGCTGTGCGGTGAGGCGCCTTCATCCAGGCCCAAATTGACGGTGCTGTAGCTGTCGTTGCTTAGATCTGTTCCGGGGATACGGCCAAAGATATGTGTAATTATCTCTTGAGGTACCAGACATAGCTCAAACTTACCATGATGACTGAAGCTGTCATAATCGACCTTCAGTTCATCCTTGTCGAGGAATTTGTCAGTGCGTGGCGAACAGTTCCCCTTCATGGAGCGGAAGTACTGACTCCATCGGGTGCGTCCCGCATCCTTTTTCAGTCGTTTCTCCTTGGCCCGCCTGCAATGTTGTAAGCAAGTTGCCAGCAATGTTAGTGTCGTTACTTTGGCCACGTTAGAGTGTCTGACCGAAAGACACACACCTGTTTTGGAACCAGACCTGGACCACCCGCATATCTAGGCCAGTGTCCTGTGACAGCTGCTCCCGAACGTGTCGGGCGGGCTTGGGGCTATTGTTGTAGGCGGTCTTCAGGGTCTCCAGCTGCTTGGCGGTGATTGTGGTTCGCGGACGCTTGTTCGGCTGATCGCCGTCCAGCGAGCCATCCAAGTAGAGACCTGCAATTAACCAAGAATCAAGTCTAGCCATTGAACCAGAATTCTGCCAAGGATCTCTTACGAAACGCACCCTTTGCCTTGGCCTCCTCGTAGTCGCGCTTGCAGATGAGCTTGCGGTCCTCCATCAGATAGAACTCGTCGCCCGTGTTGAGAGTGCGGGAGCACATCGCGCACAGGAAGCACTGCAGATGATAGACGTTGTCCTGGGCCCGGCGCACCACCTGGGTTGGCGGTATGCCCATATCACAAGCGGAACACTTTGTACCGTACCGTCTGTTAGACCCAAACATTGGCAATGGGGCAAGGGGAGATTTTCATTAAACCGGCGACGCTTCAACTAGAACACCCCCTTCAGCCCCTCCAGCCACTCCAGCTGGCATTAGAGAAATTTACTTACTTGAAAAAGTCCTCCTTGCAGAAAAGTTGACCGTTGCGGGCGAAGCATTTATCGTTGAGTTGACCGTGGCACTCGCTGCACTGGAGACACTTGGCGTGCCACGTTCGCTCCAGCACCTTCAGGATGAATCGGTCCAAGATCAGCTCGTGGCAGCCGCCGCACTTCGGTATCGTAGCTGTGAGGAAATCTGTTGTTAGTGGCTTTCGTTTATTCCATAATCATCATGGTGGTGGGGCCAAACGTTCTAAAGTTTCTGATCGGTTAAAGATTACCCATTTTATTATATTTGATATTAAATCCTTTCTTTACTTTTCTCAGTCCAATGTTTTTCATTAGGCGACACAGCTTATAATTGAGCAATTTGATTCAGAATTGAATTTGCTTTTGTCGTCTATTTGAAAAGTGCCTATATTAAAAAGGTAATAGATGCAAAGCAACCGATGGAATGTTACGTTTGGAATTAAAGATGACATTTTTTCAACGCAACCATTTCTGGGAAAGTATTGAAATACTTAAGACCAAGCTTATAAGACCGCAATCAATACAGAGTCCAGGGTATACTTTAGCCTTTACCACACTCCTCCAATAAGATAATGGGTATGGAAAATATTTCCAATTTCTAGGACATACATAAATCTTAAATTGTATCCAAGAAAGCCAACCTTCAACATTATTTTGAAATCTACGAGAATCTATGCGTATACATACATATATATGTATGTTTGTATGTTTGTACGATGTGCAGTGTGGATTGAGCTACCCAAAAACAAATAGGTATATAACAACATATAACAACATGTATTAGCAATATATTGGGAGGGAAGTGAAGGTATGGATCTCCGTAAGCGCATAAACTTTCACCATGTCGTATAAAATTATTGTACGAGTAAATGCTGAGCTTGCTAAGCTGCGTTTCCTTCTAGGCGTGCTCTTTCGATCAGAGATATCTTTTGAGTATCGTCAGATCCATTGCTTTTATCCATTCAACTTACACAGTAAGAACTCTGGCAATTGACTCAAATTAATCGGCGGTACGCGATCATCACATTTGCCATTGGACAGAAAGTCACTTTTGAACATCATTAGCTTCAGAAGTTCCATGCTGTTTAGGGGGAAGTCTGGGCGTTCCTCCTTCTATTTTCTCTGGTTTCTATGAAGTTATTCTTCGATTTATTTCCTTCATCCACACTTTCACTATCGCAGGCACAGCCACATATTATTTTCGGTGATTCTTCTACATTTCGCGCTTCCGACGGCGATGCAAAAGTTGAGGGGTATAAGTACATATACTCGTATCCACAGGCCGTTCCTCGGAGTTTCGGCTTTCGGTTTTCGGTTTTTGTTATTTTTATTTTTTATTGTTTGGTGTTTCGTGTACCGTTAACCGTTATCACAGTCTTTTACAGTTGGCTCTGCGATGCACGAATTGCGACGCGAGCAACATATCTCCTTGTGGCAAGTGCGGCAGGCAACGTCGACGCTTGGAAAGTAACTGACGACGAAACACTCAGAAAAAGAGACAGAAACGGGGCTGCTGCTGACATAATCACAGCCAGAACAGAACCCAACCCAACCCAACCCTTAGGAATCGGACTCTTGTGCCACTGTTGGCCCGCCACTGTGTGCTCTTTGGTTTCTGTTGCTTTTGTAATATCTCGCTTGTGCCAGTTTTCCAGCTTTCCCGTTTTCCAGCCTTTTATGGCCTTTTATGTTGCCTCTTTTTCTGCCCCAAACAATTGAGTTTGGGTTGGTCGCCCAACGGGGCGGCGGGGAAATTGCATTGTAACACTTTGCCATTCCATTCCATTCCATTCAATTCCAAATTTCTGTGTGTGCTTGTGATAGTGTTTGTGTTTGTGTGAGTGAGTTTTTCTTTTCAGTTTTTATGCACGTATATTTGTGCCTGGGATTGGTTGTTTTGTGTGCGTCGACGTCGTGACCGCCGTCGCTTGCAGTTTTCGGGGAGTGGTCTCAAAAAGCTCTTTTCAGCTTGGCTTTTTCACCCTCCCCCTCCCACGATGGGCCTGTCCCTCTCTCTCTGTCTCTCTCGCTTTCTCTCTCAGTTCCTGTTTCGCTCTGGCGTCCCTTTTTGAGTGCGCTGGCGAATTCGGATGTGTGTTCTAATAATAAATACATACATACATATGTACATACATATGTATGTACTATATCTTCGCTATGCAACGCTGCAGTTGCCATTCTCCTTTTTATTTCACTTCTTCTTCGTCCCTATATCTCAGTTTTGCGTGCATTTGGCTGCCATTGCTTATTGTTGCTGTTGCACTGTTGCTCTGTTTGTTGTTGCCTTGCGCAGTGTCATTGTTTCGTAACTGTACGGCTAAAAACCTGACCTTAAAGGCGTTAAATTGTTGACTCCAACTGACTGCTCGACCGGCTGATCGAGGGGCCAGAGCGACGTCTGCGCACAGAAACTTATTTCAATTCCAGCCGACAAATCTCTCCGCTTTCTACTGGCAGCTCCCTCCTAGTTCTCTCTCCGTCCTGTAAAAGCCAAACTGTGGGTTCCCACAGAGACCTACACCTACGCTTACACCTACACCTGTCCACATGTACGAGGCACAAACGCACGCATTCGCGCATTCAAACATCGAACTCGACAATTGGACTTTGGCCGCCTTAAAGGAACTTCTTTTAATTTGACTTGACAGAAATTTAAAGGTATTTTCCTGTTTTCGCGACATAACTTCTATACTTCTATACCAATACATACCACAGATTACTCCCAATGAACACCTTTTAATACCCTAGCAAATATCTGCTCATGGAACCATCGTGTACCTAAAGTCAGAAATGTTTTTCTTACAAATATTTAAACGTTTTTATGTTAAACTCCGTTCTTTTTTTCTTTAATTTTGTTGTTTACTTCATTGAGTTTTTGTGTCGCGTTCTCTTCATCACTTGTGAGCGTATTTTTTATTTTATTATTTATTTTTATTTATTTTTTATTTGAAGTAAATACACACATCCTGACTTTAGAATATTTGTTCAATTAAATTGATATAATTTGCCGTTGCAAACCTCATTTGAGGAGTTCCACCAAAATTAAATGGCAAATGTCAAAAAACACTTTTCGGTATATTGTACATAGTTTACAACTAATTTAGCCCATTTCCTTACAATTTCATTAGCTTTCTAGTGAAAACCTGCTAAAACCGGTTTGGTATTTTCATACTCCCGTTTTCCATTAATACACTGATAGAAGAAAGGGATAGTAAAAATAACTACAATCATATTTGAATTTAAAATGCCATTTTTAAATACAAACATAGTAAAATTTAATAGAATTCACTTTGATTCAAATATAAATGTATTAAAAATTCTTTTTTAATACGGTAATATTTAATCTAAATACAAAACACTTCAAAATAACTATAACATATTAAATTTGTAGTTTAATATGTTTCATATTTAAATTGAATATTATTAAAACTTGATTTCAAAATTTTTCTTTTAAAATCCAAAGGAAAAACTTTTTATTTTAAATATTCCATATTAAATGAAATCAAATATTTTTTGTATTTATTTTAACTATGTTTATATTATTTTTGTATGTCCCTCGAATTCCCAACTGGTTCGCGCTGCTGCAGCCTTGAATACAAAGTAAAATTATCTCTGCGCAGGGGCATAATCACAACCAATACAGTTCTACTCATGTTGCGATTATTTCTAGTTGAAAACTTTAACCAATTCACACCATTAGGACTTGAAATGTAATTTGCGTACGCAAAATAATAACCAATTAGTTAAAAATGAATATAAATATAAATATGAAACATATTATATTTAAATATTAAACATATTAAATTTAAATATGAAGCATATAATTAACATTATTAACATTAAATATGAAACATATTAAATTTGAATATAAAACATATTAAATTTAAATATGAAACATATTAAATTTAAATATGAAAATATGAAATTTAAATATGAAACATATTAAATTTAAATATGAAATATATTAAATTTAAATATTTCTATATTAATATCAAAATTTAAGTAAAAAATATTTAATTTTAATACAACCACTCTTGGATGAAAATCAATGGCATAAGTATTAAAATCTAAGTGAAAATATTAAAATTTCAGGGCTTTTTTCTATCGGTGTAGTATTTCCTATAAGAATAATGATTCTTGATAAAACTTATCCCACAAAGCCTCTCTCTAACATATTGAGCTATCTGAAAAAAAACGGCAGAAAATTGGCCCAATCTTTGCTAGCGGTATATGTACATATTTTTGAACACTGGTCTTATTCTCCCTCAACACATATACATATTTATGTACACGCATACTTATGTACTTATATTAAAATGAATCCATTCGTATGCTGCGACACCCGTTAAATGGGATGCTGTATAAATATGTATGCTAGTGACAGAAAAAATCAGTTAAATCGAATTAAAAAAATTAGAATTCAACAAATAAAACAAATTAAACTTGTAGAGATTCTTTAGAATGGTTTTAGGTATGCAAAATAGTTTAAAGGAGAAGCAACGTTGTGAGTCGCTTCTGTGGGCGCGACTCTACTTTTACACCCGTATTCAGTCAGTATACTGTACCGTACCGTACTTTAAAAATATTTATATTTTTTACTTTTTTTTGCTACATCTGTCATCTACATATACAATGCAGATACTACATCTTAAATAAAGATTATATATCTGCAATGTAGATTATACTTCTTCTCCGCGAAAACTCCCGCACTGCTCAGGGCAGAGAGTCGCGGGGTAAGCAACTGAAAATTAATTTCTTCATTCTGACTAATAATAATGATCCAATCTGTACCAGATTCGGCAATCTAATAGATATGGTCATTCTCTGCGTTACGATACTGCGTTACGATACTGCGTTTTCCTTGTATTATTAAAATTGTGGCTGCCACAGATTTTCGTCCTTTGTGGGGTGCGAAGGGGGAGGGGCGAAATTTTGGAATACACTTGTAACTTGTCTGGAAACCAAATTTGGTTGCTCTAGCTCTTATAGTCTCTGAGATCTAGGCGACAAACAAGACGGACAGACGGACAGACGGACAGCCGGACGACAGACAGGGCTATATCGACTCAGATATTGATGCTGATCAAGAATATATATACTTTATGGGGTCGGAAACGTTTCCTTCTCTGCGTTGCACACATCCACTTTTCCACA